ATCGGCCGCTAACCAAATTAGCATGTCAAAAAAGTTTTTTCACAATTCATAGCATTCCTGTAAGGAAATCAGACCATATTCAGAGCTGAAATAGTGCTCATTTTTATTTCTTATTTATTGTCTTCAAAGCAAAATAAATAAATATTTTTAAAATTAGATAGAAATTTTAGTGCATTTGCTCATCCAGAGAATTTATCGATGTAAAAAGTCAATGATTAATATGTGAAATTATCATCAAAATGAAGATCTGATGTAGGCCTCTCAAGATGAACAACGTGCTGATATCCTGGATTTTTGTCACAGGATAATACCTAATATATAGATTCTGCAGAATAAGCTATGCTGCATGGCGCGGTGCAAAAGGTATAATTAAAATAATCTTTGCATCATTCGCAGCTGTAGCATATTCAAACAAGTTTTTACTAGTTGAGCAACTTTCAATTTTTTTATTCTCCATGCACTTTTACCACGACATTATTATCCGGAAAATCACGACCATTTCCTTTCGAATCTTACACACTCCCAGGATGGGGAGTACCTATTGTAAATTCTTTTTATTGAACTATAAATTATTAGCTCACCTGAGCCGAAGGCTCAAGTGAGCTTTTCTGATCAAAATTTGTCCGTCGTCTGTCGTTGTCGTTGTTGTTGTTGTCGTTGTTGTTGTTGTCGTAAACTTTTCACATTTTCATCTTCTTCTAAAAACCACTGGGCCAATTTCAACCAAACTTGGCACAAAGTATCCTTGGGTGAAGGGGATTCAAGTTTATTCAAATGAAGGGCCACACCCTTTTCCAAGGGGAGATAATCATAAATTTGTTAAAAATTAATGGCATTTTTAAAAAAATCTTCTTCTCCAGAACCGATGGGCCAGGAAAGATGAAACTCATGTGGAAGCATTCTCATGTAGTGTAGATTCAAGTTTGTTCAAATCATGACCCCCGGGGCAAGGGTGGGGCCATAATGGCCGTTAAAAGTTTTATATAGGAATATATAGAAAAAAATCTTTAAAAATCTTCTTCTCAAGAACCACTGGGCCAGGAAAGATGAAACTCATGTGGAATCATCCTCAGGTAGTAATATTGATTCAAGTTTGTTCAAATCATGACCCCCGGTGGTAGGGTTGGGCCAAAATGGTTGATCAAAGTTTTACATAGGAATATATAGAAAAAAATCTTTAAAAATCTTCTTCTCAAGAATCATTAAGACAGGAAAGATAAAACTCATGTGAAATCATCCTCAGGTAGTGTAGATTCAAGTTTGTTCAAATCACGACCCCCCGGGGTAGGGTGGGGCCAAAATGGTCGATCAAAGTTTTTCATAAGAATATATAGGGAAATCTTTTAAAATCTCATTTTCAAGTACTTTAAAGCCATGATTAGTGATATTTAATTTTATATGGAATCATCCTCAGGTAGTGTAGATTCTAGTTTGTTCAAATCATGACCCCCTGGGGGGTTAAAATTTAAGCCCCCCCCCCCCCCCCCCCACCATCCAACCTCAGTAAACTTTCATTTCTGATCTGATATTTGCTTTTTCCTAGCCAGTGTGCTCAGGTGAGCGCTGTGGCCCCTGGGCCTCTTGTGGCTTCTATTCAAAATTAAAGGAAAATAGATGCTGATATATATATGATAAAAACTTCACATTAAAAAAAAAAGATTAGCTTATTAATGGCTTATGAATATATCATGGTTTTACATAACTTTTCTTTTAAGTTCCAAAGCTACAGTTTTATTTGACCTTGACCTTTTACCTGCTGAGCACCATGACAACGGTACATTTGTGACAGTAAATGGCAGTGTGTTTTGTGCTAACTCAACAGGATCACCTGCTAAACTAAGTCCCACATTATCTAAATCATCACGGGTAAGAGGCACAGATGCATATTACAGATTTTAATTGATTTTATTGTCTGGAAAAATATATTTGGAGTTAAGTAATCAATGAATTTTTCTAAACTTAGCTGTTTTTGAGTTGGCTACCAGTTGCTAACCCTGGCAGTGTCCTTGACTATGAAGTGGGATTTTCCTCGACAGCTGGGAGTCCTGCCCCTGACATCATGGCCTTCAGAAGTACCAAGCAGCACCCCCACATCCACGTGTACCACACTGACGTTCCTGATGGGTCTGAGTTTTACATTATCATCAAAACGATCAGCAAAGCCAACGTGGAGGGAACTCAGGTGTGAACCAACATTAATTTTTCCCTTGTTTCTGTATCAATGCAAGTTTTTACCACTTAGTATGTACCATACAAAACAGATCAAATGCAGGGACTACTTCATTAGTTTTTAGCTCTTCTGAGCCAAAGGCTCAAAGAGCTAATGCTATGGCCATTTGTGCGGTGTGCATTACCTTTTTAGAATATGGGCCATAACTCAAGAACCCTTTGGCCAATCAGTACCAAATTTGCCACAGGGTATCCTTGGCCCAAGGGCTACCATTTATACTAAAATAAGGGTTGGGACCCTAAAACAAGGGGAGATAATCAGGAAAACAAAACCAAAAGTACTAGTTGCTAAAAAATCTTCTTCTCCAGAACCGCCAGGCAGATTTTCACCAAACTTACATACAAGGATCAAGATATGTTGAAGATTAAAAATTGTTCAAGGCGTGACCCTGGGGCAAAGGGCGTGGTCTCAAAGTCACTTTAAAGTTGACCTAAATTTACAATTAATAAAAATGTTTATATTTTGCTTACTATAAGGACTAGGATCATCAAATCTTGTAAATTGATGCATCTTAGGACTTCACATCATGTTAACTCAAAAGTAGGTCACGGTGACCTACTTTTTAGCTCTACTGGTCAGAGACCAGAAGAGCTTATGCGATAGTAATGCGTCCGGCGTCCGTCCGTCTGTCTGTCTGTAAACAATTTTTCAAATCGCTACTCCTCCTACAATTTTAGTTTGATTTCAGTATAACTTGGCACACAAGTAGACTACACTAAGATACATAGAATAGTGCATCGATTTTTGATTTCGATGAACGGTGTTGCCATGGTTACTAAAAATAGAATTTTCTGTGAAATTCCTTAAAAACGCTACTCCTTCTACAGTTTTGGGTTGATTTCAGTATAACTTGGCACACAAGTAGACTACACTAAGATACATAGAATAGTGCATCGTTTTTTGATTTCGATGAACAGTGTTGCCATGGTTACTAAAAATAGAATTTTCTGTGAAATTCCTTAAAAACGCTACTCCTTCTACAGTTTTTGTCTGATTTCAGTATAACTTGGTACACAAGTAGAATAGACTTAGATACATAGAATAGTGCATCGGTTTTTGATTTCGATGAACGGTGTTGCCATGGTTACTAAAAATAGAATTTTCTGTGAAATTCCTTAAAAACGCTACTCCTTCTACAGTTTATGTCTGATTTCAATATAACTTGGCAGACAAGTAGACTACACTAAAATACATAGAATAGTGCATCAGTTTTTGATTTCGATAAACGGTGTTGCCATGGTTACTAAAAATAGAATTTTCTGTAAAATTCCTTAAAAACGCTACTTCTTCTACAGTTTTGGTCTGATTTCAATATAACTTGGCACACAAGTAGATTACACTAAAATACATAGAATAGTGCATCGTTTTTTGATTTAGATGAATGGTGTTGCCATGGTTACTAAAAATAGAATTTTCTGTGAAATTCCTTATAAACGCTACTCCTTCTACAGTTTTGGTCTGATTTCAATATAACTTGGCACACAAGTAGACTACACTAAGATACATAGAATAGTGCATCGGTTTTTGATTTCGATAAACGGTATTGCTATGGTTACTCAAAATAGAATTTTCTGTGGAATTCCTTAAAAATGCTACTATTCTACAGTTTTTGTCTGATTTCAAAATAAGTTGGCACACAAGTAGACTACACAAAGATACATAAAATAGTGCAATGGTTTTTGATAAGTACAAACCAGTAGAGCTACAGTCTCGACAGAGACTTCTGGTTTAATTTTGCGGGCATTTGTTTTCAAATTGATTTGAAGGCATATTTTGGACACTTTAAGGCCTATGATCATGAGACTTAGTCAGTTGATGCATCTTGGGTCCTTGAACAACGTCAACTTAAAAGTAGGTCACCGTGACCTACTTTTTGAACTTTATGACTTATCCTTTTTAAAACATTTAATCCCATTATTTCAGGCACTGAAAGGGTTAAAATCATCAAATCTTGTAAGTTGCTGCATCTTGGGACCTTAAAACATATTTAAGAAAAAGTAGGTCACTGTGACCTACTTTTAGAATTTTGCAGGCATATGTTTTCAAATTGTTTAAAAGGCATATTTTGATTACCTTCAGACCTAAAATCATCAAACTTGGTCAGGAGATGCATCTTGGGACTCTGAAAAATGTCGACCAAAATGTAGGTCACGGTGACCTACTTTCTACATTTTATGGCTATATTTAAGTATTTATAGGCTTAGAATCATCAAACTTTGTGAGTTGATGCATCTTGGGTTTTCGGAAAGTGACGACCAAAAATTAACTCACGTTGACCTACTTTCGACATTTTATGGCTATATTTAAGTATCTCCGGTACTTATTGGCTTAGAATCATCAAACTTTGTCAGTTGATGCATCTTGGGTTTTCGGAGAGTGACGACCAAAAATTAGGTCACGGTGACCTACTTTCGATATTTTATGGCTATATTTAAGTATCTCCGGTACTTATTGGCTTAGAATCATCAAACTTTGTCAGTTGATGCATCTTGGGTTTTCGGAGAATGTCGACCAAAAAGTAGGTCACGGTGACCTACTTTTAACATTTTATGGCTAGATTTATGTATCTTAGGTATTTATTGGCTTAGAATCATCAAGCTTTGTGAGTTGATGCATCTTGGGTTTTTGGAGAGTGACGACCAAAAATTAGGTCACTGTAACCTACTTTCGACATTTTATGGTTATATTTAAGTATCTCCGGTACTTATCGGTTTAGAATCATCATACTTTGTCAGTTGATGCATCTTGGGTTCTCAGAGAATGTCGACCAAAAAGTAGGTCACGATGACCTACTTTTGAATATCTCAGGTATTTATTGGCTTAGAATTATCAAACTTAGTCAGCAGATGCATCTTGGGACTCTGAAAAATGTCGACTAAAATGTAGGTCATGGTGACCTACTTTCGACATTTTATGGCTATATTTAAGTATCTCCGGTACTTATTGGCTTAGAATCATCAAACTTTGTCAGTTGATGCATCTTGGGTTTTCGGAGAATGTCAACCAAAAAGTAGGTCACAGTGACCTACTTTTGACATTTTATGGCTATATTTAAATATCTTAGGTATTTATTGGCTTAGAATAATCAAACTGTGTCAGTTGATGCATTTTGGGTTTTCCAAGAATGTAGACCAAGAAGTAGTCCTAATTTGCTAAGAATCATCAAACCTTGACAGGTGATGCAACTTTGGTCTTAGGATACTTAGGGTTAGAGGCTTCAAATACAAGTGATAGGTTGTACAATTTATCAGAAGAGCGATTCAAGGCCCTTGGGTCTCGTTTGTTTATATGTCAATGAGCGAAAGATTTGAGTGAGTTTACCTCAGATATTTCATTGGATTAAAAGTCTTCTACTTGCAATGTACTGAAAGTACATTGGACAACAAATGAAGTATTGACTGTGGAAGATAGGGATGGGTATCGCCAAAAATTTCGTATCGCAATATATATCACAATTTTTTCCCACAATATCACAATAATATCATGATATTTTTAAAAGCAGTTTTTACAATGATTTTATATGAAAAGTCATTATTTTTCTAAAAAATATGCTAGAAAAACAAAATTTTACTTTCTTGAAATTTTTATGTATATAAAATCAATTATGTTTGGACAGTAAGATGCCGTTCTTTTCACTTTTTACAACATTTTTTATACTTTCTGTAATTGTAATTTGAAAGATTGAACAAATAAATGAATAATTTCTGGACTTTATAATATGTACCTAAAGACCGGTATTTATGTCTCCATATCACGATACGTATCACGCAACAAAAAATTGCGATATACCGGTATACCGATAAAATCGCACATTCCTAGTGGAAGCATTTAAATTTGTGGGGGTCTTGCAATGGTCATGGATAAGCAAAATGTTGTTGGTTTGTGCAGATATAATTTCATGGGTAAGTTGTATACCCCAGTATATAGAAGATTTAATTTATAAATTTGTTGACAAAATAATTGTTTGTGGGGTTTAAATTTGTGGATCAGGGTGACCCTAAAATTCCATGAACATGGTCCCCCATTAAAATTGATGATTCCACGGTACTCAGGTGACCATCAAGGCCAAGAGGCCCATTGTTATACCCCCTGCAAACAAAGTTTTTTTGGGGGGGGTATATAGGAATCACCTTGTCCGTGTGCGTCCGTCCATCTGTCTAGCCTTCCGTCTGTCTGTGCAAACGTGTCCGTTCCATATCTTTCTTGCGGAGGAACATTAGAATCTACTACTCCACAAAAAGATTGCACATGACCTAAGGGTGTGTCATGACCTTGACCCAAGGTCATTTGGGGAAGTTCAAGGTCACTGGAAGAAAAATTTCATAATTTGTGTCCGGTCCATATCTTTCTGATGGATAAACTTGGTAGGTTCTCATTTCACACAAAGATTCCTCCTGACATAAAGATGTGTCATGACCTTGGGTCAAGGTCATTTGGGGAAGTTCAAGGTCCCTGGAAGAAAAATTTCATAATTAGTGTCTGGTCCTTTATCTTTCTTATGGATAAACTTGTTAAGTTCTCATTTCACACAAAGATTGCTCACTACCTAAGGATGTGTCATGACCTTGGGTCAAGGTCATTTGGGGAAGTTCAAGGTCACTGGAAGAAAAATATTATAATTTATGTTCGGTCCATATCTTTCTTTATTATGGAAAAACTTGAATCTACTACTTCACACAAACATTGCTTATGACCTGAGGTTGTGTCTTGACTTTGAAGCAAGGTCATTTATGCAAGTTCAAGATCACTGACAGAAAAAGTTCATAATTCGTTTTTGGTCTTTATATTTAGTCTAATTTTTTTTATTTGGCTGCGCCTTCGTTTCATTTATAAAAAATATAATGAGCAATTACATTTGCACTAAAAATGATTTTAGCATTTCTCTTTTCTCTTAGATCCATAAAATATTAATGATTTAGCACTTCTGAAAAACCCAGCGGGGGGTATTTTGTCCCGTTTGTACAGTTCTAGTTAATTACACAATGTATAAAATTTCAACAAGATAGGAAATATATGCTGCTAAGAAAAAATATGTTATGGAGTGTACTTACATAAATATAATTATGTATTTTTCCCCTCAGTCCATTGGTCCTTGTTTTATGGACACCACACCTCCAGTGTTTACAGGCCCTATCAGTGTCACACACTCAAATGGATTCCTCATCGCATCATGGGGAGCTGGTGCTTTTGCTGATGCCCAGGAGCCAAACCAACTGAAGCTAGAATTTGCTATTGGTACGAGTTTGTTGTAACATTTACTGTTATATTACAGAGCGGTGCAGATGCAGTTTTCAAGAAGTGCTTTTGCAATTCATTGATTGATTATTAGAATTTTGAAACTTAAGTGTAAATGGGAGAATTTGCTTTCTTGTCAATGAACAGGACACATGCCGAGACAAACAGATATACTGTCCTACATTCCACTACAGAGTGGTGGATCTTGTGTGGTGGGAAACCCTCCGACCTGTACAGCCATTGGTGTATCTGATACAGAGTGGAGACTTCACGGTCATCAGACATATTACGTCACCGTCAAGGCAGAGAATTCTGCTGGACTCTCAACATATGCTGTAGCTGAACCTTATGTTCATGATGTACAGCTGGCTACCAAGGGAGTGGTGTTTGATATCCAAGCATCTGTTAAGTTTCTTGATTTGGAAAACTTAAGCTTAGGTCAATCAGACCTCTATTGAAATAATGTTTTGATTTCCTTTATTTCTTTATTCTCTAATTTGTAGTGTTGGCAAATCGGACGATTTTAAGTAACCGGTTACTCGCTTAATCTTCCGATCGAGTACCCGGTTACTCGGATGATTGTTTGCTATAGTTTCCGTATTTATTACTAACCTCATCCTTTTACTTATTGGTAAATATAAACCACAAATGAAACGTAAAGGAATTTTAATTTATTTACAAATATAAACTTTAAAAAACACAACATCTTCGAACACTATTGATTTTAAATGTCACTTGAAACAGTCAGTTTGTTTTCGTTTATGAAAAAAAAAATCAACACATGACCCTGTAATTGCTGGTTGTTTTGTGAAGTGTCCTGCAAGTCACTGGTTTCCGAATTATGTTTCAATCTAAGGTGATTTAGCACATTGTAGTTCTCCTGTATACGACAACTCCGATTCACATAATTTGCATTTGACAGATTTCGATTCAGTCCTTTTTTTCTTTTTTTTTAAAAATATATCCACGCTTTAGATGTTTGCGGTGGCATCTTGTGAAAGTAAATTCCTCAAACTATCACAGGTCTACTTAAGTAATTATAACTCAGGTTTTCAAAACATGTACCCCCATGGTAATCAAAGCCATCAATTATATACGCTGTGAAAACTAATCAAAATAAATCGATCCCAATTGTAAACCAGTAAAGCAAGGCTAACGGCAATTAAATGAGGGAAATGTGTCAATGTACATTTACAAACAGCATAAAAATCATTTTATACGTATTTACTATGAAAAATGTATTTTATCCGAGTAACCGAATAGCAGTTTTACTAACCGATACTCGCATCGTTCGACGGTTAACCGGGTACTCGTTGCCATCACTACTAATTTGCTTTTGATAATTTTGCTTTATGTGTCTTAATCATTATCTCTCTTTTGTTTAATTTTTAGGTCACCTGAGTCACTCTTGACTCAGGTGACCTATTGCTATCCGTTTTCGTCCGTCGTCGTGTGTCGTGCGTCATGTGTAAACATTTGAACATTTTCAGCTTCTACTCTGAAAACACTGAATGAACTTCAACCAAATTTAGTATACATCATCTATGGGTGAAGGGGAACAAAATTTATGAATTTTATTGTCCCTCCCCCCCTTGGGCCGAAGGGATGGGGCCAAAACTACTAAAATTAATGAAATCTTTAAAAAAATTTCTTCTTTACTCCTGGACACCAAGCAGGCAAACTGTTGGCATGAATGTAATGAGCATTGAGTCCTCTACCAAAATTGTGATATTCATGGCCCTAGGGTCAGGGGTTCTAGTGCTAGGGCGGGGCTATATAGATGATCTAGTGAAAATGCATCATTTCTTTGAAAATCTTCTTCTCTGCTCCTGGGTATCAAATAAACTAACTAAGTACATAGTTATGATGAGCAAGAGTGCCTCTTCCAAAATTGTGAATTATACAGCCCCAGGGTCAGGGGTTCAGGTGTTAGGGCACGGCTCTATTGATTATGCATTAATTCTTTGAAAATCTTCTTCTCTGCTCCTGGGTATTAAATAAACTAACTAAGTAAATAGTTATGACGAGCAAGAATGCCTGTTCCAAAATTGTGAATTTTACAGCCTCAGGGTCAGAGGCTCTGGTGTTAGGGCGGGGCTCTATTGATTATATAGTGAAAATGCATTAATTCTTTGAAAATCTTCTTCTCTGCTCCTGCATATTAAATAAACTAACTTATAATATAATTATGATGAGCAAGAGTGTTTCTTCCAAATTTTTGAATTTCATGGCCCCTGTGCCGGGGGTTTTGCCATTTGGTAAAGGGGCAGGGCTCTATTGATTATATGGTGAAAATACATTAATTCTTTGAGAATCTTTTCTTTTGCTCCTGGGTATTATACCAATGATCCAAGTATATGTATTTATGATGAAGAAAGGTGCATCTAGCAAAAAGGTTAATTCCATGCCCCCTGGGTCAGGGGTATCGGGGGGGGGGGGGGGGGGGGGGGGGGGGGGGGTTACATAGTCTGAATATAAATTAATGCTTTGAAATCTGCTCTTTGGTATTAATATACCATTTTATGATAAAATTTCCAAAATTTTGAAATATGTGGCCTCAGCGTCAGTGGTTCCTTTGGGGTGGGGTGCACAACTGGTTATAAAGTGGAAGTGCATTTTCTCTTTGTTACTCTGATATACCTCTGGGTATTAAGTAAATAGAGTAAGCATGCTAAGTTTATAACTATGATAAGCAATGCTGCCTCTTTCAAAATCGTGAATTTCATGGCCTCTGGTTTAAAACACGAACCAAATTCAATTGTTGGAAAGTTGTTACACTATACTCAGGTGACCTATAAGGCCCGTGGGCTTCTTGTTTTACCACTATCATTCTTTTAGCCAATGTTACTAAATGCATTAAAGAATTGAACCTTATGTTAACCAATATTTTATGTTTAAGTTACAAATTTATACTTATTACCTTTCCTATTTCAATCTATTTTCAGAATCTAGGTCAAATGTCTTTCACTGTAAGTATGATGTTTGATACACCAGCCCATGTATTTTTTTTAAAAAGTTTAACTTTCCAAATTAATGTAGAAACTTAAGTTGATAGGAAATACCATATGTCATTCATTGACAGGATATAGAGGATGTCGATTTCACCACAACAAAAGACAGTCTGACGGCCCACTGGGAGGGCTTCTCTCATCCCCACCTCAACGTGACCTACAAGTTCCAGGCAGGTACCACTCCAGGTGGTGCAGATGTGGTGCCTTCTGTAGATGTGGGATCTGTGGAGTCTTATTCTGCTACTGGTCTAAGTCTACAGAATTTCAAGGTATGATTTGTTAATTATGCAGTATAATTTATTGATAAAGAGCAGAAAATAAAGTGAGTTTCAGATCTGAAGTTAAACTTTATGTAAATTAAATTTTAGGCAGTTCAATGAAGTGCAAGTTTTTAGCTCACCTGAGCTGAAAGCTCGATCAAGTGAGCTTTTCTGATCACATTTTGTCCGGCGTCCGTCTGTCTGTCTAGCTGTCCATCTGTCTGTAAACTTTTCACATTTTCATCTTCTTCTCAAGAACTACTGGGCCAATTTCAACCAAACTTGCCACAAAGTATCCTTAGGTGATGGGGATTCAAGTTTGTTCAAATGAAGGGCCACGCCCTCTTCCAAGGGGAGATAATTATGAATAAGTGAAAAAATAATGACATTATTAAAAAATCTTCTTCTCAAGAACCACTGGGCCAGAAATGATGAAACTCATGTGGAATCATCCTCAGGTAGTGTAGATTCAAGTTTGTTCAAATCATGACCCCCGGGGGTAGGGCGGGGCCACAATGGCAGACCAAAGTTTAACATAGAAATATACAGGAAAATTCTTTAAAAATCTTCTTCTCAAGAATAACAAAGCCAGATTGGTCATATTTATATGGAAGCATTTTCAGGTAGTGTAGATTCAAGTTTGTGCAAATCATGACCCCCGGGGGTAGGGCGGGGCCACACTGGCCCACCAAATTTTAACATAGAAAAATATAGGAAAATTCTTTAAAAATCTTCTTCTCAAGAACAACAAAGCCATGATTAGTCATATTTATATGGAAGCATCCTCAGGTAGTGTAGATTCAAGTTTGTTTAAATCATGACTCCCAGGGGTAGGGCGGGACCACACTGACCAACCAAATTTTAACATAGAAATGTATAGGAAAATTCTTTAAAAATCTTCTTCGCAAGAACAACAAAGCCATGATTGGTCATATTTATATGGAAGCATCCTCAGGTAGTGTAGATTCAAGTTTGTTCAAATCATGACCCCCGGGGGTAGGGCGGGGCCACAATGGCCGACCAAAATTTAACATGGAAATATATAGGAAAATTCTTTAAAAATCTTCTTCTCAAGAATAACAAAGCCATGATTGATCATATTTATATGGAAGCATCCTCAGGTAGCATAGATTCAAGTTTGTTCAAAGCATATTCCCTTGTGGTAGGGTGGGGCCACACTGGCTGACCAAAGTTTTACATAGAAATATATAGGAAAATTCTTTAAAAATCTTCTTCTCAAGAATAACATAGCCATGATTGGTCATATTTATAGAGAAGCATCCTCAGGTAGTGTAGATTCAAGTTTGTTCAAATCATAACCCCCGGGGGTTGGATGGGGTCACACTGGCTGACCAAAGTTTAACATAGAAATATATAGTAAAATTCTTTAAAAATCTTCTCAAGAATAGCAAAGCCATGATTGGTCATACATGCATTTACATGGAAGCATTCTCAGGTAGTGTAGATTCAAGTTTGTGCAAATCATACCCTCTCCCCTTTTAAGAAATGGTTGGGACTACTTTTGGATTTAAACTTTTCAATAATAAACTAGTTTCTGCTTTTATGCTAGCCACAGTGCTCAGGTGAGCGATGTGGCCCATGGGCCTCTTGTTAATTTTCATTTTGCAGTTTTTTAATTACATAGAAACCTTGTGTGCTTTAATCTACAGCTACCAGAATATGTAGTTGTTAAATGTAAAGTTGTTAAAACGAGTTTCTATAGTGATCCTTTCATACATGCACTTTCAAAAGTTAAAGAAACAAATGTTCACCTCTTTCTCTCAATTACAGACCTACTATGTGACGATAACAGCTGTTACCTTGTCAGGCAGTGTGAATGTGACCTCTGATGGGGTCACGGTTGTTCAGGAGGGGGCTGTGTTATCTGGGATAGACATCAATGATGGCGAGCCATGCACCATGACAGGTTCTAACCGCCGAATTCTTTATTGGTCATGAGAAACAACTAAACATTTTAATCTTATTTTGAAAAATTTCTTAAAATTTCTAAACTGATATATATAGTGTAGAGAATGTCAAATGCTCTAGATATTTAAAGAAAATATTCTATGTCCCCACCCACCCCAAATAATTCTGTTCCTACCACAGTGCATTACCACATTTTTTTTTTATTTTCAGTTGACAATGGTACACTGTTCAAACACCATTATGAGGTAAGCACAGTAATTCAGCTATTTAGCCATTGCAACTGGTAGTTCTTTAGGGTATTGTTAGTGGTATTTTTTCTAGTCATTGTGAATAAACAAGCTATAATGTGTCTGACCTCATTTTAGGACAACAGAAAGAGATGTGAGAATGACACTGACTTCCAGGCCTCTACAAACTCACTGCAGGCCCACTGGCAGGTTCCCAAGGAAATGACATTGTATACTCCTGATGCTCATTTTGCTGTTGAGGAAAAGTTAGCTGGCAGTAAGCATCAAGAATGTTTCTTTGTCATGTTAATTAAAGTGGTAAGAAATATGCCTTTGTGATGGAGGAATGATCTTTAACAAAATTAAGAATACAGAGAAAATCAGTATTGTTTTCATTTTGCTATGGAGCTTGTTTATGAATTAAAATTTAATGAAAATTAATTAATTTCTGTAATATTGACATCCAATATTTGTCATCTTTTAGATATGTGGAGCACTATAAGGGAATATGAACATATCAGCAAGCATAATGAAGCCAAAGTGACAAACTTGGACCTTAAACCTGGGAAAACCTACAGAATGGCTGTCAAACTCTGTGCCATAACCACGTGTTATGATCCACTGTACAGCGATGGAGTTACAATACTGGCTAATCCTCCTAATAAAGGGAAGATAACTGTGGAACATCAAAATACCACTCAAAGTGCTGGACTCAAGGAAAAGGTCTAATTTTTTCAATCACTTGAAGTTGTGTAAAATTTAACATTTGTATTCATTGGCTATTCAATAAATGTATGAAAATAGAATTTATTTCCAATGAAAAAGAATTGTAAAAGCAATTTAAAGCTGAAAATGTTTTTCAAAAAGAGGCTTTGCCCTCCGTTTTCATTTTTTTTAGAGAACAGTAAATATTTCAATGAAAAGTTGCAGCTGACTTTTTATCTCATCATTAATCTTATTTCTGTATCTTTGTAGATAATTGTCAACATGGATAGATTTTATGACCCAGACATACAAGATGTAGTAGATAAATATGATGTAATTGATAAGTATGAGTGGGCCATCACTGACAACTCACATGTAGGACGGACTCACACTGTGTGGTCAGAAGTGACAGGGATTACAGTAACACAGGCAGGAAAAGGGGTAGGCTTTCTGATTGATCCTGGATAGGATAGGATTTCTATTTATCCAGTTTTAATGATAAAAGTTAAATGATATTAGAAATTGCATTAAAAAAGTGATAGAATGGTATCTTATGATACAGAAGACTTCAACTTATATTAATACTGTATAATAAATGGGATGATATCAGCTTATCCATAGTCTACTTCCACTATTTAATGTACTTAAGTAGTAATATTCCAGCATCACCTTAAAAATTATGCAGGTTAGTGTCAACTAAAGTGATGTTACAGGGCTTTTTTAATGTACACATCTTGGCTATCTTATATACAGTAAATGCAGCCAATAAAGCATACACACCAGTGAAATCTTGTTTGTAATTTATGTTGCAGATGCGGTTTGAAGTTGAGCTAGAAGGGGAGTTTGACTTCTCTAAATGTCGTCGATTCGCCGTCCATGGATATAACAAGGCTAAGCTCTTCTCCTCCGTCTCTGTGGACATTAAGGACTGTGAAGCTTTCGATCCAATACTGATCAAACCCAAACATGTACTGGATGCTGTAGGCCAACCAGAGGCAGACAGAGGTGGGTGACTTTTGTCAGCTATAATAGAAATTCATAAGGCTATATAAAATTGAAATTCTGGTTCTCAGGCCCGCGCGCATCCATTTTGAGGTAGCCGCATTGCTAATTTTATTGTTTTTTCTATAAAATAAAAAGTTGGTATTGCGGAGACCAATCTGGAAAAAAAAGTACTGTCCTCATTTTTTCGTAGTTTAGTATTCAAATATCACTTCCGGTAGCCATTTTCAAAGAGATTTTGGTTACGTTGTTAGAAAATACATTCGAAGACATTGCCCACAAAGTTCACATGCTGATAAGCAATGGATAAAGCAGCATTTTTTCGGCAGTTTGAAAGATTTTTAAAGAAAATTCGAAAATTAAAATAAAAAAAAATCATTGCCAATAAAATGGTAAGAAGGCCTGTGAATATTTAAATTTGATTTGAATGTTTTTAAATCAAGAGATATGCCTCTAAATGTTTGATTTGAATGTTTTTAAATTGATTTAAGCAGATATAAACTGTGCAGTATTATTAATTCAGATGGTTATGGAGAGGCAATTTTCCTTGAGAAGAATGCTCGCTGGCCAGTGGCAGACAAGGATTATACTCCTAACATGAACTACCTGTCAGCGGTGTGGCCACAGCTTAGATACAGGTCCTATGTGGTGGCAGTACTAAACGCCAGAACACTGGACGCCACCACCTACTATCAGCAGACTAATGAACTGACCCTCTCTGATCCCTGTAGTCACCCTGATGCCATAAAATGTAGCACTGTAGATGGTAATTTTGTGTTATATTTCAAAAAAGAACAAAACTTATTGAAGTAAGACAGTTGAATATACATGTTTCCATACTTTTGATATGTTTATTTTGAAATGCATGTGTGTTTGAGAGAGATAGAGACAGAGAAAAAAATCAGTCTTAAGAAGGACATGGAAAGAAATGGCTACCAAAAAATTAAAAAAAAAATGGTAAAGAATGGTATATGAGATTTATAAAAAAGTATATATATCTGTTCATTTAGGGAGAGAATATGTCAACTTCAAATTCAACCCTGGTGAATTGGTGCATGGACAGAGATACGTAATTTGTATCCACACGGTGTATACCGAGATAAAATTTGAGGAGTGGACCCAAGTCCTGCCAGAGCTAAACACCTGTAGTGATGGTGTAGTGGTGGATCTAACACCTCCCACACCTGGTAAGGTGTGGATAGGGAATGTCCCAGACACAAGGTTCCAGGTTAGTAGTAAATATCAAAGTAAAGCATATAAAATTTTTTTATCTATTAGTATATGATAAATATTTGTAATAGATTCCATGGAAGATTTATTGAATTTTTTTTTGATAAAACTTAGAGAAGCAGTTTCTTGATCCCTTGTGCATTTGTGTGTAAGCAGATGCTAAGATTAAGCTTTGTATTTTAGACCTCTACCACAGATATGTACATCAACTGGCAGACATTTGAAGATGTAGAAGAAATAAGTGCCATATCACACTCAACAGGCATCCAAGATTACCAACTAGGCATAGGTAATGATTATGATTTTTAATGCTGGTAAAAGTTAATTTTCTATAGGTACAGTTTTAGAGATGTAATTATTTGTAATGATTGTTGTTTACAGGTACCACAATAGGAGGGAATGATGTGGTGGCTTTCCACAGTTAATTTGATTTAGGTACAGCTTTAGAGGTGTAATTATTTGTAATGATTATTGTTTACAGGTACCACAATAGGAGGGAATGATGTGGTGGCTTTCCACAGTGTTGGGGTGGTGAACCATGAGGTTCTACATGGCCTCCACCTACAGTCCGGCCATACTTATTATGCTACAGTCATAGGTACAATATATATATATATATATATATATATATATATATATATATATATATATATATATATATATATTTCAGCCATATTTCAGTGATATAAATAAGAATATAACTTTGTGGAAGAGCTCATCTGCAGTACATGTATATCTGTTGCTACTATGGGAATAAAAAATGTTTGGCTCTTTAATATATATATATTAAAAGCTAGAGTAAGGTTACAATAACTTACATCCAGTTAAAATTTGAGGTTCATTGAAAACAAAAAACTTGTAAGAAGATCTAATTGAAATTTTACTTATTTGAAAAAAAATCATAAAGATTTCTTTCTATAGGTCTGGAAAATTTTATCTTTGAAAGAAATCTTTGTGGTTGCAATACAGGAAATCAAACTTTTTTAGGTCTCCTGCATCAATCTTTTGTTTTTTGCTTTAGTCTACATTTATGTTGTAGAAATACCATTTGTTCATTTCAGGAACATTCAATTAACATTCATATATAAACAGTTTGCCATAAGAATGCATATACAATGTATTACAAATTGAAGATTATTTGCAGCCATGGACTATGCAGGAAGAACAACAACAGTGACCTCTGACCCTGTAGTCGTGGATACATCCCCTCCACAAAAATCTGATTTGTCCATCACAATTACTGGAAGGCACTTTGTGTCGAATTCTGAAATAGAGGCTTGGTAAGGAAAACATTGCAGAAAGTTTGACCATATCAATAACAGAGTTACAAGAGAAGTGAAAAATTACTGTATTTGTGTTGTAGCTGGAAGAATGTCTTCATTGATCCTGAGAGCACCATAGATCATTATATGTGGGCAATCGGTTCAGAACCAGGGTATGATGATGTGATGGATTTCACCAGAGAAGAATCCGAGTGTGGAGAAAATAATCCACTAAATCCACTGGATCTAAAAGAGGGCCATGCTTACTACATCACCGTCAAGGTATCTGATTCTTTTTATCAGGATTGTTGTGCCATAAAGAAACTGTTTTATTTAATTCCTTGAAAGGAGAAAAGGGGCTCATACACAGATACATTTTTTTGGTAATGTTTCAATCTCCAAGATTTTCTTTGTAACAATTGTATTAAAAGTTGATGCTTTAATTACCTGCCATCTAATGAAGATGATTACATATTGACAATATTGAGAAAACAATTAATTATAACTAACAATTTTTGCAGGCAATCAACAAGGCAGGTTTAATGTCATCAGGCAGCTCTTGGGCCTATAGTGTTGACCTATCACCACCTGTGGCTGGTCACATTTATGATGGAGTCCTAGGACCTAACCATACTGACATTGACTTCCAGACTGACATGTCATCATTAAATGTTTACTGGGAAGGATTCCATGATCCCCACTCCGCCATTAAGGAATATTACGTCAGTGTAGGCACCTGTCCTGCCTGTAGTGATGTCATTGGCAGACAAGCTCTGGGAATCGTGAATTCCTTCCGGCTAGATCACGTCCACTTTGGAGCTGGGTTGATCTATTACACGTCCCTGACAGCTTGTAACACTGCAGACCTCTGTACCACTGTGATGACTGATGGAGTGATGATGGACAACAGTCCACCCAGTATGGGGCTAGTGATGGATGGAACAAAAGATCAGGACATCGAGTATCAGTCTATCAGGTAATGGTCAACATTTAGTTTTTCACCTGATATGGCCTAAATATTTTTTTTTTCATGACTATATGGCTGGGGCATATATGTACAAACTAAAATGTTGTTTTACTACGCTTTGCGTGTAGCTCTGTTCAAAGCTAATGAAACTATGACATATTTTTATCAAACTTCATACTAAAATGATTATTATCAGTCTTGAAATTTTTGGTTTTTTATATGTTTTTGACCTTGACCTCACTTTTTCTTAAATTAGTAAATCCAGTTTTAAACATACAATTCAAAAAACTACCAGACTTGCTTTATGTTTGGTCTGACCTAGCTGGACTAGGTAAACACTGAAAATGCAATGTTTTGTTCAAGTTTTTAATTTGTCCAGAACTGACAAGCCCTACCCAAACCAAACTTGCACAGATGATGAATGTGAACGTAGACTTGCTTAGGATGCATCTGTACATTTTGACCCTCAGATCTGACCAATTAAAAATGGAGCATTGTATAAGGACTATAAGTTAGGGACCAACTTATATGAATGGAAAATGCCTCATTAGGGATTGACTTCTACCAGACGTTTAAGATGCTGCCTCAACTTACAAATGGTTCCTTAGTAACTATAAGCCCACTGAACCAAACTTGCATGGATGATGCATCTAGAGATGGACACTACCAGGCTTCGGATGTTTCTGCCTTGTCGGATTCCCAAGTAACTATAAGCCCTGTCTGACCAAACTTGCATGGATGAACTCCCTATTACCAGACTTGAAATGTTTATGTTTCAGACAGATCTCATATAACAAACTTGCATGGTGATGCATCTAAGGATTTTTTGAAAAGCTTTGAATTGACCTCATTTTTATTCCCAAATAATGTATAGCCCACTTGAACCAAAGACAATTTTATACACATCAAAAATAGGCAGGGCATTCAATGTCTATTTCTAGTTGTCAAATTTAGATGTACAAACTGAAATGATGAACTTTTTTTAAAGTTAATGATACAATCCTTAAAAAATTTCTGAACATTTGAAGTAGAACTTACATAGGAGCTAAATGGCATGGCTTTGTTGACCCTCAGTCTGGACTTGACCACTATGTGTGGTGGGCAGGGACCACCCCTGGAGGAAACGATATCCTCCCAGAAAAAGAAGTCCACCTGACTACAACTGGGGTGGTGTTTAATTTGTCACCAGAACTCCCTATTGGGAAACGTGTTTATGTTTCAGTCAGAGCATATAACAAAGCTGGTAAGGTCTTACTTATTGTGAATTGTTCTACTGTAGCAAATGTGTAACTACAAAAAGTGAATAGTAGAAGATGTTGCTACCAGATAATATATATGGCAAATAATCTTTCAGATGCAACTGTAGGTTATAATTATTGGGATTGATTTATATCCTATATTTATGAACATTTACACCATATTGAAAGATAAATGTTATTCAGCTTATATGAATAAAATACATTGGACTTCTTCGTCAGGTTTATTTACTGCCTCAACTTCAAATGGTTTCTTGGTGGACACCACTGCTCCAGTCATTTCTATGGGTCCTAGATTTGCCTCGGACTTCAGCCTCGTGTCAGATACACAGTTCTACAGGACCCTGATGAAGGTGGAGTGGTCAGTGAGTGACCCAGAATCCCACATAGAGAGACAATATCTCTCTGTAAAGTCTCACATTGGGGGAGAGTTTGATCTGGCATCCACTAAGGTGAATTTGAAATATTGTTGATATATTGACTCAATTTTAGGTTCAAAGCAGGAATGTCATGAAATGGCTCCTGGCACTTGAAGGAAAGACAATTCAAATAATTAAAGAGAGTGAAAATGTCATGGAATCATGTAATAGAATTTAATATTTGATACTCAAATGAACTTTTTTTATGCAGGTGAATGGAATTGCAAGAGACTTTATCCTGACAGGTATGAAGTTACATGATGGAGTGACTTACTATGTGACTCTGATATCTTGTAATGGCGCCCAGATCTGTAGTTCTGCTACCACTAAGGGTTTGATTGTGGATACCACCCCTCCATCCAGAGGTAGGGTCTCTATAGATATCATTACTGTATACGTACTGTAGATGAATTTAAATCGGGGCGAATTCAAAGAACACAGTTTAAATTCTTAAACAGAGCTGGGGCTGGGCGAATTTATAATGGGGCAAATATTGTTTACAAGTGTAAAAGGGTAAAAATAACATGGGGCAAAAATAACCCACTGTACAGTATTACTCCACTCATATGAAACTCAAGTTAAAAATGAATTGTAATGAATAAGTTGAGAAGAGACTATTCATTTTCCGTATTTTACAGGAATGTTTGCTATTGAAACTGACCATGCTGCTAACTTGACCAGACACAGTGCTGGCTGGATGACTTGGGAGAAGACGGCAGTCAATCTGGCCTGGCTGGGATTCTCTGACCTTCACTCTCAGATCTCCCATTACTACATCAATGTAGGCTCAGTCTTCATGGGCAATGATATGAACGAGGTAGGAACTTTCTCTTCAAGTTATAGATCTGAATTTGTGCATACAGTGTGCTGTGTTTTTCGAAGAGGATTTTGAATTTATTAAATGCAACAGGAATAAGTTGTGTTTTGTGTCAGGCCAAAAAATTAAAAATTCAATGCAGGTGGCAGGCTTTTTTTTCTTTTTTTTTTTTTTTTTTGAAGAAGGTTTTACACCTGTGTTATTCCAAACATTTATTTAAAAGTTAATTTATAAAATACTGTAAATATAGAAGAAATATGTTGTTTTTCTGATAAAAACGTCTATCTTAGCATTTATGAAAAGGAAATGACTCGATTTTCTTTTTCAACTTGGAAAAATAGAAAATTGAGTTATTTCCCTTTTCAATATATCCATAAAATGGATCAATGCGGCTGTTTTTTAACCGATGCGGTGATGCCTGAGAAACTATTGATTAATTTTTTTGGCCTCAGGAGAAAAAATTTAAGAGTAAGACAGATGCATATTATTTATGCATATCATTTTAAAAGTATATATTTTCTGATGGTATAAATAGTAAGTAATCCGAAAGTAATGAAGAAGTGGTACATTAAAATGATTCACTTATACTCAAACCACATTTTATAAATGTGATGTTTGTTCACACCAAATTGCTTTCCCAGTTGTTTGAAGCAATTTTAAGAAAAATGTTTGTTTTTCAGGAGCCAGGTCGACCAACAAGAGTGGAATACAAGAATACTGGAGAAGATAAGTATGATGAAGGAATCGTACAGACTTCTAAAGTAAAAACCAGTAGTTACGACTCCAGTCAGAAATACCTGTATATCAGCATGTGGGCAGTTAATAAGGTTAGTTTTATATAGAAGTCAGTCAGCTACAGAGCTGTAGCTCACTGGTCTGACATTGAATTGAAATTAGTGTGGGCAACCAGACTGTGCATTCAAAAAGCTATATACAAAACTGTGTGGTTCTCAAGTTAAGTCTTTGAATTTTTAATCTAAAGTTTAGAGTTAGACAGAAGCTACCTGATTTGTTAGATATAGAAAAATGTTATTTTTGGCCTCAAACTTTAAAACGTGGATATAAAAATGTAATTAGATATTTTAATTTGATAATTTTCAGGTAGGGTTGAGCAGTCCAATCATACACTCCCAGTTTGAGAAGATCCCAGGGGGTGACCTATTTTTAATTCGACGGTGTGAAGCTGTGACCTGTGAGGGGCATTGTGTGTGTGCCCCCCAAGATAAAGTCTGTCACCCTCCACAAACAGCATGCCAGGATATATCCTCAAATAGTAAGAATCCATTCAAAGAAATTGAAAAATGGTGAAAATTGGGTCCGTTAACAAACAAATTATAAGTTACGGTATAAATACTAGTATTGGCCTTTTGTCATAACTGATACTCATACCAATTGAAGCATTCTACATATTTATGAAAACTAACATTGGCATCCTTTACTGATAAATTGTTCTTTTCAGATCAGAACAACATACTACAGGTGTATGATGTAGCTGGGAGTGGCACCAGTGATGTAGATTACACCCCGTCTAATGTCGTTTTACAGGGACAGTGGGCCATTGTCAACAACTTTGGAAATCCCCCTCAGTGGTAAGCTACTCATGACACTGCAATTGACATTCTGTCAAATAAAGTTATAGAGGGTTTTCTGTGCAGGTTCACCAAATTTAGTTAAAAAACTGAGGAATACATTTAACCAACAATGTAATGTTGATTGTACATTGTATTATGAAAATAAAGGAAAATTTAAACTTATACAAATGTATTCATAAAAGTATTCAGTGATATAAATTTTCTAACTATTATTAAGTGTATCCTCCTGATTTATCTCCCTTTAGGTATCAATGGAGTGTGGGGTACACAGAAAAATCCTCCCCAGAGGGAATATTTAATCAGGCTACAGAGAGAATATGGCATGATGCTGGACGAAATATGAAACAAATCTTTTTAACAAAATATGGTACATATATACATGTAACTGTATTTCTGAATAAAAAAATCTGTTGATATTGAAGTGAGTTTGGAATTAAACTAAATGTTGTTTTACAGGTATTTCTCTCAAGGAAACAGTCAAATATTCCTTCTTCCTAAAAGTGTGGTATGATGAAAACACTTATGCAGTGTTTAAGTCTGACGGAGTTACCATTGCTACACAGAAACCTGCAGTAACAAATATAAGGGGCAGTGCAGTAAGTCTTACATAAAACTATTAAGTTTCCCAATTTAAACTGTCCTTGTCAGATTATCTCTGCACTGCAGATATTGTTGTCCATCTTCAATGAATACTTTTAAAATGAAATACCGTATAATCCCTGTTAACCGCCCCTGCCCCTATAAGCGCCCCCTTAGGTCTTTTTAAATTGTCAGGAATTAAGAGCCCCTTGCAGAGTGATTAAAATCAACTAGAATCGTATCAATAAATTGAAGAACGTGAAAATGAAACTTGTCTATGATCCAATTTCTCAGTGGAAAATGAATAATTTAACATAATTTGGGTGGAATATCTTCACTTTAATTAAAGTTAGACATTATTTTAGTGGTTCCTTTTATTTATTTTTTTTCCGTAAGATTTTGTGAAGTTAAATGCAATTTTCTAAGCGCCCAGGTTGGTTAATAGGGATTATACGGTAAAATAGAATGAATGTAAAAAAAAAAAAAAAACATAAAGAAATTTAATATCTTGATCAGATCATTTTTGACAGAAACGTAGCTTACATGGTGACTTTGTTTCTTGAAAAGTTGACTGAGAGGCTAGGCATAATCTTTGATATTTTAAAAGCTTTAATTGGAAAAGATGTAATTTATTTAAATTACTTTTGCAGGTGAGAGAAAAAATGTTGGGAAGCAATTTTGTAGATCAAGATTTCATGAAGGGAGGGTTTCCTTTCACAGTTGAGTGGAACAGTAAATTCCTTGATGCTGAGAATGCCATCAAGACATTCCATCTGTACATCAGTACATATCCAGGAGGTTTGTAAATTTATTTGTCAATCTGATTAAAATCAGATCCTTTGATCCGCTCACATAGATCGCTACACAAGGATCTTGTCATCTGGTACCTTTGAATTAGAGAGGGGAGGCATGACGCTGGAAAAATCGTGACCTAGTTTTGTAGCCTTTAAAAGACCACAGTCTTTTTACAGTTATATAATAAGTACTTGCTTTCGTCTTGTTCTTTAACTCTTTGTTTTGTACGAAACCATAAAAAGCTACTTTCATCTAATTTCGTTTTTCCGAAAGTCGCTTAAGTACGACCTCTCTGATTGGTCAAAATTTTCATGAATATTTTTATTAGAAAAGTCAAGGAGATGACCCCAAAAAGATCCTTGTGTAGCGATCTAAAAATGATCTGATTTTAATCAGATTGATTTATTTGTATTCTTTCCACTCATTGACAGACAACTTTGTTTCGTAAAAAAATATATACCTAAAAACTTTGGATTTAAAGATGGGTTTAAATTTAATTTTCAAGTAAAATTCTTAATATTGAAGAACAAAATACGAATTGATCTCTGATCTGACAGATAGTTTCCGTGAAAACCGAGAGATGAGGGGTTTGAGAGATAGAATGTTAAAAAAAACCGAGAAATCCGATAAATCTACTTTTATAGATAACAGTATATATAAATAAAGTCATTGCACGTTTTCAATCATGGTGACAGGTAATTTACGTGATAAACAACAATGATTGTATTTCGAATAATAAAACGAAATTAAAAGTTTCAGTATTTATTTGATCTTATTTCATGATTAAATTAAACCCGAATAGCAGTTGTCGGTTTGGCTAACGGCTTTTGACCTTCACCAGTGTTCACCAGATTTTTCTTAATCGGTATTCAGTCCTCGAGAAAGGAATTTTCTTGTGCAATGTATGCCATGCTGCCATTATTTAGACTCTATTTAATCATAACAAAAGTTCATAGTCTATCGGAACTTACTGAAACGAACATCTATAAATTAAATTTCTAAAAATTTGTCTTGCTTTTAAATTCGAAATAATTTGTTTATAATTTTGTAATTAATAACCAAATAATTCATGAAACAGGGTTTCCTTTCAACTGTAGTGGATCTATGTAAACATTTAATTAACACCTCCATGTCAAAAAGGCGTTCATTATATACAGGATTGTAAATAAAAATTTGTATTCTTAAAGATTGACAGACAAAATTCAAAAAAAATATATAAAAGACTTTGGATTTGAGAAAACTTAAATTAAAAAATTAAAGAATAAAAAGGGTTTTAATTTAATTTTCAAGTAAAATTCTTAATATTGAAGAACAAAATATATCTAATTGCTGAATTCATCAACTGAATGACACATCATTGTTTTGCTTTAAAATCTTGATTTTTCAAGAATTATCTTTGATAAATTGACATGGGATATGTTGATGTTTTCCAGCTGCCAATGTCAAGATACCAAGGTATACCTACATGTGTATGTGCTTATAATTACACAGTATGTTTTGATACATTTTAAATCAGGTCATGACATTTTGGACATTGGTGAAGATCTACAAGGTACACAAACATCATATAACGTGATGCGGTCGTCCATTCTCCTGCCAGGAATTACCTACTACAGTAACATCCAGGCTTACGGATACTCTGACATCCACCACACTGAGTCATCCGATGGATTCAAACCAGACAAAACTAAACCTGTCACAGGAATTGTGTTTGATGGAATAGGTAGGCAAAGTCTTGTACAAGATCCTAATGTGATTTTTATCATCTGCAGCATATCTGTTACTCAAATAAATATCCATATAGTTATTATATTTTTTGATTTCAGAATAGAGCCAAGCAGTTTGTATGATTGTACAAGTCTAAATTTTGATTTTTGTACCTGTCCTTATGTCTCTTATTGGCAAAATGCCAATTGTCCAAGAATAATTTAAATAACTTTTAATCTTTCACCCTTGAAAAAATCTTGTTCATTTAATTTATGTTGTTTCAAATGAAAAAGCTCAAAAATGATTTTTTTTATTAGGTTTACATGACCTGGAGTTCCAGAATACATCAGATATAGTAGCAGCTCACTGGCATGGCTTCTCAGACATTGGTTCAGGTGTACAGCTTTATAACTGGTGTGTGGGATCCACCCCTGATGTTGTCACAAAACATAGAGATGTGGAGTGTGGTTACCGAAGCTGGGAGACTGTAGGCTTACACAACTCTGTGTCCAGAACTTTACAGACACCACTCAATCACAGTAAGTAGAACAATTGGAAAAAAAGTAATACTTAATACACTAGGGAGTAGAAATGTAATATGTGGCTCTTGTTCGATGAAAATGTCTTTCTTTTCAGGCAGGACTTACTACAATAAAGTGTATGCTGTAGACAATGTTGGCTACAAGTCTTCTGTGGTGGTCTCTGATGGTGTCACCATAGATCTCACCCCTCCTGAGCCTCAGTATCTCTTCCACACCGGCAACAACCTTCTGTCTAATCCGTCCTTTGAGATGTCCCCTAATGTGCTGCAGTCATCAGATGTTAATACCACCGACATTTGTAATGTGACCGTGGACTACCAGCCCAGCAGCTGGAATGTGTCCTCCCTGGGATGTGGGGCCGTCGTGTCCTCTGATAAGAACCTGGCCAGAGACGGCAGATCCTTCCTGTTCGTCCGGGGGAGTGTGACCCAGGCACTGACTGGACTGGTCATGGGTGGACTTTATAGGGTCAATTTTTTCTCCAGCCATCTATCCATTAGCAGTTCTACCCAGTCCAACAAAGAGGGGTATATACAAATGGGAGACAAGAGACATGTATTCCTCCTCTACACCAAGCCTTACAGGGGAGATGGCAATGATAAAATCACAGCAAGGGAGGAAATTTCCTGGCACAAGCACACCTTTTATTTTATAGCAATGAAAAAATCGGCTGATCTTCAAGTGGGCAGTGTGGATGAAAAGACAGGAATTTTTCTGGATCACATGACTGTAGAGCATGTGGAAAGGGACTCAAACAATGGAACAAGTGGATTACATGTTCAGGCCCATGTTGTTTATCTACATGAGTGGGGCTCTGTCCACGGATCCTGGAGTTTTGTGGAGGACGTTAGCTCCATTACAGAATACCAGTGGGCTATAGGTAAATAAAACATCCTGTGTGGTATTATCACTTTACTTATTTATACATGCAATTACTGTAGATCACTTAATTTTCGCGAACCTTATTTCCGCAAGATAGCCATGGACTCTTTTAGCAAGACAAAATTTTCACGAATTATGGTCATCGTTCTATATAATCTTAAGGAATTCTATTATACACGAGAATGAAATTTTCGTGAGCATACCGTCTCGCGTAATTACGCGAAAATAAAGTTCTCGCAAATAAAAAGTGATTTACAGTAGTTCATGTTCATAAGAAGTTATATTTTAAAGATAGTTTTTACCTATACTCCTTAAGCGCAAGGAAATTCTGTTCTCAGATAACTTTTCAGTTTGAATTGTTTATCTAGGCTACACAAGAGGAGGGACACAGTTACAGAATTTCCAGAGTGTGGGACTCTCCAACTTTGCTTTTAACTCCCAAGTGACCTTGACTCATGATTCCTATATATACATCACAGCTGTGGCCCAGAATTCAGCTGGTTTGAGGGGCATTTCTTATTCAGATAAAATTCTGGTAGACCTTACCCCTCCAAAAATAGAAGAAGTCCTGGATGGTGATTTGTTAGGTATATATCAGACTACAGATGAAAAACAGTTATCTATTCAAATTATGGAACATTTGGTATATGTACATTTGCATTTTGAGTGAAATGTAAGAAAGCAACATTAGGCTATACATTAACCTGTACATTCCAGATATACAAATGAACTGTACTGCTTTCTTTGTTACATATTTATGCTTGTGAAGCTGAAAAGATTTTTATAGTTTTGCAGTTTTTTTAGCTCACTTAAATTGAAGGCTCTATTCTGATCAAATTCGTCCATTGTTCTCTTTCTTGTTCTTGTCATAAACTCTCCAAATTTTCATCTTCTCCTCCAGAAAAACTACCAATTTCAACCAAACTTAGCACAGATTATCTTTGGGTTAAGAGGATTTAGGTTTGTTCATATGAAGGGTCCTATCCTCTTCAAAGGGCAAATGATCAAGATTGGGTAATTTAAATCTCTTGTCCTCAAGAACCATGGGGTCATAAGAGATGAAAATACAGGTAACTCTCGATACCTCGAAGTCCGCTGGACAGAGGAAAAACTTCGAGAGATCAAGAGTTCGAGTTTTCAAGAGTACAGAATTTCCAGGTTTGTTTGGCAGGTTTAAAAATTAGTCTTGCCTTTTCACACATGGTTTTTTATAAAACAGCGATATGATTTCATATTTTAGATGAATATTTATTAATCTGAGTAAAGTCAAAAATTGTATATCGTCATTTTATGTTTATTTTTTATTCTTTATAATACGGACATCATACTACGCATTCGTTATATGAAAGCGACATTTTACAGCGCCGCGTGGTACATAGCATTGTGATTTTTCCTAACACGTGCATTGAACAAAGTTCTGTAAATATTTGTCCAACAATAGTTGTCATATTGACACTGAGGCTGTTTCTGGATTTTCATATTTCGTTAAACTTTGACACTGACTCGAAATAAAAACTAAATTTTCTAAGTGTTTCGTATTGTAATCTGCAATTACATTTTCTAAGTGACACTGCGTTTCTAAATTATCGTAATACAGTCGATGATGATATTTTAATAGCATATAGGCAACAACGTAAGATTAATTATAAATCAATTATCACCTTGCAGTATCAGTGTCACCTGAATAAACATCCCGTTTCACGAGACCTGCGTCTTCTGCCTGGGCCATAAATGTCCAGGTAAAGTTGCTAATTATGTAACTTGTATACACATATCCACTTCGAGGTATCAAGGGTAAATTTCAATAGAATATGCATAGCGGGACTGCATTTTGACTTCGAGGGATCAAGGGTATCGAGAAATCAAGAGTTCGAGAAATCAAGAGTAAATTTGCTTGGTTATATAGGGGAAAAAATCGGGACCGGAGACTCACGTCGAGCGATCAAGAACTTGGAGAGATCGAAGTTCGAGCCATCAAGAGTTACCTGTACTTGCTGGTAAAGTAGCTTCAAATTTGTTCAAATCTTGATCCCTGGGGTTTGCGGTAGAATGGAGCCACAATGGGCAATCAGAGTTTTGCATAAGAAAATGCATGTGTAGGGAAAATCTTTTCAAGTCTTCATCTTTAGAACAACAAACCATGATTAGTTATGTTGATAATGGAAGCATCCTCTGTCTCAGTATAATAAAATCATGATACCTCTGTGAATGATGGGACTTTTGGTAAGGTTGAGTGCACAGTTTTTAATTTTATTTAGGAATATTTAAGGGGAAAGTATGCAAATAAACAACAGAAGAGTCCAAGTTACTGAGGAGAGCAGTGTGGGACATGGGCTTCTTCTTGGGGTATCTTGTCACCTGAGCTTGTTTAATATTATTATTATTAGAAAAAAAGTTTACAATGGATTCATTTTGTTGCAGGAGAAGACCTTGATGCTTGGAAGGAGAACACGGTGTATGTCAACTGGAAAGTTACAGATGATGAATCTGGTCTGGACTACTGTGAATGGGCTATAGGTAATGATTGGATGTAGGGAAAGAAAATGGAGCATTGCTTAAAATAAAGAAACCCAAAAATGGACAAAAATTATCTCCAAGAAAAGAATTAAACATGCATATAAAGATTATATAGTTTTAAATGTAGATATGCAATTATAAAAATGTTCAGGTTAACTAACAGCATAGACAGAAATGAGCAAAAGATTTTGAACATGGTGGAAGTTTTTATTTAAAATACTGCTTACTGTTTCTTGCATAGGATATCAACCAAAAGGCATTGAAGTACAAAGCTTTGAGAAAATTAAAATTGATGATAGAAAATCTTACAAGGATTTTGATCCAAGTGTACTTCAGGGGAGGACCGTATACTCCACAATACAATGTCAGAACAAGGCAGGACTACTGTTCAGTTTATCCTCAGATGGAGTGACCGTTTTTGACCAGCCCCCATCCATGGCTTCTGCTGTGATACAGACACGGCCATTGTCAGTGACAGAATACCCAGCTATGGATTATTATCAGAGTGTAGACAATAATCTGAGGATTGTATGGAGTGGAGTGTCAGACAAGATTGGAGTACAACAGTACAAGGTATTTATCTTGAGTACCAGTACAGGTACAGGTATGTCTAAGTCTGGGACCAATTTTGAATAGACCATTAACTGTTAGAGAAATGAAGCTTCATGAACCATGAGTTTCTGACATTGCTTACCTTTGCTTATCAAGATGTGTTCAGCAAATGGAAAGACCTTAAAGGAAGGAGGAAAGCATGGCCAGGTTGATTGTTTGGCAATATAGAAGCTAAAGGCTACTGAAATGTTTGAAAATTTTCTTTGTAGATATCTGTGAACAGCAACAAGTACAATTTGGATGGTATGGGGCTTACATTTTCTGATGCTCAAGATGTGCTCTTTACCAGTGTTAGCAATGTTGACCTTGGTCAAGGACAAACAAATGTTACTCTCCAGGCTATAAACAAACTCCTGGAGCGCAGCGTCCCTCTACATTATAATCTGACCGTGGTCGCTGACAAGCCCATCAAAGATCGTGAGTGTGAAAGTCTTCTGCATATTTATTGAAGCTTTATAATCCTATTCACCCAATATGAAAAGAGGGTGAAATTTCATTGTGATTTATTTGTATAAATTGAGATGAGTGAGGGTGAGTAAATTGCATATTTGATTACCCTCTTTGGGCTTGTCAAAATGTGTCTGATCCATAATTCTAAAACTCAATACATGAAAGGTCCATAAATATTGTTTATGACTTAGGATTTGTTTGCTCGTGACCTATCTTTTGTGCAAATTTAAAATACCTTTTTACCCATCTTGAAAAATATAGGTCAGTGTATCAAAAAGAAAAATATTTTAATGATGGCCCTCAGAAACAAAAAGTTCAAGTTGTTCATTTGAAAATACCCGGTAAATTAATTCAGCTTTGGTTACTTTTCCTTTTCTTAAACAGATTTTCCTAAACATTTTTATTTATGAATATCTGCTTACCACAAAAAAATGAAAATAAGCAAATTAGCAAAATAAGCAAAAGCACTTAAAAAAACATTCCCTTTCTTTATAGCTTCCAAACAACTCTCATTAAGCTGGCACGATGGAAACAAAGAATTTGTTGTATCATGGGATGGGATATTTACCTCCGATCATCCGCTGAGGTTTGAAGTATCAGCTGGAACTGCTCTGGGTGGGGGTAACGTCATACAGTGGCAGGAGACCCGTGCCACCAGTATTACATTTGGACTTCCTGACTCGGTGACTGGTACCTCCCGACTCAAGGTCTACATGATTGTGCGTGCCATAGCTGCTGGTGGGGACTACACTGATATACTAGGAACCATCACTTTACCTGCCTAATAAAGGCATGACTCAGATTCAACATTCTTTTTTATAAGGTTTGAAAAATTTATCTGAAATTACATTATTACAATCTGTACAATGTATATAAAATATCAATTTTATTTTTTTATCCCTTTACTTTTAGTAACATGTTTTTGATATGTTATTTTTTATGCCCCCTAATTTGAAGATTCAGGGGTATGTAGTTTTTTTTACTGTCCATCCATCTACATGTATCTAGCTGTCCTCTTATGAGACCATAAACTTAGATCAAGGAATAAAGTCAAAATATCAAACATTACTTTTCAAATAGTGTCCATTTTAAACACACATAGACCATATATTGATGCAATTCTCCATGCATATATTTTTATAGGATTGTATATTTCTTTAAAAATAATTTTCATCTAATTTTAGTTAAGCTTTATTCATACATAGACTAATAATGCAACTCTGTTTCTGAGGAAGAAGTTTTCTTATAATTACCTTCATTTAAAGGATATTTTTCAACTTTGTTACTGTACATAGGGCTTTCAAGATGTTAGAATTCTGTGATGTTACATAATCTGTGATAGGTCACTGATATATTGTTAATTGACTTGCTCAATCCTGTTAAATTTTTACTTATTTTTTCTGTCATTAAAATTAACACAATCAATTTTGTGATTTTTGTCTCTTTTTGATTTTTAACCTCATTGTTAAAGCATGTAGCTTAGTCAGGAAATAGACTGATTAATTTACTGAAATGGAAACTTGTCCTGAGCAGGTAATGAAAGTATTAATTTACCACCTGGTCAGGTCAAGTCATCACTGAGCCAATAAATTCACATATAGGTCAGATTTTGAACTGATGAAATCACCCATGGATCAGGCAAAAATTAATTGAGCTCTTGTTCAGGTAACTGAAACATTTCACCATTAGGCCAGGGATTGAAAACAAGAAGCAAATTCAAAGAATTGTGGTGCCCTGTTTTTGGTGTCTTAGTGGATGGGATGTGTTTTTTTAATGACATATTGTGTCAATCTTCAAGGTTGCAGGTCAAAAATTCAAGTATACATGTATTTAGAAAGTCCTTGTCACAGGTAATAAACATGTAAAAAAAAAAAAAGAAAGAAAGAAAGCCCTATCTCTTATCCTTCAAAATTTGTGACCAAGGTTAATGATTTTGTGACAGATGATAGAGATTTAATATCCCCTCGCTTTCCGCGGAAAATTTGTGACCGCGTACATAGCGTAAATTAATACCACGCGGAAAAAAGTACTTCTACAGTATTTTCATTTTCAGGCCTTTGTTGAATCGAAATATCCCCTTGAACTTGAAGTTAAAGACACAACAGACTCCGAAATATTTGTAACATGTTTAGTTATGTCTACTGGAGGAAAGAAACTTAATGGCAAACTAACGATTAAACTTTATAGGTGATGAACGTATTAACTTTTCTTTCATAAGCTCCCTTTCTTTCGAAGCATTATACCGTTACTGCATGCATATATCATTAATTTCCCAATTTATCTCCATACACAAAAGCATGTTATAAGCACGATCAATTATTAAAATCAGGCAATAGACGAACAATAGAGAACTGATGCAACACGGATATCAAAATCAACATTTCACAAATTTTATGGTCAATACAATGTCAGTGTCCTTCTCAGCAAAAACAATCTATTGCTAAGTCAAAATTTGCATTCAATTTGTTAGACTATCATGTTGACACTGATTATTTGTTAGACTATCATGTTGACACTGATTATTGTCCCCCGCTTGAAAAGTGGGGGATATTAATTTGGGTTTGTCCGTCCGTCCGTCTTTCTGTCTGTCTGTAACGCTTTCGTTTCCACACGATATCTCGAGAACCCTTTGAGCTTTTGCAATGAAATTTAGCATAGCAACTCCCTATGGACTAAAGAAGACCCCTATTGATTTTGAGGTCAAAAAGTCAAAGGTCAAGGTCATAAATAAGCAAATTCTGTCTGTTAAAACACTTTCGTTTCCACACGATATCTCTAGAACCATTTGAGCTATTGCAATGAAATTTTACATAACAACTCCCTGTGGCCTAGTGAAGACCCCTATTGATTTTGAGGTCAAAAGGTCAAAGTTCAAGGTCGAAAATTTATACATTCTGTCTGTGTGTAACACTATCATTTCCGGGCGATATTTCAGGAAGATTTTGAGCTTATGCAATGTAATTTTATACCAAAACTCCCTAGGACCTCTCTCGCCCCTCTCAAAGTGCCCCGCCCCGTTTGTTTTATTAGTATTTATAGTATTACATGTCGCTATTTTTAGCGCAGGGGCATGAGGCGAGTTATTGCGTATGAAACTGGTTCTCGGCGGACTTTATGTTCTTGTTACATCTATTAAAACTGTTTAATAAAGGCTATATAAATCAAACACCATGGATTGTGTAAAATTTTGAGAATACCGAACATGAATATATACATGTATGCGACTTCAATTCTGCATATACTTCACACAGAGTAAAGCGAATCCGTGGTCGATTGGTTATGTCTCTCGCTTCACATGCGAGAGGTCCCGGGATCGAATCCCGGTCGATCCTTTCTTTTTTTCTTTTCTATTTTTTTTTAAATACATGTACATTTTTTTTTTTTTTTTTTTTTACTAAATGATAGTATTCAGCATGTGAAATGAAAAATTTATGAGGTTATAAAATCATCATTACAGTGTGATAAATATTCCATATAAAAAGAATCTTCTATACACATAATAAAGAATAAGCAATCAAATCTGTATATGCATATTGACATACATGTATTTTATTTGCCTCAGTATACATGTATATATTTAATATGTCTAATTCTACAAATTTAGTCAGGGGGATCCGACTTTTTCCCTAAGCGGGGGACACGAATTCTCTGAATTAGCTTGTTTGTTGATAGATTTTACTGTTTACCCGATCATATAAACAAAAAGTACACGGCGAGGTCAGGAAATCATTACTCCTCAGTGGCACCTGAACCAATCTCTGATGTTTTAAAAGGTCCATGTTTGATTTTCTCCCAATATTATTGTTTCAATGGGCTTCGATATTTAGATGCCACCACATGTTGGTGGAGGACTGCCAGTTTTAACACTTATGCTCGGCACATTGAGTCAATGATCATTGAGCAGGACCTCAATTTTAGGGTCTCATTCGAGGGCCCAATTGCAAGTTGGAGGCGGCGATTTCCCAGTTTTCGTAATGGCGCCGGTTCTGACGTTTTCCTGGCACCTAAAAAATCTAAATCGTAAAAAGCCAGGAAAACATCAGGCTTGACCACAAAAGGGTTAATTATAGAATGTCACATAATATTGTTTATGAAAGTAAGATACCAAAGAAACAATAGTTGCACAGGTCAATGCAGTATACACACACAAATACACGATCGATGCAATGTCAGTGTCCTTCTTAGCAAAAATACACGAGTACAAATACACGTAAATGCAATAAAATGTAAACAAAAGAAATACAAAATAACCAACACGAACACGCGGATCGTCATTCCAGGCCGATATCCGTGACAATGACGTATTCAGGTGAGTATACCCCGGTACCGATATCGTAGATAGTAATATCGAAATGGCGTATGCCTATTTACGAATCAAGTTTAGCTTTAATACACTAGTCAACTTTTTTTTTACAGTTAAATTGAAATTGGATAAATTCCATTTCTTTTCCTCGTAACCATGGCGACATGGTTGTAAAAATCAATTATCCATACAAAATTATTATCTCAGTATTTTCTATTTCTGTACTTTTGTGGGTAATGGAGCCTTACCATGGCTTAACATTTGATGGTTTCTGACCAGTAATGTAGAGCTCCAAATAAATTCGTAACGAGAGTTTCTAATTAATACTGTAAAATCACATTTTCGAGGGGTCAATTTTTCGTGGTTTGAGGAAAAAGCACTTATGTATGTAACATTTTACATTTCGTGGTGGCCATAAATTCGTGGATTTCTTCATACCTTGAAAACAACGAAAATTAAACACCCACGAAAATTTGTGATTTCACAGTACTTAGAAGTAGGTATATACATATTGGCGTGTATGCCGATTTTACCCTTTATTTTTTAAGGTCTTGCAATTTCCATATGCAAGTAAAATTTATCAAATAATACTACCAAAAAATTCTGTTATCACAATTTTTCGATTCAAGTAGCCGATGCCGTATATATGATCAATGACGATTCCACTCTTGTACGTAGAAGAAAATATTGCACTTTCAAATACAATGTTTCAGTGGCATACTGATAGCTATAAATTGTACATTTTATTCTGTGGTTTTTTTATGCGCCCGGATCGATAGATCCAAGGCGTATATTGTTTTTGTCCTGTCTGTTTGTCTGTTTATCTGTTTAGCTGTTTGTCTGTTTGTCTGTCTGTCTGTTGTCAACTTTAACCTTCGCCATAACTTTTGAACCATGAAAGATAGAGACTTCATATTTGGTATGCATACTTTCCCAATGAAGTTCTTTCGAATGACACCAAGGTCAATGACCTTGTGACCTTGACTGTGACCTATATGCTAAAAATAGATATTACAATTTTTCGCCCTAACTTTTGAACCATGAGAGATAGAGACTTCATATTTGGTGTGTATACTCCACTGATGAAGTTCTTTAAATGACACCAAGGTCAATGACCTTGTGACCTTGACTTTCACTTATCTGCTGAAAATAGTTCTTTTTTAACTTTGTTGCCGCCGGGCGCATAGTGTTTCATAAACACATCCTGTTTTCTTCATTTTTAGCTCACCTGAGCCAAAGGCTCAAGTGAGCTTTTCTGATCAAAATTTGTCCGTTGTCTGTCGTTGTCGTCGTTGTCGTCGTAGTCGTCGTTGTCGTTGTTGTAAACTTTTCACATTTTCATCTTTTTCTCAAGAACCACTGGGCCAATTTCAACCAAACTTGCTACAAAGTATCCTTGGGTAAAGGGGATTCAAGTTTGTTCAAATGAAGGGCCACACCCTTTTCCAAGGGGAGATAATTATGAATTAGAGAAAAATTAATGGTTTTTTAAAAAATCTTCCTCTCAAGAACCACTGGGCCAGGAAAGATGAAACTCATGTGGAATCATCCTCAGGTAGTGTAGATTGAAGTTTGTTCAAATCATGACCCCCGGGGGTAGGGTGGAGCCAAAATGGCCGATCAAAGTTTTACAGAGGAATATATAGGAAAAATCTTTTAAAATCTTCTTCTCAAGAACCACTGGGCCAGGTAAGATGAAACTCATGTGGAATCATCTTCAGGTAGTGTAGATTGAAGTTTGTTCAAATCATGACCCCCGGGGGTAGGGTGGGGCCAATATGGTCGATCAAATTTTACATATGAAGATATAGGAAAAATTTTTAAAAACCTTCTTCTCAAGAACCACTGGGCCAGGAAAGATGAAACTCCTGTGGAATCATCCTCAGGTAGTGTAGATTGAAGTTTGTTCAAATCATGACCCCCGGGGGTAGGGTGGGGCCAAAATGGCCGGTCAAAGTTTTACATAGGAATATATAGGAAAAATCTTTAAAAATCTTTTCCTCAAGAACCACTGGGCCAGGAAAGATGAAACTCATGTGGAATCATCTTCAGGTAATGTAGATTCAAGTTTGTTCAAATCATGATCCCCGGAGGTAGGGTGGGGCCAAAATGACCGATCAAAGTTTTACATAGGAATATATAGGAAAAATCTTTAAAAATCTTCTTCTCAAGAACCACTGGGCCAGGAAAGATGAAACTCATGTGGAATCATCTTCAGGTAGTGTAGATTTAAATTTGTTCAAATCATGACCCCTGGGGGTAGGGTGGGGCCAAAATGGCCGATCAAAGTTTTACATAGGAATACATAGGAAAAATCTTTTAAAATCTTCTTCTCAAGAACCACTGGGCCAGGAAAGATGAAACTCATGTGGAATCATCTTCAGGTAGTGTAGATTCAAATTTGTTCAAATCATGACCCCCGGGTGTAGGGTGGGGCCGAAATGGCCAATCAAAAATCTACATAGGAATATATAGGAAAAATCTTCTTCTCAAGAACCATTGAGACAGGAAAGATGAAACTCATGTGGAATCATCTTCAAGTAGTGTAGATTCAAATTTCTTCAAATCATGACCCCCAGGGGTAGGGTAGGGCCAAATGGCCGATAAAAGTTTTAAATAGTAATATATAGGGAAACCTTTTAAAATCTTTTCAAGTACTTCAAAGCCATGCTTAGTGATATTTATAGGGAATCATCCTCAGGTATTGTAGATTCTAGTTTGTTCAAATCATGACCCCCTGGGGGGTTAAAATTCAATCCCCCTCTCCCCCTCCCCGCCCTCAGTTAACTTTCAGTTCTGATCTGATATGTGCTTTTTTTCTAGCCAATTGCTCAGGTGAGCGATGTGGCCCCTGGGCCTCTTGTTTTTATGTTTTCTATAGAAATTCTGTGAAATTCTTTTAAAACACTGCTCCTCCCTCAGTTGCAGCACATTCGATTTGTAACAGCATTATCTATTGCGAAACTTTAAGGTATAAAACATATTCTTCAGACCATGCAGACAAATTATGAATGCACGGGAAAAAAACGGATTATAAATATACCGATACTTCTCAGGAGTGCAGGGATTCAACAAAGCCGTTCTGACTGAGCTTTTCGAGTAACTGCCTGGCGAGTGGTACCGATGTATAGGAATTCATTGATGAGGGGAAAACTGTATTTTTAACTGTAATGTTATTGGATCTTCCCTTGATTTTTTTTTAATGTGCAGATAATGGGGATCAATAGCATCAATTAGACAGTGCATCGTCAGTGATAAAAACAAATTGATTACGGGGATAGTTATTTTATTTTTATTTAAATGTTCTCTTTACAAAACAATCAAATGAATACATTTCCACGCATTTTAAAACATAACGCTTGGTTATCCTGGCGATTAATCGACTTTTGAACAAAGTCGAAGCAAAATTATCTCGTCAGTGCTCTAACTAGTTATTTTAAAATATTAACTCTACGGGGAAGAATAAAAATACACTGTACACAAAAAGTGAGATGTCTAACACGTATATATTCGCTTTACTCCTTGGTCTTTTGGGAGTTTTTAAAGCAGAAACTTCAGCAATAATTGAAAACTCGAAGTTAGGAGAAAATATTCTTCTAACACTGGATTTGATTGGGCAGAAGATGTGCGTGCATCAGTGTTTTTACCACAGTGATTGTAAGGCTGTAAATTTCAACAAACGACAGCTGACCTGTGACCTTTTGACCCGCTCCGGTCAGGAAGAGCCAGGGTCTCTCCAGTATGATTCTGATTATATTCACATCTACAACTTATCCAACGACCAGGTTTGTATTAAACCCGGTTGTAGTATTTTGAAAGTAGCAAATGGTAATTGTTTCAATAAGATCAATGCAATACATTTTGATGACGAACAGTGTATTCAAGTTCTAAAGTCCACCCAAACAATAACAATCAGAAGCAGAGTAAGAACGAACCCGTCAGAGGTGGATTCAAGTGCCATGGAGGAGTGAGCATCCCCTGTTGACCGGTCACATCCGCAATGTGCTCCTTGTCATGGACGGGAAATACTAGTAACGGAAAAATCCGTCGTCAATTCAGTGTGTAAATTATGGCCTAACAATTAGTATGAAAAACGGTCAGTCAACATTTGACTCAATGATAAATTGTATCTGCTGACAAGGTCATTGTATCGGTCATTGAACTTATGATGACTTTAAACGAGGCTGCCGATATTCCTGTTTTAGCAACTTGTTTGTCAATAATTTACCTCGTTTTAGAAAATGTACATTTGTAGAGCATGCTCTTGCATATCGAATCAACTGAGATGCAATGTCTATAAACTCCAAGGTATATTGCTGCATAAGTAAGTGACCATTGAAAAGTAAAAGTCATATCGTTTATCGTAGAGCTTGGTTGTAAAATTACCATTAACGTCTTTTTCAAGTAAAATATCCAAATATAAAACAGATTTGCCAGACTCTGTGGTATCTTTTATCTTAAGTTCATCGGGATATATCGTATGGACATAAGAATCGAAATAGGCATTGTTAATTGACAATACGTCGTCGATATTATTTAAATGTCGAGTTGAAAGCCACATCAAGTGTTTTCATCTTTTCACGTATAAGATTTTATACAAAGTCAGCTTCATATGATTACTAAAAAGGTCTGCTAATAACGAGGCGCAATTGGTACCCATTTGAATTCCAATAGATTGTTGGAAGACCTGGTCTCCAAAAACCACATAAATTCTGTCAATCAGAAACTAAAGTATTTTTTATGTCAACGTCAGAGTACTTGTGTGTACAATCAAAATGTTTTTCAACAACATAAATTTCCAAATGACCAATGACATGGTAAGTAAATTAACGAGTTCCATTTTTATTGAAAAAGCAGCTGTCAATGATATCAAAAAGCCTGGACTTTAACATATCGCGGGGAATGGTTGTGTATAAAGTTGAAAAGTCGTAAGTTTTTTAAGCTGTTGAATTTGGTAAAATCTTGTGATTTCAAATTTTCCAAAAGTTCCTTGGAATTTTTAAATATCCACATCCGATATACACCACTTCTCGAATATATTGTTGCACAGTACTCTTGAAGTTTCCACTTTATTACTGTTAATATCTTAGTAAGGAGTAAAGAAAGAGGCTTGGTTGAACATTTTTTACTTGAGCCCGCTATGTATCCTTTTTTAAGTAAGGATTTTTATGAAGTTTCGGAATCCAATATACGAGATATACGTAGATATGGTAATTCAAACTTATTTTGGTTTTTGGAATATTAATAATACTGTAGACGTACTTTTTTCCACGGGGTCATAATTCCGCGGAATCTCAATTTCTATTCAATCCGCGGGTAGAAAAAATTACGCGGATTTTCTAGATTGTCACTATATGCCTTACATTTATATTAAGTACGCTTGGACAAATTTCCGCGGAAAATTTGTAACTGCGTACATAGCGAAAATTAATACCACGCGGAAAAAAGTACTTTTACAGTATTTAAAACTGACATATATTTTTTTCCTCAAAAAGTAAACAATGAGCATAAATAAGTAGGATTACCACTTGTAGAGTTATATCTAAGTTCCTCAAAAATATATTTTAAATTAGCCTTACAAACAAAGAGAATGTTGTTACCTGTTTTGTCAGCATTGATCAGTAAGTACTGATAATCTAATCTATCTAATTCTCTTTTTCACTTATGGATTACTGAAAAAAGAGGAATAGATAGTTTTCATATTACCCCTCAATCTTTTAATGCGCAATTTTCACATACATGTACATCTGATACATTTAATCCATTCTGAAGGTGTTAACGTTTTCTTTTCTATGACTGGCCCATCGCCTGGCGTAATCTTCTACAGAATCCATAATATTTATGAAATTCTAACGCCAGGTGAGGAATCTTTTAAAATAAGTGTTCTAAGGTCCTCATTATTAACTATATTTACGTCACTAGTAATAACGTGTCCAGCAGGACTATAGTTATAGAGTGAAGAAGAACATGAACTCGATGGAGGGACATGTTTCAAATATTCGATATACAGGCCCTGTAAAGTTTACTAGTTATTAAAAGTTTGGAAGCAATAGTCGATATACTGTAGAGGATTACTACAATATCTGCAAACAGTATTTACAGAATATTTTGCTTTCATTCTCTCAAAAACATATCTAGATTCAGATTGTAATGGTCTAAATTAATTTCGGAAAAAACGATTGGAGAAAAACCATTTTAAAAAGAAGAAAAAGAAAACCTGCATTTGATCAGACAATATTATTAGATTTCAGATTTCTGTGCAAATACGTCGTGTCCAGCACACAATCGATGCGTGAATGGAGAAAGAAAATCTCTATGTGTTACATCTGGTAAGTGTGTCGAATGTCGAATCTGAGTTATATCGGTGAGTAAAGAGAAAACAAGACAGTGTATTATTGCTTGTAAGGCAAGAAAAACAATCCTCAATCATCTTTATGTTGTATCTGTTAAGTATAGAGACACAATCATCTATGTGCTTTATCTGTTTAGTATAGAGACCATCTTCGCTAGCCAAGGGTTTCCGATAAGCAGCTCCTCATAATCGGAGAATAGCGTATCAAAAAGTCCTGGCTAGCGAAGATGTATAGAGAAACAAGTATCGTTGTGCTGTATCTGTTTAGTATAGAGACACAATCATCCTTGTGCTTATCTGTTTAGTATAGAGACAGAATTATCGTTGTGCTGTATCTGTTTAGTATAGAGACACTATCATCGTTGTGCTGTATCTGTTTAATATAGAGACAGAATTATCGTTGTGCTGTATCTGTTTAGTATAGAGACACAATCATCCTTGTGCTTATTTGTTTAGTATAGAGACACAAGTATCGTTATGCTGTTTAGAATAGAGACAGAATTATCGTTGTGCTGTATCTGTTTAGTATAGAGACACTATCATCGTTGTGCTGTATCTGTTTAATATAGAGACAGAATTATCGTTGTGCTGTATCTGTTTAGTATAGAGACACAATCATCCTTGTGCTTATCTGTTTAGTATAGAGACACAATCATCCTTGTGCTTATCTGTTCAGTATAGAGACACAAGTATCGTTGTGCTGTATCTGTTTAGTATAGAGACACAATCATCGTTGTGCTGTATTTGTTTAGTATAGAGACACAATTATCGTTGTGCTATATTTGTTTAGTATAGAGACACAATCATCGTTGTGCTTATTTGTTTAGTATAGAGACATAAGTATCGTTATGCTGTAGGAGTATCTGTTTAGTTTAGAGACACAATTAACATTGTGCTGTATCTGTTAATTATAGGGATACAATAATCTTTGTGCTGTATCTGTTTAGTATACATGCAGACACAATCACCTATGAGCTTATCTGTTTAGTATAGAGACACAATCATCACTGTGCTGTATCTGTTCAGTATAGAGACACAATCATCTATGGGCTTATCTGTTTAGTATGGAGACACAATCATCGTTATGTTGTATCTTTTTAGTATAGAGATACAATCATCGTTGTGCTGTATCTGTTTAGTATAGAGACACAATCACCGTTGTGCTGTATCTGTAAATTATAGGGATACAATCATCGTTGTGCTGTATCTGTTTAGTATAGAGACACAAATATCGTTGTGCTTATCTGTTTAGTATAGAGACACAACTAACAGATACAACACAACGATGATTATATCTCTATACTAAATAGATACAGCACATAGATGATTGTGTCTCTTTATTAACAGATGCAGCACAACGATGATTGTATCCCTATAATTAACAGATACAGCACAACGGTGATTGTGTCTCTATACTAAACAGATACAGCACAACGATGATTATATCCTTATAATCATCGTTGTGCTTATCTGTTTAGTATAGAGACACAATCATCTCTTGCTGTATCTGTTTAGTATAGAGACACAATCATCTAATGCTGTATCTGTTTAGTATAGAGACACAATCATCTATGTGCTTATCTGTTTAGTATAGAGACACAATCATCTATGTGCTTATCTGTTTAGTATAGAGACACAATCATCTATTGCTGTATCTGTTTAGTATAGAGACACAATCATCTATTGCTGTATCTATTTAGTATAGAGACACAATCATCTCTTGCTGTATCTGTTTAGTATAGAGACACAATCATCTATGTGCTTATCTGTTTAGTATAGAGACACAATCATCTATTGCTCTATCTGTTTAGTATAGAGACACAATCATCTATTGCTGTATCTGTTTAGTATAGAGACACTATCATCTATCGCTGTATTTGTTTAGAATAGAGACACAATCATCTATTGCTGTATTTGTTTAGTATAGAGACACAATTATCTATTGTTGTATCTGTTTAGTATAGAGACACAATCATCTATTGCTGTATTTGTTTAGAATAGAGACACAATCATCTATTGTTGTATCTGTTTAATATAGAGACATAATTATCTATGTGCTTATCTGTTTTGTATAGAGACACCATCATCTGTTGCTGTATCTGTTTAGTATAGAGACACTATCATCTATTGCTGTATCTGTTTCGTATAGAGACACAATCATCTATTGCTCTATCTGTTTAGTATAGATACACAATCATCTATTGCTGTATCTGTTTAGTATAGAGACACTATCATCTATTGCTGTATTTGTTTAGAATAGAGAATACAGCATCTATTGCTCTATCTGTTTAGTATAGATACACAATCATCTATTGCTGTATCTGTTTAGTATAGAGACACTATCATCTATTGCTGTATTTGTTTAGAATAGAGAATACAGCATCGTTGTGCTGTATCTGTTTAGTATAGAGACACAATCATCGTTGCGCTGTATCTGTTTAGTATAGAGACACAATCATCGTTGCGCTGTATCTGTTTAGTATAGAGACACTATCATCGTTGCGCTGTATCTGTTTAGTATAGAGACACTATCATCGTTGTGCTGTATCTGTTTAGTATAGAGACACTATCATCGTTGTGCTGTATCTGTTTTGTATAGAGACACCATCATCTGTTGCTGTATCTGTTTAGTATAGAGACACTATCATCTATTGCTGTATCTATTTAGTATAAAGACACAATCATTGTTGTATTTTATCTTCTAAGTATAGAGACACAATCCTTGTTGTGCTGTAAGAAATTTCGATGCAATTTTTCAAACTGAAAGACATCCTTATCGACTGTTTTTGTAACAGCGATATACGTTTTGATTTCCTTCAAACGTACACTTTTGATCTGAGAATTTAACTGATTTTATCGATTGCAAAAATATTTAACCTGTTTTTGAATTATAGACTTCAGGAATCATACTACACGTATTAGAAATATATTGACTCTACTTCATGTAAAACAAATTTAGTTTCCCTAAAGTACTTCCATCAAAATCAAGAAAAGCATCTTATTTGTTTTTACGACAGGGTGTCAGACAAATGGATTAACAATCATCAATGGAAATATAAGAGATGATGTGATTCAAGTCGGCAGTACTTTGGAATATACCTGTCTCCTTGGATATGCAAAGAGAAACATAGACATCAGGTGCCTCAGTAGCGGGAAAATTGAAAATGCCGAGAAAGTGGCTTGCTGTGAGTACTTTTTCTTTTAAAAACACAATTTAAGCTATAGACATAACTAAAGGATAGAAATAAAGTATCAATGTTTTGTAGTTATTATTCATTGGAATATTTTAGTGTATCCTTGAACGTACGTGTTTTCAATTGTCTGGAAAATTTATTTCAGTAATGATAGCATTGTAATTTTAGTCAAAATGGAAGGTTCGTGGACTATTGCCTTTAAAATCCAGAGTAACAGTGGTGCACATCCTTTGAACTCGTTCCTTGACACCGGGACACAACAAGAACGAAACTCTTCTTTCCCCTCAACCTGTATGACGCTGACTAAGGTACCCGAATGTACTACTCCTTATCGAACAGGACTCGTTGATGATTGGGGACAATTAGGCGTGCAAGAAGTAATTCCTCATTTGATCATTTTTCAAGAAAGACACCAAACAGATTCAGTCTAAGTTTCCTACAACATATCACAATCTTTAAAATATTCACGTAGCCTTTTTAAGATTCTCTGAAAATGTGTACTCAAGTATTTTTTACTACTTAGAAAACAATCTTGCAAGGGAAAAAATAGTCAATGAATCAAAAATGTATTTTCAGATTCGTTTTGTGATAACTGTTAATTCTACACTGACACAAGAGATCGTTTTTGACGGATATAATTCAACTAACTTTGACTGGTTCACCGGAAGCCGTGTCAAATCGTCCACGTGGTCTGACGTCACAAATACGCAGACGTACTTGCATTTCAATTTACCAGGTGATCAAAGGTAAATTTCTTATGTATTTGTTAAATTTGAATCAAACATCAGCTAAATCTTGTCAATTCATGACAAATCACGTTTCTACTGATTTGAGCGAATACCAAGGGGTGTTAAGAAGGAAATGTGTTTGAAAATTTCAAAGTAGTGTTTAACTTAAAAGATTAATTCTCTTGCCGGACAAAATCACAAGATTATGCTTTCAATTTATAGCAATAAGTATGTAGCAGGAAATAATGTAATGTTTTCCATATGAAAATGTATACAGAAATATCTTTAAAACATCGAAATGAAAGAGCTGCTGGTATTTTGTTTGAAAATGTAGGATTACAGATTTTTGATTGTTTCTTCACAGATGATCTTGCATCATACATTTGTGTAACACCGAGGAACTTAGTTAAAGTAAAGATTAGTTACTTTTTGATATCATTGACAGCTGCTTTTTCGATAAAAATGGAACTCGTTAATTTACTTACTTGGTCATTGGTCATTTGCAAAATTATTTTGTTAAATCACATTCTTATTGCACACAGACGTACTCTGAAGTTGACATCAAAAAGATGCTTGAGTTTCTGATTGACAGCATCTGTGTGGTTTTTGGAAACAAAGGTCTTCCAAAAATATATTGGAATTCCCGTGAGAACCAATTGTGCTCTGTTATTAGCAGACCTATTTCTGTATTCATATGAAGCAGAATTTGTGCAAAATCTTATGCGTGAAAAGAAGAAAAAACACTTGCACGTGTCCTTCAACTCGACATTTAGATATATCGACGACGCACTGTCAATTAACAATGGTAATTCCATTCCTATGTCGATACGATCTATCCTTGTGAGCTTAAGATAAAAGATCATACTTGGATATTTTACTTAAAAAAGACATTATTAATGGTAATCTAACAACCAAGCTATATGATAAACGTGATGACTTAACTTTTCTATCGTCAGCTACTCTTACTTATGCAGCAATACTCAATGTAGATTCCTTATTTTTTGCGAGTTCTCATTATCACGAATGGGCTCTTCAACGTCAAATCGTGAAAATAATAATTCGAAAAAGGACGGCTGATCAAGAGATTTTACTTTGATTTCAACACCATAAAAATAAAGGCGAGTAATTTTATCTCGCGTTTGGTGCTTCTCGCGAAATTACGCGATAATTTATTCTACGCCTATATTTAGGAATCTACATTATACCTTCATTACCTGCATACGGCGTTTATATATCTTATACGTATGAACAATGTCTAAAACGAGGCAAATTATTGACAAACAAGTTGATGAAACAAGAATACAAGCAGTCTCGTTTAAAGTCATAATTTCGTAAGTTCTTTGGTCGATACAATGACCTTGTCAGCAAATACTGTTATTCATTGAGTCAAATGCTAACTGACGTTTTTCATACTAATTATTAGTCCATTATTTATACACTGAATTGACGACGGATTTTCCCGTTATTTCCCGATCACGACAAGGAGCACATGGCGGGTGTGACCGGTCAGCAGGGGATGCTCACTCCTCTATGGCACTTGATCCAACCTCTGACGTTTTAGAGGTCCGTGTTTGCTCTGCTCTTTCTTTGTATTGTTCTATGGACTTTGATCTTGAATACGGTTCGTTATCTCCATAGCTTTCATTACTTTCCAAAAGAATAGCTTTGACCCATTCCATTAGAATTTTTTTTACTGATTTCATCAATTTTGTATTGGTATTAGAAAGGATATAATGGTCTGAGTGCTTATGTTAGTTCTCACATTATGCTGCATGCCTGATTTTTTTTCTGCACAGACATAACTGTTTTAATACCTGCCCTTCCCCTTTCTTTTCAGTTGAAACCTTTTTAGTAGTAAGAATGGACTCTGTGAACATGAAATATCACAAATTTTGAATATCTCCTCATTTCATTTCCTTTTGAAAATGAAAGAAAAAAATATGGAATGGACTTTCTTAATACCCTTTATAATCAAGTATTTTCAAAGTAATTGCAGAGGGAAATTGAAATCATCGTATTTCTGCGAAATTATTAGCATTCTGCATATTTTGCAAAGATAAGTACATTCTATCAGTGTTTCTACAGTTCTACAGATTGTAATGATGCTTTATTTAATTTCCTATCATGTGATGTAATATATATTATGAAGATAACGAACCGTGTTCACGGTCAAAAGTACTTAAAACAACATAAATCAGGAGCAGAGCAAACATGGACCTCTAAAACGTCAGATATCAAATCAGGTCCCATGTAGAAGTGAGCATCCTCTGCCGACCGTCACAGCTGCAGTATCCCTCTTGTCATGATCGGGAAATAACAAATAAAAAAAAATCCGTCGACAATTCAGTTTTAAATAATGGCCTAACAAAATTATTTGTATGAAAAACGTCAGTCAGCATTTGACTAAATGATAAATTTTACTTGCTGACCAGGTCATTGTATCAACCATAGCACTTACATGTAGTACAAAACGACGAATTTAAACGAGACTGATGATATTATTGTTTCAGCAACGTCTTTGTCAATAATTTACCTCGTTTAGAAATTGTTCATAGACTTACGTAAAGCATGCTGTTGCGTATCGAATCAACTGAGGTATATATACCCCGTATGCTGGTGACGAAAGTATATTATTGTTTGGCCAGGTTACGGTGTGTTGCGCGTGCCTTGCTTTCAATAAGGCGCTTGATTGCGGATTTGCTGCTTTTTTAGATACATAAAATCATTAAAATGTATAACTAACAGTTTTTCATCTTGTTTCTCGACAACCGTCCTTTCTTTTTGTTAGAGCTAATTTTGACAAGACCAGTTTTTTCCCGTCTTTTAATGCATGTAGATGAGTAATTACCGTTAATTTAATTGGTACGATTCTAGAGAAACGGTCCCTAAAGTAAAAAAAAAAAAATTATACTTTGTCTTTTGCACAAGGTCTTCCTTTAAGGTGAAAGTTTAGAAACTGGTAGTTATTTTGCTTTAAGTGCCGTATAACAGATTTGCATAGCTGTTGTTAATATTAAAAGTATAAATATTTTTAAGGAGTACTATTACTCGACTTTGGACCATTATAAAATCATATCATGGGTGCGCGGGTGATATTGGATGGTTTCTCGCGTCCTTCAATCCTACGGGAGGCTGTGCCTTTGATATGACCTCAAATATACCTACGGTTTACCCTGCATTCCCAGTGTGTCCTAAATCAACTGCCTGTTACTTTTTATCTGGTGAGTATTTACTGATAAAATAATACATACGGTCCAACTTAATTTTTTTTTTTAATTTACGGATGGAAAGAAATTGTGTATTATTCTCCTAAACAAGTGTGATATGTATTTAATTTATTTTTGATATTTGCAAAAATAAAAAAAAAAAAAAAAAAAAAAGAAATGCTTAGATATAGCAAAATTTTATTTAAAATAATCTTAATAAATTATGCTATGCAAAGATTTTCAGTTTGCAAACACCAGTTAAAACCATATGTAGATCTATATATGACAGTCTAAAATTCATTATAACTGAATGGGCAAAGGTCAATCATTTTACGATAAATAGACCAATTCTTGGTACAAACATGAAAAAATAATTGTTTCAACAAACAAAATGAATAACAATTCTATAAAGTACATATCAGTGAACTTGAAAAAAAGGTCAACAAAACTGGCATCGATAACTTTTTACAACAATTTTAATTGCAGCCCGGAGGACCGGGCTGCTCTATACATATAAGTTTAAGTGTTGGGGATTGAGGTGGCGGAAGTTATTCAGAATTAAAGGTTTTCTAAACATTGAAAAGATTGTTAATATGAATATTCTTTCCCTTTATAGATTAAGAGATACACAATAGTTTAATTCCATAAAGTGAATCTGTATATATATATATATATATATATATATATATATATATATATATATATATATATATATATATATATATATATATATATATATATATATATATATATATATATATATATATATATATATATTTATATATATATATATATATATAAGTTGCTTATCATTTACTATCCAAAAAAAAAAAAACGACAAGTCCCTTTTTTAGAACATCGAATTTTACTTATCGCATAAAACGTACTTTACACAGTTCGTGTTTTATATTCTTAAAGTGAAATAATTTTGAAAACAGGTGATGCAAATGCATGTGTCTGATTTTAATTTATATTTAATGCAGCCAACACTTACTTGAGGAATTGATAAAGTTTAAAAGGGTATCGTTTTTGTTCGATTTTCATCCGACTATACGAGTAAGTTTTGAAAATCGTCTCCATCATTTAGACGCATTCTTTTTTCATACGTATCGAAGCGATTTGATGATAAAGACTCATTTCTACTGTTTTCTTTATTTATTTCCCGGGCGACAGTTGATGGTTACATCAATGTTTTTCTTGTTTTCCTTTGATTTAAATCGATTCTTAGCGATATGCTGTGATTACGCATATAAGAAGATCCATACATCTTTAGATTTATAGTTAAGATCTTTTTGTACGCGCCATTAACATGATTAAAAAAATCTTAATTGGGCATGTTTTGTAGAATGACTGAGGTATGCAATGGGAAAGACAAATCAATTGTTTATTTTTTTTTATTTTTAGCAAGAACATTGCGTTTTCTCTGCTATTTTGAATATTTCTGAAGATTTCTTTTTATCGGAATTGATTCTAGAAACCATTGGCAAACGTTGTACAGCAATAACTAAGAGCCATAAAACGAAAGGAAAATTCGTAAGAATAAAATTTTCTGTTTTTGAATTTCAGAGACGGTAGAGGCAGAGACATTTGCTGTACTTCTAAAGGCGGATAAGCTGAGTTAGAATTTTCCTCAAAACTCGTCCTGTAATTTAAACTTTCTTCAATCAAATTTTTAGTAATTCAAGTATTATCTCCCAAATTAATTTCAATTTTCTAGCATTTTCATTTTCATTTTATGCAAGAGTGTTAAATTTATGGGAAACAAGAGGCCCATGGGCCACATCGCTCACCTGAGCACTGTGGGTGGGAAAAAGTAGAAATTGGTCTATTATTGAAAAGTTTCAATCCAAAAGTAAAACCATGACTAGTTATTCTTGAGAAGATGATTTTTAAAGAATTTTAATATATATTTCTATGTAAAACTTTGGTCGGCCATTGTGGACCCGCCCTACCCCCGGGGGTCATGATTTGAATAAACTTGAATCTACACTACCTGAGGATGCTTCCATATAAATATGATCAATTACGGCTTTGTTATTCTTGAGAAGAAAATTTTTAAAGAATTTTCCTATGTATTTCCATGTAAAACTTTGGTCGGCCATTGTGGCCCCGCCCTACCCCCGGGGGTCATGATTTGAACAAATTTGAATCTACACTACCTGAGGATGTTTGCCCATAAGTTTCATTTTTCCTGGCACAATGGTTCAAGATTTTTAAAACATACCACCAAATTTTCATAAATTCCTAATTATCTCCCCTTGAATGAGGGCGTGGCCCTTCATTTGAACAAGCTTGAATCCCCTTTATCCAAGGATGCTTTGTGACAAGTTTGGTTGAAATTGGCCCAGCAGTTCTTGAAAAGAAGTCGAAAATGTAAAAAGTTTACAGACAGACAGACAGACAGACAGACGGACGGACGGACAGACAGACAGACGGATGCCGGACAAAATGTGATCAGAAAAGCTCACTTGAGCCTTCGGCTCAGGTGAGCTAAAAAGTGACATCATTTGGATGGGATTTAAATTATAATAGTTTCAATAGGAATTCAAACTCATTAATGTGCATGCGACAAGGAAATATCATACTTGTCTATTTTAATATTCTGTTGGTTTTTTTTTAATCTAAAAATCGTAACAGTTAGCTCATTTTTAACCTCGGGCAGGCATCCCTAGGGGATGTTTTAAGCATGATGGCTCGAGAAATACGTTAAAATATGTCACATTACATTCATTATTTTTAACATTGCAGAAAACCAAGAGTGAACAATATTTGATGAATGTGGACGGAGTTGAAGTTTTATTTTTTGTTTTGTGTATTTATTGCATTTCATTGTTTTCCCAGTGTTTTCTTGCTGTTCATGGAAATCTTTCGTCAAAAGAAATGAAATATATTCTATGAAGACCTCTTTGATCTCTCTGAAAAATGTTTTAAAGATCCAAAAACGAATGCCTCTGAAACTTTAAACATCAGTTAAAGGTGGTTCAGGCAATGATAGTAAAAAAAAAAAAAAGATCGAAAAATCTATTTATGTACTTCTAGATTTCCAACAAAAAAGAAATAATAAAAATGACTCTTTTCTTAATTTTCTGTGAATTTCTAAACTTAACTACCATTTTCTACTATCATGATATAAACCACATATATCCCATGTTTTACCTTTCTGAGGCATTCATTTGATCTACGCGGCCTACGCCATTTTTGCAACAACTACAACATTAACTTCTGTACTAAGAACCAAATAAGAGCATTTTATTGTTTAAAAACACATTTTTTTATCTCACTATTTAGTGGACACGAACAATTTGTAATATAGTTCTTAGTTTATAAGCATAATTTGTAATTTACTATTAAATAAATATATACATTATATCGTCTTATTAGATATTAATTAGTAAACACACAATTTGAATTGTACTTTGTAGTATACACATACAATTTATAACCCACTTATTAGTAAATTCATGCAATTCATAATGAATTTTTCTAATTTAGTAAATACACACAAATCGTTTTTTGATATAAGTCGAAGTAAACACAAAAATAATAGATTTACTGATTAGTATTACAAATAATATCTGGAACCTCATTGTGTATACTCCTATGTATACGAAGGATTTTTTTACTAACAGTAGTGAAGGATATATACAATGTATACTAACGGGTAAATGTTCAACCAAGCCTCTTTCTTTGCTCCTCACGAAGATACTAACAGTAGTGAAGGATATATACAATGTATCTGTGGGTCACCAAGAAGAGCGTTTCATTCGAACTTGTAATGCAGGGCTCCTGAAAAAAATCATGTGATCAAATCGACTGAATTAGTTCTACTTAATTTAAGGGCCCTATAGTAAAAAACATTCTTCCTTCAGTGTGGCAATTATTAAAATAAAGAGAAACGTGTATCTCATAAGCTTTCCTCTGGATTGTCGAACAATTGAATGAAACGTCTTTTTTTCCTGATGACTATTTTCATGGGTTTTGTTTTACAATCATTAATTTGTTTTTCTATGTAATTTTATAATCATATCCCATTTTACATTTCTATAAATTTTTGAAATCAATCCTTTTTCATTCACTGTAGCTTTACACAATCAATCAATCATTTATTTGAATCTCTTCACCATTTTACAATAGCGTACAGAGACTACAAAAACATATAGGTGATTTTATATACAACAATAGGTCTAGAAAGGCATGCGTGAATAAGAAACTAAACAAAAACAAAAAAAAATTGTAGGTTACTATAAATGTGAAGTATGGGAATTTAGGCCGGGAAGCATATTTTATTTATTTTCTTTACAAAGGAGCACAATTTTCTTAGAAAGCAGTGTTTATTGTTATTCATAATGTTTTAAAAACTAATTATATTCTGGAATTTTATGTGTTTTTCTGTTAAGCATAGTTTTCTTTCTGTTTGTAGTTTACACTGATATTTCAAATATGTAAGAACAAAAAAAACCAAGTAGACCAAAAATTTAATAAACAATTTAAAAAATCATTAACAGTCAATTATTTAATTCTTTTGTTTTCATAATTGATTCTGCGATGGAAAAATCAGTTCTATTGTTTGTATTATTAAAGCCTGGTAGGTCCATAGGGCTTTATATATTGAATAGTTACATTAGAGTAGAGGGTTCATTGACGATAAGTTATTGATGAAATTATTACTGAAATGAATTATTAAGAATAATGGATAGTAACCTTTCATCCTAGCTATGCAGTCATTAGCTTCTATCAGCTCTTCTTCATTACGTTCTGGAGAGATTTGGTAATGGGAGCCGTGTTTTATTCTGAAACAATGTATTGTCAGTCATGAACACAGGATATCGAATAATCAGGATATATTTTTGAATGATAATTCGTTTTTCTTGCAAAAATGTGAAGGTATTCAGTTTAATGAAGACAATGTTCTCATTTTCAAAATTTTCTCTTGAGATCAAAATCTTAAATCAACAAAATGGGAGTTTTTGCTGACCATGTAAGATTGAATACTTATAATTGAAATATGTGAGTTATTTTACGCAAATAATCACTGTAAACTACACTAAAATACAATTAAAATTTAACGCTGATTTAAAATAAGTGAAGGAGATGGACAAGACAATGCGGATTCTAGTGGTTTTCATTTTTGAATTATTTATGAATGTGAGTATACAAGGGAGCAGTCTAGTGTCAATGCCAGGTACACGAGTGAAGGACAGCTCACTTCAAACGCTGGATTTGATTGGTCAAAAGATGTGTGTGTATCAATGTTCCTATCACAGTGATTGTAAGGCTGTTAATTTTAACAAACGCCAGCTGACCTGTGACCTTTTGACCCGCTCCGGTCAGGAAGATCCAGGGTATCTCCAGCATGATGCTGATTATGTTCACATCTATAACATACCCAACGACCAGGTTTGACATTCTTTTTTTCATATTTTTACAGCTTCTAAAACATCCCTTTTGTGTTTTTTCGCCCAACCAAAAGTTTTAAGGAGGCTGGGGGTCAACAAATTAACCACCAGATTTAACTTATTTTTATAGATACGGTATCTTAAGCTGTCAAATATCATTTGGCAATGAGAAAATCCATACATTTTAGTTTAAAAATTTGATCATTTTTGTATATCTTTATATGGAGCTCTTCTTTTAAAGGAGATCGAAATAGTCTGAAAATGGCTGCCACCCCCAGCCTCTTTAAGTGTTCATCATGATTTGTTGTCACATACTGAGTAGAATAAAATGACAACACTAAAAGAGGTGACGACTAATCATACTGTAAGAAAAAACTATTCAGGGAACATGGCGTTATGAATAATATTTGCTTTGCTGAAAGTCCATTATATTTCAATTTTTAAAAATTATTTTATTTGTATGCCCCGAAATCGAGAATTCGGGGGTATATAGTTTTTGCCATGTCCTTCCATCTGCCTGTCAGTTGGTACACAAAAACTTTAACCTTGGCTATAACTTTTAAGTATAGGTGGGACTATGGCTTTCATATATCACAGATGTATTCCTTGTGTCAAGATCTTTCTTTGAAAACCACCAACCAAATTTGACATCATAACCTTCACTTTGCAGTTTGAACAAATTTTACCACAAAATTTCCAAATATCATGGCCATTACTTTTGAATTGTTTGTATAAGGGTTTTCAGACTTCATATTGATTTCACACTGACAAGGCCATTTACTTGGTATAAAAATATTTAACTTTGGCCATAACTTTGAAACCGTTAGAACTAGGGCTTTCATTTTTCACAGGTGTACTCCTTGTGACAATTAGGTCCTTTGAATGACACCAATGTTGACCCTGACCTTGGAATTTGAATTGCATTTGAAAGACTTCAACAATTACATAAACTGCCATACGGGGGCCCTGGTGTTTCACAAACACATCTTGTTCTTAAATAGATACTTATCACAATCTACAACTTTTTAAAATTGATTTTTATATGTACTTCTAAACAGCATAGAATTAAAAGCATATGTGTTCGGCACAGTCTTAGAGACGGAAAAACAGATCATATACAAATATTTTGAAAAACAACCTATGGTTTGTAAATTTAATTTTTCTGGTTTAATTTAGTGCTTAACTATAATCAGATTTCAGATTTCTGCAAAAACAAATCATGCCCTGCCTATCACCGGTGCGTTAGCGGAAAAACGAAAGCCTCATGCATTATCAGTGGTAAGTAAAAAGAATAAGTCATTTTTCAGGAGTTTATTTACAATCAAATGCGCAAGTAAGTGAACATTGAAAATAAAACATTCAAGTAAAAAAGCGAGATCCTCAGACTTATTTGTTTCTTCTCTTCATGGCCTATACATAAGGCTCAAAGCGGATGGGACCATTAAACAGGGGATGCTGACTTCTCCTAGGCACCTGATCCCACCTCTGGAACTTCCAGGGGTCCGCGTATTATGTCTTCCTCACATATTTGTATAAATCTGTATTTTTTCTAGATTTTTGGAGATCGATCATAGTTCGCTATCTTCGCCTTTTACATTCTCAAACTGATTTGTTAAATCTTATTCTTTTTCTACAGAATGCTCCACACAAAGTATATCAATAAGGAATGGTTTTATAACCAAAACACGTTTGCAGATTGGTGATTTTTTAAATTTTACTTGCGCAAATGGTTACTCCAAAAGAAATGTCATCTTCCGGTGTCTAAGTAGCGGGAATATTGAAAATGCCGAAAAATTAGTATGCTGTACGTATAGAATTTTAATTTATACAATTATAATATTATAAATGCATTTACATGTACATCATATGTATATTAGTTATAGGTTTTAAAAAAAACTTATATAGACTCATTTTTATGCTTCCATATTTTTTCTTTTAAATGAAAACTTGAACACAAATAAGTTTACTTAATGTAAGTATGAATCGATAATTTATTCTGCACAAACATAACACTTATAAAGACTCCTTGTGTTGTCAAAGAAATTGATCCATGTTTTTCCTATACGACTTTACAGACAAAAAAGAAGGTCCATGGACGATTGCCTTCAAAATCCAGAGTAATAGTGGAGCCCATCCTTTGAACGCGTTCAATGATACAGGGACACAACAAGAAAGAAACGTGTCTTTTCCCGCCGTCTGCGTAAGTCTGAATAAAGAAACCGGATGTGATGTTCCCTACAGAACAGGGCTCATCGATGATTGGGAACAACTGAACGTTCAAAACGTAAGAAAATGTCATACTTATTTTCCTAGGATTGTATTTTTCATAGTGTATTTTATAAAAAAAAAAGTATAGATTATATCTCATTTAAAGGAAATTTAATATGATAAAGCAAGACAGTTAAGAAAGGTCCAAATTTTTCTAGCATAGAAATATATAGAAAATTCTTTAAAAATCTACTTCTCAAGAATAACAAAGCCATAATTGATCATATTTATATCCAGGTATGTGCCCTTCGACCAAAGTTTCACATAGAAATATATAGGAAAAGTCTTTAAAAATCTTCTTCTCAAGAATAACAAACCCATAATTGATCATATTGATATAGAAGCATCCTTAGGTTGTGTAGATTCAAATTTGTTCAAATCATGACCCCCGGGGTAGGGCGGCGGGGCCACAATGGCCTATCTAATTTTTACATATAAATATACAGGAATTTTTTTATAAATCTCAAGAATTGCAAAACCATTATTGATCATTTTATTGGAAGCATTCTCAGGTTGTGTAGATTATGTTTGTTCAAATCATGACGGGGGTAGGGCGGGGCATCAGTGGGACCAAATTTTTACATAGAAATATTGCAAAAATTCTTTAAAAATCTTCTTTCAAAAGTGCAAAGCCATAATGATCATATTTAAAAATCCTCAGGTAGTGTAGATTCAAGTTTGTTAATTTTTAGAGCGGAGCCTCTCAAAGGTTTACATAGACATATACAGGAAAATTCTGTGAAAATCATCTTCTCAAGAATAGCAAAGCCTTGATTGGTCATGGGACTACTTTTGGATTTAAACTTTTCAATAATAAGCCAATTTCTACTTTTTCCTAGCCACAGTGCTCAGGTGAGCGATGTGGCCCTAGGGCCTCTTGTATTATATTCAAAGTTGATCTTTGAAAACACCAAATATGCACAGGATAGAAACAACGGTAATTTTTCTCTCATATTTTTTCAATGTATGGCACTATATCGGGCTATATTGTTTATTTGACATGTCAAGAATCTGCATAATTTTTACCCGCGGATTAAACTTACATTGTGATCCCGAGGAATTATGACCCCATGGAAAAAAGTACGTCTACAGTATATATAGTTCGAGTAAATGTTCAACCAATTCTCTTTCTTTACTCCTCACTAAGATATTAATAGTAGAGAAGTAGAAACTTAAAGGGTACCATGCAATGATATTTTCAAGAAGTGGTGTAAATCAGATGTGGATACTTAAAAATTCCAAGGAACTTTCGGACTATTTGAAATCACAGATTTTACCAAAATCAACAGCTTAAAAACTTACTTTTCTACTTTATACACAACTATTCCTCGCGATAAATCAACGTCCAGGCTTTTCGATATCATTGACAGCTGCATTATGCAAAAAAAAAAAAAATGGAGCTCGTAAATTTACTTACCTTGTCATTGGTCATTTACAAAATTATTGTGTTAAAAAAAATTGATTTTACACATAAGTACTCTGAAGTTGACATCAAAAAGATGTTTGAGTTTCTGATTGACAATATCTATGTTGCTTTTGAAGATCAGGTCTTCCAATAATCTATTGGAATTCCCATGGGTACCAATTGCGCCCCGTTACTAGTAGACCTATTTTTGTATTCACATGAAGGAGAAAAATCTTATGCGTGGAAAGAAGAAAACACTTGTTGTGGCATTCAACTCGACATTTAGATACTAGTATATCATCCACAATTAACAATGGTAACTTCCATTCTCATGTCGATACGACATATCCTGGTGATCATGAGATAAAAGATACCACAGAGTGTGACAAATCCGTTTCATACTTGGATATTCTACTTAAATAAAGACGTTAATGGTTATCTAACAACCTAGCTCTATGATAAATATGATGACTTGAACTTTTCACTCGTTAACTTCCCTTACTTATGCAGCAATATACCTTTTTTCACCTGCATACGGAGTTTATATATCTCTACTGATTCGATACTGAGGAGCATTCTCTTACATATGAACAAACTCTTAAACGAGGTAAATTATTGACAAACAAGTTGATGAAACAAGAATATCAGCAGTATCGTTTAAAGTCATCATTTCGTAAGTTCTGTGGTCGATACAATGACCTTGTCAGCAAACACAATTAATCAGTTGTTTGTCCATTATTTACACGCTGAATTGAGGACGGAGTTTTCCGATATTTCCCGATCATGACAAGGAGAACACGGTAGGTGTGACACCGGTTGGTATGGAATGCTCACTCCTCCATGGCACCTGATCCCACCCCTGATGTTTTGGAGGTCCGTGCTTGCTCTGCTCTATTTTGAATGTTTTATGGATTTTTGAATAAATATTGTTCGTTATCTTCACATGTTTCATGCAAATGTTTAAGTCAAGGTGTCTTTACTTTCATATACTAGTTAGTACTAGCATTCCGGCAAAAAGTATCTGACGAGGCATTTTATTTACTTGAAATAACATTATTTTCAAAATATATTCTGTTTTAGGTTCTATTTAGTGTGACGATTAGCTCGACATCAAAACAAGAGATCATTTTTAACGGACGTGATTCAACTAATATTGACTGGTTCTCCGGAACTAGGGTCATAAACTCCTCCTGGACGGATGTGACGTCAACACAGACTTACCTTTACTTCGGTATTTTAGGATGGCAAGAGTAAGTACTTGTACTTATACAGTACAGACAAGGAATACTTGTTCCTCACTCCATTTGATTCAAGTCTATAGGAACAAAAGTTTAATTAGTTTAAATCATTTGAAAGACACCGGATATTTTTGATTCTCTTTCGTAAACTCAGTAAAATGCATTTTATATTTCAGTACTAATGTAAATAGATTTTGGTCCATAATGCGTATTCATAATGGCTGTCCGGGAGACACTGGCTGGTTCATCTCTTCCCACAGTCCTTCTACCGGATGTTCTTTTGATTTGCCCTCTCAAACATCAATACCCTACCCTGTGTTTAGGGCGTGTCCAGCCCCAACGGCTTGTCTAATGGAATCTGGTCAGTATTTTCAGATTCAAGTATTCATCAACTAAACTTGAGAAAAAACGTGGAGAAAAACTTTTGTAATAATTTGTTTTAGACACATATACAGCTCCGTGCACTTTTTAAGCTCGGATTTTTTAGATCACATTCTTGTTGCAATAAAATGAACATCATCGAATTTAGCGCAAGAACGGCACAAATCCCTAATATGTATTTAGTATATCATGTCAAATGTACATATTCTTTATATTCATTATCTTAAAGTTTAAAAATCGATGTTTCAATTGGGACTTTATTAATTAAGGTTCTATGATGTAACATTTGTTTGATTCTACCATACCTTTTTACAAATTATAGTAATTGAGCTTTGAATTCTTTGGTACTATTTAGTTTAAATTTTCAAACTGACTCCTTAGAGTACCTTGCGCATTTTCAAAACCGTGAAATCATTTTAATTCGTGGGAGTCAATGTTCGTTGATAAGCAAAATTTGACCTGTTCGTGGGGATGTAATTTCATGAGTTACTCGTAAATCGATGGTTAAATGAATCAATATGTTAACAAAATCAAAGTTCGTGGGGATGTAAGTTCGTGGGTAAGGGTGACCCACGAAATCCAAGAACACTGGTCCCCCACAAACAATGTTGAATCTACAGTACTCGTCATTTTTTTTGTCGAAATTTAGCACCGAAAAATCACAATGCTGCAATAGGAAATCGTGCCAAAAGATAGGGTAAAAATTATTTATCTGTTATAATAGTAATTTGTTACTATTGAAAAGAAAATTCTTTTGCATTTACGGTCTGAAACTTTAATATTTTTCGGATGGATGAATCTTTCATGGTGCTAGATTCAGGAATTTAAAAAAGGCCAGCTTTTTAACACTGGAAGAGTCGAACAGATGAGAAACACTGTTACATGTATCATCTTGCACTTTAGAGTCATGTTAATGTACAGAAAATACAAACGTTACATGATATGCACAGTTTCTGTATCAAGGAAGGGCAAAGGACTTGTTTAAATAGGACGGATACAAAGACGACTGCATTTAGCGAGGAAACATGAAAACGTATTTGGGAACTACTAGTATCATAATCTCTCAGCCAACTGAGTATATCAAGGTCATACCAATTATTATGTTTGAGCTATATATTAAGTTGGTGAAATTATCTTAAAATTAAGTTAGAAATCACTTTTAAAATATATTTTGTTGTCTCGTTACACAATTTCACGTAATAACAATGTGACGTTAATTTGTGCGAAAAACCATGTGAGTTTAATGGAGCTGTACGAATGAAAGTTTTAAGAAAAAAAAGTAAATTAAGACGACGCAAATACACATTATATCTGCGTCATTTTAATTTACTTTTTTGTTACTTTCAGTAGTATATGATATAGTAAATATTCCGCTATCGCTTGGATACGGTGATTGTGTCTCCCAACTTTAACTATATTCCAGCACATACTATGAGTATTCTCATTATGAAAACAGGGCTACTGATAGTGTCAGAACTTTTTTTCATGCCTGTGTATATACACTTGTGAATTTACGTTTTATGATATGTCCACTGATATGGGGGAAAATCTGTTCGCCAAGATTGGAAATATTGGACGAGTTCCAATAAATATTTGCAGAAAGAAGAACAAATTAGAAAGTGCAGTTATATAAGACAATTGACTTCAAACCTTTAAATAAAGGAAGAATTACTGTTGTATTTAAGGTATGAATAAAACAGATTTCTAATATTTTATTACATTTCAATATTTTTATATTTTCAGAGACGGTTGAAGCAGAAGCATTTTCAGTTTTAATTTGGGCGGAGAATTTAATTTGAATGAAGACCAGCTGGAGAAATTCATCCATGTAACCCTATGTCACTAATGGAAACGAAAAAATAAGTTGAATGTTCACAATGTTACCTTGCACATAAGCAAGTTACCAAGTCCTTCACATGTGTTTTTGTTACATCCAGGGTTATTAAACAGTTTTATGTAGATAAAAACAGAGAAAACTAAATTTTTGTACTCGAGCCCATGGCTGAAGATTTGAATGTAGATAAAAGTACTGGTTTGGATAATATTCCAACAAGGTTTTTAAAAGATTGTGCTTTTTAAATTAAGAAACCTATCATGTGTATTTTAAATAAATCTATACTGACCAGATCTGTACCAGAAGACTTTAAAATGGCGAGAGGTCAATACTCTCTTAAAAAAAGGAATTCCCCTGAAGTTGGAAATAGGCCAGTCAGTATACTATGTATAATGTCAAAGATTTTAGAAAAATGTGTTCATGTTCAACTTTTAGATTTTTTAAAACATTAAACACTTGTCGTATTCAAGCCAATCAGGTTTTAGAAACAAATTTTCTACAGATACATCTTTAGTACACTTGTTAGATTTTATTAAAAGTAATATATTTAAAGGGGTTTTTTTTCAGGTATGGATATGTTGGAATACAAAAAGCTTTTTACACTGTTGACCATACAATTTTATGTGATAAGTTAGAAGTTTTACGAGTTTTATCCACTAAGTGGTTCAAATCTTATCTGTCTTGTAGACAACAAGTTCATATCAACAACATTTCTTCAGAATTTAATTCTATAAATTGTGGTGTTCGTCAAGGTGTATTTAATAAAGGGCCTCTTTTATTTTTAATTTATGTAAACGTTATGGCAGTCAGTACTGATGATGACTGTGAATTAATTTTATATGCCGTTGATCGTGCTATTTTTATGCACACAAAGGTCCTGCTATTATTTCTCAAAATCTGTTCTGGACAACTGTTCATCAAGGTTAGTTGACAACAGATTGTCACTTTACTTAAGTCAAATTTTATTTCTATTTAATTCTATTTTAGTTTTATAAGCATTATTGTGATCATTTTTAAGGTAAAAAGGTGTTATGTGAAACATGTCATTTTCAAAGAATTATGTTATATTTATTAAAGTACCCTGCTAAATTCCGATATTAATGTAATTTTTTTGCTACTTACATATTCGTAATTTGAGGATCCCATTGGAAATAAGTTTTTTTTTTAAAAAGTTTTTATGTACCTGAATAAAAATGAAATGAAGATGAACTGAAATTAAAAAAAATTAACTTACATGAAAAAAAAAACCTGAAAAGCAAACTTTTTTAACATTTATTTTTTTTAAGACTTAACAGAGTGAACAGGTGATATGTATTGCAGCTACGAGGGATGGGTCCTGACTAAACTCCCTCAATTACATAAAAGTGAGCCAAATAGCCAGTATATAAGACCAGATTGTGTTATTATTTTTTTTGTTGAAATTGTTTGGTTTGCCTCTCATATATATAATAGAAATTACAAGGTTTTTAATTATTCATGTTTTTTTCCCTTGAAACGTTCGAACGTCTTCCAAACATGAAGACAATTTGTTATTCTATGGATATCTGCTAAGGCGGTGTTTAGACTCAGTTTGACACAAAAAAAAACAACTAATTGTTGAGGAATTGGAATGGTCATGTATTTAACAAAGTAATATGCAAAGAAAAACATATAAAACAGTTAAAAATATAACAAACTAAAAGCACAATACATGTACCATAATTCAATAGAGGGAGTTGTGGTTTCTTAAACATTCCAAAAATGCCACAACCCTTAAAAAAGAATATAAAAAAGTCATTCACGCAGTATTGAGACTAGAATAATTAAACCTAAAGTTATAAGACAAGATAAATTAACATATTGTCTTTACAAAAAGTGTCAAAGATGGGGTATCTTCCGCCTTGCCATGAAGGGGACAGTGACTAGTCAACAAATATTTTTCCATCCATATACTTAAATGTCAATATCATATCTGTGAATCACATCTAACGTTTTAGCATTTGTTGCGGTCCACTGTATTTTATTAAATTTATAGGTGTTTTACCCTTTGATTTTCTAATGTATGAGCACTTTGATTTACCAAAATTAATTTTTGCACCTGATGCTTTTTCAAATATTTCTAATACTTTAAAGTATTCTTCTGCATTCAATATGCTGAGTAATATCAGGGATATGTATACCTCTAATGTTTGAATTTTGGCGAATGGCACAAGCCAATGTTCTTTTTTTTTTAAAACAAGGAGCACTGTTACAACGCACTTTAAAAAAAAAATTCAAAGTGCCATTAAATTTGGGACCAATCTAACGCATTTGAAAAAATGAAATTTCTTTTCAAAGTGCGTTAATTTCGACCATATTAACGCACTTTGAAAAAACAATGTGTATAGCCTGAAAATGTGGGTAACCTTTTGGGGGGTTTATTACTTCCCTCCCCCCGTTAAACTGCTACCAACGCCTTTGTATTGGCCCGGAAAGATTTTGGCTGATAGACCTTCTACCCGTCTTCTCTTCTAGACGGGAGTAAATCAATTCATAAGTTTTCCGAAAGTTAAATAACAAATCAATGCATTCCATTACTAAAATCTAAATCCAGAATTTTGTTTTAAACATTTTTTTCAAAGTGCGTTAAGTGTCTCAATGGTAAAATATGTCGATGTAAGCTCTTAACGCGCTTTGAAAAAAAATTTTCAAAGTGCGTATTTTTGCTATTATTTAGTTATTTACATTTAATAATGTAAGATGTCTCCACTTCTTTTAACGCACTTTGAATTTTTGTTTTCAAAGTGTGATTGAAATATGTTTAATTACTTTAGTAATTTCGTCTTTAATGGCATCACAATAAATTTGGTAGACATTTGAAATAATATCATCTTCCCCTGGTGATTTGTTAATTTTTAATGACATAATAGCTTTATGATTTCTTCTTCAATCCACAATCCAACTTCTTTCACTACCAATTTTTTAAATACACTCTATCAATACATTATCCAGCCTTTCAATGTATTCTTTCAGTAGCTAAAGGTTTTGTGTGGAAAAAAAATTGAGGCCCAGCGCCCCCCCCCCCCCTCACATAGGCTTCATGAATCTTTAAAGAGGTTCGATCCTAAGCTTTTGAGCAGATTTTGCTCTGGACCTTTATTTCTGAAATTCCTCATCATTTTTAAGTTCTAACATTCTAACATTAAAGGCATGTAAACTTTTAACATTGTATAAAGCAAAGCACACAAAAATAATATTTTATATTCTCTATTTTAGATATTTTCCCATAGCAAAAGACCACCCTTAACCACAAAATTAGGTTCTGAATAAATTTATTTGGATATGACTGCACTTCATTACATTTTGATAGTTTTGATTAAAGGTGGTCTTCATATTGGAAAAGCTGTGTGAAAGTTGTTTTTTGCAGTGAAATATGTATATCTCTTAAATATACTGTTAAAATTATAGGAAAAAATGCACAGAGAGAAAAAAAATAAAAGTTATAAAGAATTTTTCTATATACAACTAATTTTATAAATTGTGACAAATGTGGTAAATATGTTCTAATAGTCAACAAATTGGAAATTATTCTAATAGTCAAGGAAAATTTATTTTTAACAACTTTTTTTAGTAATAATTTCTAAAAATTTACATCATATATTCCCTTTTTTGATGTTTTTTTCTGAATATTTAAAATGATTATGACCTATCTACTAAAATCCAGCAAAAGTTTAAGACTTTAAATAAACTTTTTGCTTATTATATTTTCAATGCCAACAAAATCACATTTTGTGAGTGCAAAAAGGTCAAATAATTGATTATGCGAAGCAATTTGAAACTTTTTCTTGATCACCATTTACATGTAAAGTGTATTTGAAAAAAAAGACTTATAGTTTATTTTGTCCCATGTTTTTATTAGATAGAATTATTAAAGGGAAAGCGTTAAAGATATAATTTTTGATTAAGACACAAATTTCAGTGCAAAAAGGTCATACAAATGTACCCCCATTTTTTAATTAAGCTATGTGTGTATGTGTGTAGAAGCTAAAATATACTTGAAAAAAAGGTTTAAGACTATAAATATCAGGAGCCAATCTCGTAAACATAGGAAAATCTGCAGCAGAGTCCTTTTCGACTTCATATCGGAATAGTAATGGGAGATCACTCTAAAATCTAGCGTGTTACATATTAATCAAGAGATTGCGCTTTCTTATCAGAGTGTTTTTTCGTGATCGACAATCAGTTGAGGTAAGAGGTTATTATTTAACAAAGCTGAAAGGATCATTGTTAAATCAATATTTAATCAGTTACAAGATTGCATTTATACAAGAAACAAAATGCTATGCTGACTCTATATCACTTATTACTCTTTGAATTTATTCTTCGAAATCGATTGAAAACTGTATTAACTGCCTCTATTCAAGTATCTTTGGTTGTGAGGGTGTGTGAGGGAGGGTGTGATGTGTATTAATTTACCTCTCCACTCTGTTTGATAACCTTGAACCACTTTTAAGGATATTCGATCCTCAGCTAGGAAGGATAACTCTAAAAATTAATATTTAATTTGAAATGCATCAAAATGAAGCTTGAAATTTTTTTTCCATGCAACAATTTTCATTTTATTCGTCTTTATAAGATTCAAGGTTTTTGGAAGTCTTAGAAAAGGTCTTATAAAAGTTGACATTTGTACCCTTTAAAAGGAAAAAAAAATTAAACAGTTTTAGAGAAACAAGATTTTCTTTAATCCAGCCTTAGATACCAATGCTTATTAGCATTATATGAAATAAGAAGTGATTTGTGGTGTTCCAAACGTTCCTTGGAATTGTTAAGTATCAACATCTGATTTACACCACTTCTCGAATACATGTATATTGTTGCACAGTACTCTTGAAGTTTCTCCTTCACTTCTTTTAATATCTTAGTGAGGAGTATAGAAAGAGGCTTGGTTGCAAATTTACTGGAACCCGTTATGTATCTTTGTTTGTAAGGATTGTTATGAAGTTTTGGAGTCCATATATGGTTGTTCAAATTCATTTTGGTTCTTTGGAATATCATTAAAAATATTAAAATTGACATATGATTTTGAAGAATTCCCTCCTTAGAAAGGGGACTATGAGTATACGTTGGATTACCACTTGCAGAATTAAATCCAAGTTCTTCTAAAATACCATATATATAATGAGCCTTACAAACGAAGACAATGTTGTTATCTACTTTGTCAGCAGGGACCAATACGTACTGATTATGTAATCCATATATCAGAAATGCGTTCGAATTTTTTATATCAAACAAGATGTGTTTGTGAAACCCTGATGCCCCCGTATGACAACATAGCGAAGATTAAACGGTTCTTAACGAGATCGGCTCGTATTTAAAGCCTTAAACTTTTTTGTCATGTATATTTTTAGTTTAATTAGTTTAATTTTTAGTTTAGCTTAATTAAAAATCAAATCAAAAATAAAGATCAGTTTGCTTCTTTTGGCAATATAGTACATTTAATATGACCTTTTTGCACTGAAATTTGTGTCTTAATCAAAAAGTATGTCTTCGAAGTTTCCCCTCCAATATTTTCATCCAAATAAAGCATGAAACAAAATAAACTATAATTCTATTTTTTTTTTAAACTTTAAAATTGTGACAAAGAAAAAGTATCAAATAATTTCGCATAATCAATTATTTAACCTCTCTGCGCTCAGAAAATGTTATTTTTGTGGCATTTAAAATTTAATAAACAAGAAAATTATTTTTAAGTCTTAAACTTTTGCTGAATTTAAGCAGATAGGTAAAAGTTAACTTCAATATTTAGAAAAGAACATCAGAAGTGAGGGTATTTGATGTAAATTTTAGAGATCACTAAAAAAGTGTCTATTTTACGTTAAAACTTGCTCATTTTTTCCAGGACTTTCAAAATATATATATTTTCCATATTTGACACAATTCCTTAAAAGAATTCGTAAGAAATAATTTAATAGGTATTTCAGAGCCAGCATAACACTTTTCACTGCAAAAACAACTTTGTGTGTAACCAGCATGGAAAAAAAGGAATCTAAAATTAACAGTACTGTACGAGGGTTGTCCAAAAAGTTCGTGGACAATGATTTTTGTAAAAATAAATGGTTCTGTATAAATCTATTGTATATCAAAATACCTCTCATGGAAAACCAAGTCAGAATGATTAAATTTTTATTGATGGAACTATATTTTTGTAAAAATCGGGGTCATTAAAGATTGCAGATAGTGCGCACCAAGGTTAAAATGCCATAAATCTGATATAAAGTGTTTTGATTAAAATGATTATTTTCTATATAAAATAAGTCAAAACTTAATGAAAATTATATGTACAATAAATAAAGACGCTTTAATCGTTTTCTGATATCTAAAGTATCGCTTACTATATAGACTTTGAAAATACCAAACAAAAACCGTAACAAATACTTGTCAAAATTTGACAGAAAAAGCGACGTCGGCCGTCCGATCGGGGCAGCGTCCAATCAAAAAATATGTTTTTATACGGCTGAAACGGAGTAAGACACAAACTTTTTGATAAAAGAAATCAAAATTATTGAAAAATATTTTGTTAATTGATTTGAGATTGGTATACAGGATTTTTCAACGGTGTGTACAAATTCAACGACACTAAAAGAATTTCAAAACACATGTAATTTGCTGAAAATGGAAATTTCTATTCATGACGTTGTTATAAATCTAGCGCAGCATCGGAAAAGACCGTGCAATTTGTGTATACATAAATACGTAATTTTTTGTGAATTATTTTGAATTTTAAAAATTAAATAAATTATCATTTAAAGAAACTTAAAGATTATTGATAGCACTTGGAAGTGTGTCGCCAAAAAAAAAAAGAAATGTAGTGTGTGTCCATGAACATGTGAAAAACTTCAAAATCAAAATGTTGACGTTATAATGAAATTAGATTGACGTCAGACTGGTCAGTGCGCACTATCCGCGACCTTTAAAGACCCTGACTTCTTATAAAAGTATTAAGTTCCATAAATAAAAACTAAATCATTCTGACTTGTTTTTTCATAAGAAATATTTTGATATACAATATATATATATATATATATATATATATATATATATATATATATATATATATATATATATATATATATATATATATATAGAATCATTTATTTGAACAAAAACGTCATTGTCCACGAACTTTTTGGACAACCCTTGTATATAGTTCAAAAGAGAAAAGTTTATCATTTTCTACAAAAAAAACCTTCCGCCACAAAATATAGTTCCTCACTTAATCCCACTTAAATGGAATTTAATCACGGACTTTTCATTGAGTATAGTTCAATTTGCATTGTAGAATTCAGAGAAAATGTTAGAACTTGAAAATGATGCAGAATTTATGAAATAAAGACAAAATTTGCTCAAAAGCTCAGGATCGAACCTCCTTGGATGCAAATTAAATATGTTGGTACCCAAAGTAAGGTCAAATAAAATACAGTTGTGAAATAAGAAAACCTTAGCACCACCTGATAAAAAGTTATGGCCAAGGATAAGTTTTTGAAAGTTATGTCAAACTTCAGGGTCAAGGTCAAAGGGGCAAAGTTCTTGGTAACCAATGAAAGGTCTTGTCACATGAATTAAATAATAAATATGTGAAGTATGAAAACCCTAGCCCTAAGCCATCAAAAATTATGGTCAGGTTTGGTTTTTTTTAAGTTGGTCAAACTCCAAGGCCAAGGTGAAAAGGTCAAATATTTATCCAATAAAAGGTCTAATCACAAAGAATACATATGTAAAGTATGAAAGTCCTAGCCCTTACCATTCAAAGGTTATGCCAAAGTAAAAGTGTGGAATTTTTGTGTAAAAGTGTGTCAGACTCCAAGGTCAAAAAGGTCAAATTTGCCCGAAGAAAGGTCTTCTCACAAGAATTACACATGTGAAATATGAAAGTTAAAGCTTTACTAAATCAAAAGTTATGAGTAAGGTTATGCAACTTTTTGCGGACAAATAAGCAAACAGACAAACGGACGGACACGACAAAAACTATATATCCCCAAATCTTCGATTATGGGTGGGCATAAAATCAATTTCTGATATCAGAAAATATGAGAGAAATAGATAGAGATTACTTAAATGAATACTCCTTTATTCCTTTCAATAGTGTCCTCATTTAATACAGATTCCGCTGCTGTTTACTGTGATTAGTGTAATTGTAATCACTTCTTGATTGTTTCAGTCTAGCTTAAATCTTTGTGTGTGTTTCTTTTAGAATTTGTATAGACAAGTGCAGAAATATGAATACTGTGGAATCATCTATTTTCGTGGGGGACGTGGATTTCGTCGTTCACCCTTATCCACGAATTTACATCTCCACGAACATTTATTATGTCAACATATTTATTTATTGAATCTTCTGTAATATTAAATACCCACGAAATGATATGTCCCTACGAACCAGCAAAATTTTGCTTACCCACAAACAGTGACCCCAACGAATTAAAATGATTCCACAGTAAATATACAGAAATTTATATATGCAGTTACAATGCTGAAAAGTCACAACACTGTAGATATTCTGAATAAGTCTTGTAGCTCCCTTCAGTTGTCAATATAATGGGAAGAGATTCCTAAGAAAATCCAATAAATAATAGAGTAACTAGTAATATTTCATGCATTCAGTAAGTTATCTTTATTTACACCAGAAAACCAAAACTTGTAACCCTCATTTTGTTATGTATACAAGTTTGCCTTTCCACAACACGGCGGATGACCTGCTTCTGTGAAAACAATCTTGGCCAGGGAGAATTTATTATCTGCATAGGCCTTAAGGTAGGATTCTTCTCTGGTTTTTGACTAGATGGAACATTCAAAGTACATATGTTGATATGTCTAATGTATTTAGATGTAAGAGATTTAAAAGACCATATTTTTCTTTTCTCATCACAATTGTACATCTTTAATTAGAAATGATATACTGCATTTGAAATCTAGCAGGGACTATATTTTTGGCGGAATGGTGGCGTATGAAAATATCTTCTTTTCTGCCTCTCAGGATTATTATAGAACATTGAATTTAGTCATATTTTTTACGTAATCAAGGACTAGACGAAATTTTCAAATGTAAGTTAAATCAATAATAAGGAACTAAAGTTTTCAAAATATATCATATAAATAAGATTTTTCACACATACTAGAACTATGTTGGCTTTTATATGCTTCAAATCTAAGTACGGATTTGAGCCAAAAATCCGTAAAAAGTGTTATTTCTCTCTAAGTATACGATCAAAACTTTTAATTAATGTGAAAATTGGAAAAAGTTAAATATACGAAGCATATAAAAATAACTAATAAACTCTAAACATTTAAGAAAAGTAGATGAAATTCGGATTAACAAATATCCATTTTATATAAATTATCCATGTCAATTTGGTAATATCGTCTTATAGTTCCTATAAGGTAGTATCTTTTTATGCAAAAAGAAAAACGTTCAATCTTTTGAATTTCAAGTAGGGATCGCAAGATTGGAAACAGTAATTTTTTTATTCTTAATGTATAGGAAAAAGGTAATGACCTTGACCTGACCTTGCCTCTAATATTAAACGGTCAAATTTAATCTTACTGATACCATCACTTAGTGATATTGTCTTTTTGATTCTGTGAAAATTTCCATTAATTTTTAAATACAAGAAATGTGAGAAGAATCCTACCTTAAGACTATATAAAGTTGAATTTCTGATATCAATAAATTGATTTTGTGATATCAAAAAATCAACCTGAATTTCTGATATCACAAAATGATTTTTTGATATCAGAAATTCGTATTTTTGATATAACAATGATTTTCTGATATCGGAAAATTTAATTTTTGATATTAAAAAATCATTTTTTTATCTGATATAAAAAAAAATATTTTTTATTAATCAAAAAATCGAATTTCTAATATCAAAAAATCATTTTGTGATATCACAAAAAAAACTAAAAAATATTAAAACGGCGCCCCATAGATAAGAAGTCAGGACCTATATTTATATTATTTAAATACGTGTTTAAATGTTGAATTAGCCATCGTCCTGCAATTTTTCTGTACAATTTCCCCTTGTTGGAAGCTGGCCGAAACTTCATTTAAGAATTATTTCAGCTGTTCTCAACTTAGCTGTTTGGTTTTAGCCGTTTTGACGTAATGACGAAAAAGGTTGCAGTAATAGGTTCTGGTGCCAGCGGACTGACTGCCATCAAATGTTGTTTGGACGAGGGGCTACATCCAGTTTGTTTTGAGCGAACAGACCACATAGGTATGATCATACCCTCTCATAATATCTGACAAATTTTATGACGAACGTTGTGAAGAATGTTTATTATGTAATTAGGTCAAGTGTCTTCCTTAACCATAGTGGATTTGCTTTATGGGACGAAAAAATTTTTCGTTATAGTAAAGACTATAAAGAAAAGCAAAGTATATTGTTTTCTGTCTTCTACCTTTAGGCTTTATATCAAACATAAAATAAAACATAAACTTTCTTTTTATGTCAACTTGACAAAGAGTCAATAAAGATTTGATTTTGCATTTACTTGATGAAAACAGCAAACAATCTCTACGCAGAGATATGATTTATTGATTTTTACCCACGAAGGGTTCTATAAAGGGATAGAGAGGGTGTCATTTTGTTGATTTTTTGAATGAAAATTGTAATAAGTACATGTTTATAACGATTTTTATTGTTCAAATAAAAATATATATAGGACACATGTACTGTAAAGTTTTGTTATAAACGCAAACATAAGCATAACTTTCATACTTCAAAGAATTTTGATAAATGCTCTCTAAAGTTAAACCCTATCTACACTTTAATAAAGTATAGAGAATATTAGAAATGTATCACTGTGCAAGTCCCCAAGAATATTTTAGATTAAAATATCTCTTAAAAAATCATATTATATGACAAAAATCTTTTTAAAAATTAAAGAGGGAAGGAATGATAGTTTTGAATGCAAATTGATATTAATTTTAAAATACCTTGCTGGAACTGATTAGTTTAGCATGGCGGTAAAGTTTGATTTTTCCCGCAGTAATTCTCACTCCAACTTTCCCCTTTGGAATACTAAAGAAAATAAATATTCTAGACACTAAGTGTGCTTCAAAGGATGGTTTATGATGTACCAAAGCAAAAACCTTTTTTAACAATTAGCTTTATTTTTTACTAAATTATTGTTCATTGCTTAGATTTTTATATAATGTTTAAAGTAAATTTCGAAATAATGGAATTTTTGTCATATTATACACAGTTGTAATGTATGAAATACATTCAAAAATACATACGAAGGTTGTTCAATAAATAATGTCCTGAGCTCTATGACATACAAAATAGAATTCATATGACATTAAGCTTGACTTTCTCTCATGATTGAATCTTTAATAAATTGATAACAATTTATATGACCACTTTTCATCACATAAATTCATTGTGATGAGAAACTGGAAAACAAGGGCTATTCGAGACACTGCAATAAAAATGAATGGTAAAGAACCAGTAAACTATAGAGTGAAATTAAAAGCTCATGTAAAGCTGCTGTAAAACTTGTTAAGAATCCGAAAAAAAATATTCACTGAAATATGGGAAATTTTCAACAACCAATGTTTGTTTTATAGACACATGGACAGGTAGATTTCAATGAACAAAAATGATATAATGGGCATCAAAATGGGTACCGTCCTTGACAACGAGTACTTACAACAACCAATTGACGACAAGTACTTACAACAACCAATGTACTTTTGGCCAAAATTCAACAAATTATCACTGATGATGTTTGATTTACTTTAAGACTCATAACAAATTTAATAGGCATTATTTTGGGGATAGTTCACACTGCTTTAAAGAAACATTTGACAGTAAAAAAAGCTTAGTACTCAATGGTCACCCTTTATTTTGAAAAACGAGAGAAAACGACAGGGTGTAAGAATATTAAAACAATTATTAAAAAAAACAAAAATTGTAGTTATCCACGTTTTTCTGCAATTTAAACAGATAATTAAAACTGAATCCATTGCTTTAAACCCTCAAAACAAATTTACAAAACGATACACTTGACAAAAACAGCAAAGGTCTGAGAAGAGCAAAGAATTGTAAGAGCAAAAGACAGGTTTATATGCCAGTATCTTAAATGTTAGTGGTCTTGTTGTTCAAATTCTTATTCGGGGAGGCAGTATAATTTCTGGAGGAGTCTAGAAAGCAAATTTTTTGCAAAAAAAATCGAAAGGTTTTTGAGAGGAGGGAACCAGAATCAGGAAATCACTACATAAAATTGCTTCCTGACAGCGTTCAAACCCACACGCCATGAAGAGTAAATGAGTTTTGGGGATAAACAAAAAAATAAAAATAATGTTTTGTCACACCAACAATATTCGCCAGATCTTTCATCCTTTGACTTGTTTCATTTTCCAAACTTGAAAAAAAAACACCTGTCAGAAAGAAGAAACAAGTACAGGAAATCAAAGGTTTTGCCACTTTCCAGTATACAAAGGGCCATACTCAAAAATGTTTTCTAAAAGCAATCAGAAATCAAATAAAAGTGTTACGGACATGTGTTTTAATTAAAAGAGAGTATTTAAGCGAAATCATTAAGACCAAATCATTGAAAACGTATTTTGTTTCTTTCCGAGCACCGAGGAGATTATCTATTGAAAAGCCCTCTTATAAACACATTTATAATTCAGTTTTATTTTTAAGGTGGTCTGTGGTACTACACAGACGACGCCAGAGATGGCCAGGCTTGTGTGATGAAATCCACCATCATCAACACCAGTAAGGAGATGATGACCTACAGTGACTTCCCCATTCCCAAGGAATACCCCATCTACATGCATAACAAATACGTCCTCAAGTACTTCAACATGTACGCCGACAAATTTGACCTTAAGAAATACATAACGTTCAAAACAGAGGTATGAGCTTAGAATTTAATCTTCTTCCCTTTTCTAACCGATAGCAATAAATTCAATATTCAGATTGGTTATTATTAGATTTTAATGTAGTAAAAAAATTCTCAAAGGTGACATCAGTAAGTAGGGGTTCAGACTTTAACACAACTGGTCAGTGGAACGTTACAACAAAAGATTTAACGACGGGAGAAACCAAAGATCACGTGTTTGATGCCGTCATGGTGTGCACTGGTCATCATGCTGACAAAAATATTCCAGACTTTCCTGGTATTTAACTCCACTTTATCAGAATTTCTTAATTTTAATTATCGTTTAAAGAGGTCCGTATCTACGCCCTCTTCACAGATTTGTACTTTTAAAAAAACGAGATCTATCAGTGTTCGATCGTTATCTCAAGTTCACTTTTTTCATGACATGATCTTCAAGTTGTAAAATTAAATTTCATATCGTATACAAATGTAATCTATTACTAATTTCGAGATAAAGTTTTTTTTTAATTTTGGATGACATCTTGGACAGGTTTAAAAGATTTTGAGGGCAAGGTGATTCACAGTCATGATTACAAACACACAAAAGGATATGAAGACAAGAGAATCGTTCTCATCGGCATCGGAAACTCCGGAGTGGACGCTGCCGTGGAATTAAGTCGTGTAGCAAGCCAGGTAAAATTAGGAATATACACTGAATTGTCGGTGGATTTTTCTCTGATTTCCCGATCATGACAAGGAGCACACGGTGGGTATGACCGGTCGGTAGGGGATGTTTACTTCTCCATGGCAACTGATCCAACCTCTGATGCTTTTAGGTCCATGTTTGCTCTGCTCCTATTTTGTATTGTTTTATGGATTTTTTATCTTGAATACTGTTCCTTATCTCCACATGTTTCATTAAAATTATCATGAATTCGCGTCAAAATTACTCATTTCTCTTTTATAAGATAAAATAAAAAATGATAATTTCATATAAACGTGATATAAAATTCTATTTACATTGTTCACATTGTTTTTCATTTCATGTAAGCAATAATTGGTAAAAACGTAATTCTCATAATTTTACCCAAATATATTGGCTTAGAATTAAAATCAACAAAAGTTTACAGCTTTGAATTTTATTTATTATATTTTTTAACTTTTGATCGACTTTAAGAGCTTTCATACTATACTCAAAAACCGAATCATATTCAGTTAACGTTTTTTAAGTAAGATATCGTATATTCCTTCCTCAAATTCATGTGATTTTATATCGCCATAGATTTCTTTTATAGTTTTAAAGTGAAATATATGGAGATAACGAGCAATATTTACATTACATATATTTTGTTTATATAAAAAGAATGGAAATCCATTGCATTCAAAACACTTATAACACAGAATACAGAGGAAATCCTGACTTACATAAGGAGGTTAAAGAAAAACATGCTTTAAAATCAGTACACCTGATCAATGCTCCTTTTATCTAATAAATCACAAATAATTTATAAAGTATTTGTGTCCAACACAATTTATCTGGTGTGTGTCATCACACATTTTTGTTTTGATGCAGCTGTGACGTCATATCAACGTTCATGAAGCGCGCTAGACGCAATAATTTAACACAATGATGAAAAATGATAATGCTATTATAATGATTATTACTCCAGAATGCTTTTCCATGATTTTTTTTTAATTTTTTCTATTTGTTTTTAATAGCTGAAATCGTTCTTGAAAAAATACATAACCTTATAGTACCCAAGTGTGAAGAGTTATCGTTCATCGTTCTTTGTACAAATATGCATGAAACGAAAAAATAAAAATATGCAGTTTTTTAAAAAATTTTTAAAAGTTTTATTATACAATTAAATACATTGACCGAAATTTAATTTTTAAGGATATAAATCAGCAATTTTAAATATTCTGAATTTCTTTTTTTTCTAACGAATATTATAACAAACTTATTTTTATTCCTCATTCGAAACATTTCATTTATATACTTCTCAACACGAAAAATTTGTGTAGTACAGCTTGTTCTACACGGGTGTAGTAGAGCGGCAAATGTTTATACAAAAAGCAGTTGATCGCCTTGATTAAATGGGAGAGATTGAAGAAACAATATTGTAAACATAACTTTTTTTATTAACTTTCATTACATATATTTTGCTTTATATCTTGGAAATAATTGTCAAAACACCATAACACGTCATGTGACGTCAGAGGTTAAAACATGCACCAAATGTCACGTGCGGTTGTGACACACCGATCTAAATTAAAACAATAGAAGAGTTGTGTGCTCACTCAATAATTCACACCGTAAAAACATACCTTATATTTACATTTTACATGTTTGGAAGCGACTAAAATATACTTACTATTTAAATTTCTCGCTGCCCTATATCGTTGCATTTTTACTAACGTCGCTGCAGTCTCATTAACGCACGTTTCTCCGTGTATATTTCTACGCGTGAGTATACACGAAAATGGTATTCAAATCAATTTCACTGTTTGCTTAGTAGAAAAACACAGCTAATGTAAATATTTTAGTTTGACGTCATAATCGTTAAACGCCGAGGAAGAGCAACGTCACAAGCGAAAATCGAAAAATCACGTTCAAATTGACCAGAAGCTGTTACGTTGGCTGATCCATTAAATGTAGCTTACACGAAGGATAATAAATAGGTTTTTAAACAGAAATCACATTTGAAGTTAAGATAGACAGTTAAAAAATGTAAATGTAAGCATAACGCGCGTTATTCAATTTGTTTGCACACACCGTTGCAGTTATGAAACTATATCTATCAAAAAATAATGATTCATTGCTTAAGTATTCAAGCTCAAGAGTTCTTTAACCAAATGGAACAGAGCAATCACGGACTTCAAAAACATCAGAGATAGGATCAAGATCCATCGAGGAGTAAGCATCCCCTGCCGACCGGTCTCATCCGCTGTGTGCTCCTTGTCATGATCGAGAAATAACGGAAATATCTGTCCACAATTCAGTGTGTAAATATTGTGTAACAATTAGTATGAAAAGCGTCAGTCATAATTTGACGTAATGAAAAGCTGCTGTCATGGTCATTGTATCGACAATAGAACTTCCGAAATGATGATTTTATATGAGACTGTTGATATTCTTGTTTCATCAAATTGTTTGTCAGTAACTTACCTCGCTTTCGAAATTGTTCATATGTATAGCATGTCCTTGCGTATCGACTCAGCTGAGAGAATCCACTCCGTATGCAGGCGATGAAAGCATAATTATTGCTTAAAAAATAAGGAAAGTTAACCATTGAAAATTTAAGTCATCGCATGTATCGTAAAGCTTTGTTGTTAGCTTACCATTAATGTCTTTTTCAAGTAAAATATCCAAACATGAAAAATGATGAAACAGATATGGTATCTTTTGTTAAACTTTTATGTCTATAAATGTAAAATAGTTTATATAACTAACATGTAGTGAAAGGATATACTAGTACCATGCTCAGTTTATTTCTTAAGATTCTACTAAACCCAAACCAATTCCTTATAATCCAAGTATAAGGTTAACATTCTCTTCTTTTTATTTACAACACAATGCCTATAAATAATATATTTTTGTTAACTCTAGTTATATCTGAGCACAAGAAGAGGATCCTGGATCTTTAATCGAGTGGCGGATCACGGACTCCCAGGAGATTTTGTGGCTTTTAGAAGATCTCTAAGGTATTTCTTTGAATCGTTACTAGACTTTTAGATATATTTTTGATATTTTATCTAGAGTTTCAGTTAACATTAAAATATCCCATCCTTTTATCTATTATGTTCATTATTTTATTCTTTAAGCGTAATCTGGACATGTATATTGGCGTAAAAAACCATTGATGGAATCCCGACATTTTGCAATTTTAGAGCTTTCGGAGTTTTGATGAGTTATTTTGGTACAGACGTGAACGATGTAATAGCGAACAGACTGAATGAACGATTTGACCACGCTAAGTTCTCTCTGCAGCCAAATCACCCTCCATTAGCCCAGCATCCGACCGTACACGATGAACTCCCTAACAGAATTACTGTAAACCAACTATTATTCGCGTCATCTTTTATTCGCGATTCGTCAGTTTAAAATCAATCTACGACGATTAATTTCATCAAACCCAAATCCTTAGCAAAATGAATGGTTCGCGGCGATTAATATTCGCGATAAAGATCACGCGAATAAAAGTTGGTTTACAGTATAAGCGGCTCCATTATCATCAAACCCAACGTCAAGAAATTCACTAAAACGGGCGTGGAATTCGAGGATGGGACATTTGAAGATAATATTGATGTTGTGTTTTTAGCAACAGGATACATATTTGGGTTTCCATTCCTAGACAAGTCCGTAGTAGAAGTCAAAAATAACAAAGTTGACCTGTACAAGTACATGTTTCCCCCTGACCTGGAGAAGCCCACATTGGCCTGTATTGGATTCATACAGCCGCTAGGAGCAATAATGCCCATTTCTGAACAGCAATGTAGGCTCTTCACCAGAGTCGTCAAGGTAAAAGACTTTTTGTTATGTTTTCTGTGTGTGTGTGGGGGGGGGGTGTCGCAAGAAAGAGTGATTTTCCTTTTTCTTATCGACTTCTACATTGTTTTATTTCTGTGTAAGGGTACAGTGAATATCCGAAATCAGATATAAATTTTAAAACTGTTTCACACAATTTTTATTCAATAATTCAAAAAAAGTAAAACAAATATTAAACAAAAACAAAACTCTGCACAGTCAGAAGGGAAATTTAATGTAATGCACATCCAAAATTAAAGTCAAGAATCCAGCTTTGTTATAAAAATTGTGTCCTAGCATATGGTCAGATTTTTACCCTGTCCCTAAAACCTCAAATAATCAAAAGAGGAACAGAATCAATATCATGGCATAATGGCACTTTAATGATTTCAATGAGCACTGAAGTTTCTGTGTGTCCAGACATTGATTACCTGTGATAAAAGAACGCCCGAGGGATACTGCTTTATTTATTTATTGGTTGTGAATTAAAAGTCCTTTTGATCAGATAAACTTGAAAGATTATCAGGAGTAATTAGTGACGGTAAATCAAATTTAAACTGTTACGAACATGAATTAATATTTTTGAAAAACAAATATAAAGAATAATTTCTAAAAGTTTCCTTACTATACAATATACAGCACAGTGTAGGAAAGAAATTTCGTACTTTTATAAGAAATAATTTTAATAATTCCAAAACGCATTATATATATATATATATATATATATATATATATATATATATATATATATATATATATATATATATATGAAAACAAATATCATTGATGAATTCTCTCAAACTAATTATTAACATTTTGCTTCTGTTTATTTTTTAAAGATTAATAAATTAATAAAGAACTTGTTTTAATAACCAAATGTGATTTTTTTATGTTTGTTTTTTATATATATGTATTTTATATTTTAATAAACATTTTAGGGAGACGTTGTTCTGCCAAGCAGAGAAGAGATGTGGAATAACATCCGAATGAAACACGATGCCATGCAAAAACAATTTGTTCATAGCCCACGGCACACTATTCAAGTAGATTACATAAACTTCATGGACGAATTGTCAAAGCTAAATGGAAATTACCCCTATTTAGGTAATAAACTGGGAATCATCATTCTTCAACTTTTCATCTTTTTTAAGTTTGCTTTTATGTAGGCAATTAATACTCATCCATTATTTGTAGTTGCAGCTTTAAACTATTTTACACAATATGATTTTTATCATTATGCTTTCAAATAAAATTGTTTTAATTTCATTTTAAGCGTTAAGAAGTTCTTGTTAAAATGGTAACAATTGAAACATTTTAAAGTAAATGTTCCAACTCATTCCAAAAAAAGTGTCATAAATTGAATTCTAAATTTCTTCCATATAATCAATCGATTAAATCAATCAATCATTCCGTTATCTTCCGATCATGACAAGGGGCACACGGCGGGTGTGACCAGTCGGCAAGGGATGTTCACTCCTCCATGGCATCTGATCCCATCTCTGATGTTTTGGAGGTCCGTGTTTGCTCTGCTCCTATTTTGTATTGTTTAATGGACTTCTGTGCTTGAATGCGGTTCATTATCTCCATATATTTTATTAAGAACATATTCTTTTGCAAATCAGTTTGCAAAAAACAGTATATGTTTTATGCCATCACAATTTGAAATAATAGTTACAAGTTCATGGAGAATGATGATTTTAAGAAAGAACAAATAGCAAAAATGGATATGTTTATGTAGTTGCTGTACTCACATTCGTTATCATTCGACAGGAAAACTAATGCTGACTGATCCCAAGCTAGCAGCAATGGTATTCTTTGGTCCAGTGACGCCTTATCAGTACAGAGTTATGGGACCTGGGAAATGGGACGGCGCTCGACAGGCTATACTCACTCAGATGAAGAGAAATGATTACCCGCTCGCCACAAGACCTCTCGGCTTCTCTGAAACAAAAAGTCAAAAGAGCAGTATCTGGAAATTATGTCTTATCATTTTAGTCATAGCACTGGTGGCTAATTACTTACTGCGGTCGTGAGCTTTTTTATTCCATTAAAATTGTATTTTTGATTAAAAATAAATGAATATACATGTATATGATAGACATTTTTATCCCATACTCCTGAAATCTTAAAGATATGTCATAAATCATTTTTAAATATAATGCTTTTTTGAAAGTTCTGTTTTTCTGTGATTAGATAACTCTCTCTCTCTCTCTCTCTCTCTCTCTCTCTCTCTCTCTCTCTCTCTCTCTCTCTCTCTCTCTCTCTCTCTCTCTCTCTCATATATTGAGTACTTTCAAATATTGTGTATATTTTAAATTTTGTTTACTTGAAATATTGCTGTAAATATTTATTGGCTTGTATAATAAACATAATTTCATCGGTCTTAATTTCATTTTTTTAGCAAATTGGTCTTGTTTTGATGACTACTGAAGGTAGAAAACTTTGTAAAATCAACTTCAACATAATTTTCTATTTCATCAGACCAATACTAATATGACTGTTACACATTAAATTTAAATTGCAAACTTATGGTATATCTGGTGATATTCTCCAATGGTTTTCCAGTTATCTAAGTCAAAGGTCTCAAAAAGTTATGTACAAAGATTTGTTATCATCAAAACAAGATATTTTTGCAGGTGTACCTCAGGGTTCTGTTTTAGGTCCACTGTTATTTCTTATTTACATAAATGATGTTGCTGAAAATATTATTTCAATGTGTAGACTGTTTGCAGATGATAATTCCCTCCAACAATCATCATACAATATATTAGATATAGAGTACAAATTGAATCATGATTTACACATATTGGAAATTTGGTCAAATAAGTGGCTACTCAAATTCAATCCATCTAAAACTAAGGTAGTTTATTTCAACAAGAAAAATATTTCTGCTATGCCAAAGTTATTTTTCAAAGGCGATAGACTTGAGTGTGTTCCAGTCCATCGCCATTTGGGTTTGCTATTGTCGCAAAATCTTAGTTGGTCTGAATATATTGATGGAGTTGTAAATAGTGCCAATAAAAAAACTAGGCCTTCTAAAGAAGTTAAAGTTCAAAATGGGTAGAAAAAATTTACCAAAACTGTATATTACATTCATCAGACCTATGCTTGAATACGCTTCGATCGTTTGGGATGGCTGCTCGAAATATGATGCAGAAAAACTTGAAAAAGTACAATTAACCGCCGCTAGAATCGTAACCGGACTTCCTATATTTGTGTCTAGAGATGCACTTTATTCTGAAACTGGGTGGGAAACTTTAAAACACAGACGATATATTGCTAAAATGACTACTTTGTACATAATTCATACGGGACGAGCACCGGAATATTTGAAAGATATTGTTCCCAATAAGCGTGAACATGTATCTACCTATAATACCCGTAACAAACAAGATTTTATTGTTCCTAGGTGTAGATTAGAACTATTTAGAAACTCATTCGTACCTGACGCTACAAAACAATGGAATTTATTAAAAACAGATACGAGAGAAGCCGTTTCAGTCAAAACATTTAGAAAAAACTTGACAACAAAAATTGATACTCCACCACCATACTTTTCTTTTGGCAAACGATACACAAATATCATTCATACCAAGTTAAGACATTACTGTATACTAAACCATGATCTATATAAACGAAATATTGTAAGTAGTCCATTATGTTTATGTGGAAAAAATGAAGATGTGTATCATTACTTTTTTGCATGCACAAATTATTCCAATGCTAGAAGTACTCTTTTTAATCATTTGTTCATGCTTGATTTGGTTTCTATTGATATTAATGTATTATTGTGTGATGATGTTAATTTGCCTTTACAGATAAATAACAGTATTTTTGCTGCTGTTCATAAATTTATTGACGAAACATGTAGATTCTCCAAATGATGTATTACATTATATTGTATCTATTTATTCATGTATCGATTGTATGATTTTTTTTTCTTTTTGCATGACATATTGTATTATATAAGGAGAGGAATTCACTAAGTTATTTAGAACTTGTTTCCAATCCTTTTGATTGATATCAATAAACTACGTTCAAAACACATTAAATTAATTTGATTTTTATATCACTTAAAAAATTCAAAAGATTTCAACAATCTCAACACTTCAATGACAAAAACTGTTCTGTATAAGTAAAGTTACCTTTTTAATGAGCTATGGAGATAACGAACAGTGATTAGTTCAAAAGTCCATTGAACAGTACTAATTGAGAGCAGAGTAAACACGGGCCTCTAGAACCTCCTGATCAGAGGCGGGATTACGTGCTATAGGGGAGTAAGCATTTTCGTTCGATCGGTCAAACTCGCTGTATGCTCCTTGTCATGGTTGAGTAAACAGAAAAATTCGAAGATAATTCCGTCTGAAAATAACGGCCTGACAATTAGTTAAAAAAAATATCCGTCACCATTTGACTTTATATGTTGTATTTGCTGACAAGGTCGTTTTATCGACCATAGAATTGTGAAACATAGCAGAAATATATGCTAGTGTTGTGATTATCGATGTTGCCCAGTACAGACTCTTTAGGCCAGCATGTGTGTCTAAAGATATATAATTTTCTGTCTAATTCTGGCTCAAACAGAAGGAATATATGCTGTGAACATTAGTAACATTCATAATCATAAAAGAATCCAGTCTTGCATTCCACCATATTACAAGCTGAGGTAATTATTAACAAACCCTACAATTCCTAGATATTGAACATTAAAAATACTCTCAAGTATTCTTGTTCTTCCTCTTCCAACTACAGTCTCGCTGGACATGTCATTAAGTACTGTTGATGTTAATATAGTTGAACAGGAAAATCCAAGAGTAATCATATTAAAAGGCCCTAACTACATGTACAGGAAGACAGAACTTTATTAATATTTAAAACATAACAAAACGCCAAAAATTATTACTTTCATGAATTCTGTTGAAGACAATGCCAGATTTTATTCTAAATATGAAAGCCTGACCTGCACATTTTGCCAGAATCGGTTAGTTGTTTTAGAGAAATATACCAGTATTTTGAAACAGACTGAGAAAGCACAAAGGCAATATGCAAACTTCTGTTTTCACTAATTTGGAGGTGATAAAACTTATTGCATTACAATAACCACTTGAACAATGCGTAATGCAAGGCTTGTAACAATATCGTAATAATTTATAATGTTCATTATCATAACAGTTACTGTATTTTAGAACTTCTTTTAATTATACTTCTGGAAATTAAACTTACACTCACTGTTGCAACCACTAAAATATGTTGTAGATCATTTCGTTTGAAGTTTCTTCTTTATAGCAGTTTATATTTTTGTAAGGAGTATTTTGATAGGATCTTGATAAATTGCGTGTTTTCTGGTCACTGCAATGTTCTTTAGTTAGTAAGGACTTTTATGCAGGTTAGGAATAGTCCCATTATAGGTAGGGTAGATCAAACTCATCTTGGTTGACTGTAATGCCAGAAGTATTAAAAACTGATGTGTGATTTTGAAGAAGTTCTTTATTAGAACATGAACTGTGAGTGTGTTGCAATTCTATTGAAATAACGACCACTGTTGAAATAATTATATCAACAGATCTAGTGGTTAAGAGTGCATTTCAATAACAAACATAGTTAGTAAAGATTATTGAAATACGACCACTATTGAAATAATTATATCAATAGTGGTTGAGAGTGCATTTCAATAACAGACATATTTAGTAACCATTATTGAAATACGACCACTATTGAAATAGTTAGTTCAATAGTGGGTGAGAGTGCATTTCAATAACAAACATAAATAGTAACCACTATTGAAATACGACCACTATTGAAATAATTATTTCAATAGTGGGTGAGAGTGCATTTCTATATAATAAACATAGGTTTCATCCACTATCAAAATACGAGCACTACTGAAATAATTATTTAATAGTGGGTGAGAGTGCATTTCTATATAATAACCATAGGTTTCAATCACTATTGAAATACAAGCACTACTGAAATAAGTATTTAATAGTGGGTGAGAGTGCATTTCAATATAGTAACCATAGGTTTCAACCAATCTTGAAATACGACCAGTATTGAAAGAAAAGTTTCACCACGTCAGCAACTTTTGAAATAATTGATTCAATATATATTGGATTAATTGTTCAAAGCACTATTGAAATCAATAATTTTATCCATATTGAAATCTTTATTTCAAAAGTGAACATTATTTCAATAGTGGTTGCAACCTATGTTTGTTATTGAAATGAATCTCACCCACTATTGAAATAATTATTTCAATAGTGGTCGTATATCAATAGTGGTTATTACCTATGTTTGTAATTGAAATGCACTCTCAACCACTATTGATATAATTATTTCAATAGTGGTCGTATTTCAATAGTGGTTACTAACTATGTTTGCCATTGAAATGCACTCTCAACCACTATTGATATAATTATTTCAATAGTGGTTACTAACTATGTTTGCCATTGAAATGCACTCTCAACCACTATTGATATATTTCAATAGTGGTCGTTATTTCAATAGTGGTTGCAACAGTGGTGTAAATCAGATGTTGGTTCTCAAATGCTTTCAATAGAACATGTAGAAAATTTAAAAACACCAAATCTTTCAGAAGTCAATAACATTAAATACAAATTTTCAAAATTTATTCAACCATTCTTCATGAAGAATTAAAAAATGTATTTGAAATCATACACATGTACAAGGGTATTTTCGAATAAAATGGAAATTTTGTTATCTTGTGGTTAGTCATCAACGAAATGACTTTGTTAAAATCACTTTGTAGACTCCAAATCTGATAGTAAAATTCCTCATTGACAACATTTATGTCTTCGGAGCCCATACTTTAACAATTGAAGATTCGGTTTCAAATTGCAAGGAATTGTTGGAGATTTTGGAATCGCAAGATTTAATCAAAATCAACATCATACGACTTTTCAACTTTATACACAACCATTGTCCACAATAAATTAAAGTCCAGGCTATCTACCAAGCTTTGTGAAAAAATTGATGACTATATAATTTTTAAATCGTCAACTTCCCTTACACCTGCACACGGGGTTTATATCTCTCAGTTGATTCGAAATGCAAGAGCATGCCCTGCGTATGAACAGTTTCTTAAACGAGGGTCAATGCAATGGCCTTGTCAGCAAATAGTATTTATCATTAAGTCAAATGACTACGAGTATTCTGATGTTGATATAAAAAGATGATGGAGTTTCTCTTTGACAATATCCTTGTGTATGGCATAGGGCGAATTAATTATATTTAACTTATCCCATCTCTTTGTATATATCTGTATATTGTCCTGTGCATGATCATGTTTAATAAAAACAAGGCATTCAATATTTTACTCATAAGCGTCGGAAGCAAATTGAAAGTGTTGGGCTAGTTGAATTTTTTACTTACTTATGCTTGCTATCCCTTCTGGGGCATAGGCCGCTTACTAGATTCCTCCAGGTCCCTCTATCCTGAGCAGTGCTCTCTATCTCTTTCCAGTTCTTCCCCATTCTTTTGACGTCTGCCTCCAAATCTCTCCGCCAGGTGTTCTTTGGCCTCCCTCTCTTACGTTTTCCTTGGGGTTCCAGGATAGGGCTTGCCTTGTGATGTTCTTATGTGGCTTGCGTAGAGTATGCCATATCCACCTCCACCTTCTCTGCATTATTTCTGCTTCTATTGGGGCTTGGTTGGTTCTTTGCCACAGATTGGTGTTACTTATTTTGTCGGGCCATCTAATCTGGAGGATACGTCTCAGACAAGAGTTGACAAATGTCTGGATCCTGTTTGTTGTGGCAACGGTCATCCTTCATGTCTCGGAAACATAGAGAAGCACAGCCTTAACATATAGGTGTTAAAAGGCCTAACTGTTGCATGTTGTTATTCCCTTGGTCTTCCAAATGTTTCCAAGTTGCAAGATTAATGCTACTCTGGCCTTTCCTATTCTTGCTTTTATGTCAGCTTCTGTTTTTCCTTTTTGGTCCACTATACTGCCAAGGTAGGTGAAATGTTCTACTTCCTTTACTTCCTGACCTTCTATATTTAATGGAGCATGTGATGGTGTGTTTGCTATTATTAGGATCTTTGTTTTTAATGGAGCATATGATGGTGTGTTTGCCATTAGGATTTTGTATTTGCGATATTGATATTGAGTCCTGTCTGTGCTGATGTTTCTGCCACTGTTGTCATTTTCTCCTGCATTTGTGCCTGAGTATATAATAGGTGTGCCGCGGGTCATCCGCAAAGTCTAGCTAGCTGAAAGGCGGGACTTAAACCAACCGAAAAAAGTGTCTGAGCAACAATTTTCAATACCTATATTATAGTAGTATGTTTATCTACCCCCCCCCCCCCCCCTTATAGCTCTACCGGTTCCAACGCCTATTTTACTAGATGTTAATATTTAATATTTAATGTTAATAGTTAATATATAGAATAAGCGCTGGAATGATTTTTTTTCATAGATTACACGTCGTCGATAAATGTAAATGTTGAATTGAAGGTCACAGCAAGATACATGTTTAATTCTTTTCACACGGAAGTTTTCGGGGGGGGGGGGGGGGGGGGGGGTCATATGAACACAAAAATATGGCTGCTAATAATGGGACAAAATTACTATAAAGTCACATATTTTCATGGGTTCAAATTTTCGTGGTTTGAGGAACATATCTTGGTTTGTGGGGATTTGATTTCGTGGATCAAGAATTATAATGATCACTTATACAATGTATGTAATATTTCACATTTCATGATGGACTTCGTGGGTCTCGTCAGACCTCAAAAACTACGAAAATTAAATCCCAACGAAAATGTCTGATTTGACAGTAGTACCCCCTGAGAATTTCGAAAGATTGTTGGAAAACTCTATTTCAAAAGCTACATAGAAAGTCATATTTTCAATCAGTTACTAGTCTAAGAGCACTTGTTTTAAATCAACTATAGAGTACTCGTGTGAAAAATCAGAATTTCTTTTAACACATGGTTGTATGCCAACATGTTTGGTGAATCAATAAAGAAACAGAAATTTAACAAAATAGTTTTGCGACCTTTATGACCATTCTTATGTATCTGGGAGCGTAGCGGGAACGACAACTCTGGATAGAGAATGCTTTATGACGAGGTAAGTAAGCATGTAGGACTATTGATGATGTATAAAGCGTTGAAAAGTACGTTTTGATGTTATTGATTTTGGCACAGATTATTCTCTTTAGAGAAGTGGTCAGGCCTACGTACTATACATCCACTACATTCACATGCATGTAGGCGAAAGCCAGTCCACTTCTCTAAAGAGAATCATATAGGCGCTTGGTTTCAAGATGGTGTATTTTGTAGACATGTGTGTCTGAATACCCTCATTTTTTAAAAACGTGCTAATTTCAGCAAATTTTATTTTTATTTTAATGAGGGCATTCAGACACACATAGAAAAATACATAATATACAAAATACACCATCCTGAAACCAAGCGCCTATGAAGATAATATAGGCGCAGATTTCCGAGGACTTTTATTTTAGATAGGAAGGTAATCATATAATTTAGACCAGTTAAGATTACTATGAGTATATTGCCACAAAATTAAGATTTCTTTTCTTCACTTTCATGAACACAATTTATACCGGGTATTTACTGTTGATGAAGTCTATCCGGAAATAATAATTCTGAACGGGATATTTGTGCAATATAATCAAAAGTGTAACGAATGTAAACAATGTGATGGAAAAAAAACCAGTGAAGGAATGTTAACGTTTGGTTATATTCATCACTTTCCAGTATCTTTCTATTTTCATTTGTATTTGGAGTATGGGAGTTCCGCTGTCAAAAGAATACAATGAATACAAAAACATTGCGCAACATTCTTCTTACAGCCGTGATCTGATAGCTCCCAGTTTGGGGGCATGCGTTCCATTTCTGGAGACAGTAAGTCACTTATCCAGTGAAAACTGTTGTATTTCTTATAAACTACAATCTTCCTGTATTGGTGATAGACATTTCCATGCCAGTATCCAGAAAAAGGGTTTAGCGGCTTTCTTGACTGTAATTGATATTACTCACAGAAAAACCAACACAATATGTGATATTCAGACTCAAAATGAGATTATTCCTCTACCTAAAAAGTTACTTCAGTATACAGACTTACAAATCTGCAATGTCGTAGGACTACATTATGAATGGCTTGTGGTCCAGATTTTTTGTCAAGATGGGATAAAGTTTTTGATCTGTGATATTTCAACGAACACCTGCTTAGTGCAATACACTCATAAATATGTACCTCAGTCCAAGTTGAAATTGTACGAGTGTCACATTAGTCCTGATAGGATGTTTTTGGTGCTAAAACAGAACCAGCTTTACCAGAGTTTGTACAACAGCAACATAGAAGATGGGGAGAGTGTTATTCTTTTGAACATTCACCTACAGATTGGGACTTGCACCGAGGAACCATGCGAGTTGCTGCACAGTTTTATCTCCCTTGCTCTTGGGAGGGTGGCCATGACCTTTGACCCTCGTACAGATAGTGACTTGATTGTTTACACAAGTGAAATGCCTGACAAATTAAACAGAGAAATCTATAAAGGCCATATAGGACTTTATAAAGCCAGCAGGGATTCATTTCTGTGCACTACAGGACTACTAAATCAAGATTTTCCTGCATTGCCTGGAAAGTTTCTTAATCTTCAATTCCTTCGAGATGGCTCGGCCATAGTTTTGGCAGTTCTAGGGTCTGTGAGCCCCACAAGAACAATTTCCATTTTATGTCGAAATAACTTTGTGACTGTGTACGTCTTGGACCCAGATTGTTTTCAGAGGACTGGGTCATTCTCTTATGTTTCTCATTCACAGTTTCAACATTTTGCACCAGTGATTTCTCCTAGTGGTACATTAGCTTGTTGTGCAGGCAAAATCTACAATATTGAACATTCAAGATCCCAACAAAACTCTGTAAAATCTCTAAAGCGACTTTGCTACAATGTCATTGTGGACTTTGTCTTGCCAGAAGACATAGAGCACCTACCTTTACCTAAATCACTCAAGTCCTATCTGCGGTAACATTTATCATCAGACACAGAGCCTTGCGTTATATGAATTTATCTTACTGAAAACCAGACTCTGTATTTAAAATCAGTATTGACCCCAGGTTGAATATTCAAAACTCTGGTGACAAAAAGCATTAGATAATAATAAGCAAATCTGATCATGCTTAAAGTCATGGTTTATTATACATGGAAAATAAATTATTGACTGAATATGATATCAATTGCATATTTATCAACAGAGTATTAAATGAAACAAATCATTTATGGGTTAAGCATGTTTTGGAAATCATAATACTTGGAATAGTGAGGAGAATAGTATTGTTATTTTCATTACAAATTATATTAATAAAGTATTTGCACTTGACTTAGTATTTCCTTTGTTTTCAAAATACACTGCACCCTTTCATTGCAAAAGCTATTTAGTTTGGTCAGCAATGTTACATCTACAATCATGACGTTTGACAAGTACAATGATATACACAAATGATTGAAATGGTAGTGTCAATGCATAAATATATAGAGGTATGATGATATGAGGACAATTTGTATCATTGTTTTTAAAAAATACAAAATACACAAACTTTAAAGATGCCCACTTATTATTAATGATTGTTTTTACTATGCATATACTGCAAAGCATTTTAAAAGTTAATTGCACATATTTCTAATACATATAAACTTATTTAACAGCACATGGTACTTTTTTAAAATTTTGTTTGGTAAGAAAATCATGTTTTTGCTCAAACTCAAGATGACATTGTAAGACACTGTAATATACATGTCACGGAGCAACGTCAAAATTGGTAATTCATTATCTAACTTACATGTTTAAAAGTCTTGTTGTATTCAATTTTATCAAATATCTTTCTATTATGCCATTATGCCGCAATTCATTACCTAGGAAAACGTCATAATATATTAATTGTTTCTTTGATTTAATAGCCTTGCAGTATGTGTATATTAAGTGCAAAGACACCAAAATTATCATGTCAACCATATAATACACTTTTCAAAGTACTAATAAAATGAAATATTAGAAAGCAAGCATTAGTAAACACAGAATCTATCTTGTTCTGTTGATTGTATAAACTAAAGGAATATGTCAAGCTAATCATGCTTTGGAAGCCAAAAAATTTTATATCAGATAGACACTTTGAACAAATTGTCTGACAACATTTGCCGTGCATCATCATCCAGAGTTAGACTCACATATGTTAATTAAATTTCAAATTTGATTAAAGTAAATATATATATACAAAATACTGATTCTTTTAAAGTTAAAACAAATATTGACTTCCAAACCTGAAATCAATTTTTTATCAGCTGTGCCATTTAACAATGTTTCTAATTTGATAGGTATTCAGGAAACATTGGGCAAACATTTCTTTAATTTAAGACACATAACTTAAGGTTACTTTTCAAATAACAAGATCAAACTTACAAACATAAAGTATACATGCATGTGGTTAAATAAAAGTATTAGGCAATTAATTGGATATCAAGGCATATATTCAATGTGTCATACACTAATTATATCACTATAAAATAAAAAAGTTGACATAAAACATTCCAAATTAACTGATTCTCCATATTATTTCCATCCTTTACAAAAATCTCAATAAAGTCTAAAGAGAACATTATCATATTTGGGTATCCATCAGTTACTAAGTTAATAGTGTTAACAATACACCTATAACTTCAAGGTCAGGACATAACATTTTTGAGCTCATAAATAATAAAGATTTCTTTTTTAAAAAAAATGGAAAATCACTTTTGCATCCTTTGATCATCACAGCAGTACTAAGTTAACAGTGTTTACAATACACATATAACTTCAAGGTCAGACATAAAATGATAAAAGTTTCCTGATTTAACCTCTCTCTTTAGGGGGGGGGGGGGGGGGGGGGGGGCTCTTGACAGTTATAGTTCCTGATTATCCTGGCTCTCCGTCTTCTTTTTTGGTTTCACCATCTCACTGGGCTTTGGTTTTAAGTTGCCTGCTAACATATGAATGGCTTTGTTTTCAAATAATTCTGTTTTGTTCTCTGATGGGGCACTGATTGCATTGTTCACCATTGCTCGGGCTACCATCTCTGTGGGGGTAGATATTGCAGTTGGGAAGAAGTAAAAAATGGGTTTCAGAACAGTACGCAGCACAGTTTCTCCAGGCCTGCTCTCTTCTCTATCACAAATCAATATCCTGGCAAATTTAAAAAAAAAATTTTAAAATACATGTATTCTAAAGTGTTAATGCAGTTTTAAACCCACTACATAGGTTTTCTTAAGCATGTATGCACATTTAGTAAACCCCAAATACTATGAATATGAATCTATGAATATCTTTCTTCATCAGCTAAAATTTACTGCTTCATATTTAAACACCTGACTTCTATCTTTTAAAATGTATCAGTAATATTCATATTGCTGATTTCAATAAATAGCTGTAAAAAAAGGAATATTTTAATACCCTGGTCTGAAAATTGACAGTCTCTCAAAATGTAATACTTTTAAACTTTCTTCAACCTGACCCTAAAAAAGAAAAGGCATAAGAATTAGTAGAAAAATGTGTAAATTAACCTGTATAAATTCCTGAAAATGCATCATTGTTGATTCTAAAACTGAAAGTAGACATTAACTTTAGATGCAGATTTCAGTGAACATTTTTATATTAAATTTATTGTGACATTTACTGATTTAATAACAAAATGAATGATTATCAGTGACAGTTGAATTTTCTACTTTTTTACCTGAATTACTTTTGAATGTTAGAAAATTACCTTTATTCTTGGATAGAGAAAGGAACTGTTTTTATCAGTGCCCTGAGAGGAGGAGTGGATGAAATGTTTACATCCACTAGTTTTGGCAATCTCTGCTGTCTTCATCACATAGTCATTGTCCACTTTAACAAAGCCTTCCTGATAGATATCAACACAACTGATTAAAACAGTGCTCAGTAATGTGGTTAGTACCTCAATATATTGTAATGCAAATGGTCACAAATAAAAGAAATCTTAAAATAAAGAATAAAGATAATCTCAGTGTGTTTTGATTTTAAGGATAAATCAAACTGCCAAAGAATTCCAGTATGTATAAAATTATTTACTTATAAAATGTATTTCTTTTAGATAATCAAAAAATTTAAAGCAAAGCTCCTTCAGAGTGAGTTTCTACTTACAACTCCACTTTTTCCTCTTGTTGTTCCCAGGGCATTAAAACCGACATCACATCCCTCAAAAGCTTCCTTATACTGGTCTAGATTGTCAAAATCCACTACTCTCTCTTCCTGGAAATGTCATAAAGTCTTAAAAATCAACATGTACAAATATAAACTGTACACTTGCTAATGAACAGTAAATATACTTCACATATACACTGTATTACATGTAACAAGTTAGTTTTATCAATATAAACATACTCATTACAATACATATGGTATTTCCAAAACAATCTTTTTTTTTCAAATTACTGGTATTCATTATTCAATGATTAATTATCAATTCAGATGTTTATATTTTCTTTTTTACAATTTGATCATTACTGACATTTTGAGTCTGTTTGCTTTCATGCAAGAAGAATCAATCTATTAGAATAATAGATAGTACAAGTAATCATATCATCTCATAAATATGAAGAAAAAAAACAACCGCAACAATTTTTCAAAATAATTATTTTCAAAATGAGCATACAAATTCTTTTCCCAGTTTCTCAGTTATGTTTGTCTGTCTTCTGCCAATTAGGACCACCCTCTTGAATGGTTTGGATTCGTTCAGCTCCTTCACAATTTCTTTCCCAGTTTCACCTGTGTACCCAACAACAAATGCAGAATGATCCTCGTTTTTGAACTTCTCTAAGTTTTGCTCACGTTCAGAAGCCATGCTATAAGGAATGAAAAATAAATTTTTATTTAAAACTGTTTCATTTTTTATATTACTTATTTTCACATGAAATTTTGTGTCAAGCTATGGACAACTTGTCAAATCATTTTTAAACTGCCTCAAAAATAAGTATATTAATTCATCAATTTACTTTCAATGGTTAATTGACGTATAACTCTCTGCAGAGTTAATAATATACATGTTGATTGGTATTGCATGCATCTGCATCAGTCCTGTTTATGTTGCTATCATCCAAAGACAGAATCTGATCATCAAACTGTGTCCATAAGGAAAGTCATTTAAACAAAGAAATTTTATCTTTTTTATAATAAATTTAAAATTACTTTGATCAGTATTTATTTTAATGGGTTCCTTGCCCATATAAACTGTTCTACAATATCTGCAATACTGCTCTTTTGCAGGCCAAAATGATTAATTTTGGTGAAATGCCTGACATCATAACCACTGTTTGATAGCAATTGCAAGGGGGAGCGCAAAGCAAAGTGCCTCTTGCCACAGTGAGCTCTTAAAGCAATGCCTGGGCGAAGAGAAATTTGGACTGCGTTTTACCAAAAATCCCGTTCTTGCAGTTATAAAAAAACATTGACCAAATAAACTCTCCTAGATTTAAAGGTTATTGCAGAAATTACTTCTCCGATTAAATGTTCTTTAATATTAAAATTAATACTGTTTAGGCTTAATTTGGTTAGGTTGGACGTCATGTGACATCAAAGTCTAGATGTGTGGAATGTCACATGCAGTTTGAAGAAAAAGATCTAAAATTATAACTGGATAGGCCTCTGCACTCGTCTTAAGGGCCTCACCCTCAACATATCATATATCATTTAATTAACTACCACAAAAACTTTGCCAACCATTATTAATTTGACCCGCAAAAGAAATGTACCACAATTGTCTTGAATGAGATAACCGAGATAAATGAATAGACAGTAAAGATGACCCTTGATCTGTAAAGCTAAGTAAATATGGATATAGGTTTTTTTTGTTTCATATTTTAACAATCTTTATTTGTTATCTAAAGAGTATAAAATCATGCTTTCAAACTTGCACTATTACCATAATATGAACTATGTAAGCTGAAATATTGCAACTTTTTACTACATTGTTCATTAATGACCTCATGGGTAGACATATTTCCAATATAATGTTACCTGTAAATAAAATATGCGTCATGCACAGAGGCTAAATCATAAATACTAATCAAACAAGCCCAAAATACGCCTAAAGTTGCAAACGCAATTGCAACGCCAGCAAAACAGTCTCGACAATCTTTGTCGAACCCTAAAAATCTCATACCCCTGCTGTTTACGTCACAAAATTGTGTAGAATGGATAAAATCAGAACTAAACCGAGATGTACTTGTGTATCCGGAATTATGTATTTATTAATTTATTTTAAATTCTTTTACCATATATAGTTTTTAATGGGAAATTATTTTGGAATATCAATGAAAAATATCTTGTAATCATTGCAACATAATTCCAAGTGAAATAAATTCAACTTGTCTTGTATGAGTGAAAATACGAAACTGTGCCTTTGGTAAAGAAACTCGCTTAGATCGACGCAGGGAAGTAAGTAGGTCAAGAAATTGTTGTGGTATTATATTAGCTTGCAAGTCTTAATACCTGTTAAATCATTATGTTATATCCCGAAGGATGCACTTTAAGTTTAAAAGAAGAATTTTATTAGTGAACGAAATTATTTATGCGTCACAAAATTCCTTTCGACTTTGTGTAAAGCTTGCATGTAAATTCCAAAATGGCGGAAACGTTTTCACTATGAATATTCTCTAGTTGTAGATCAAACACAATGGCCAATCGAATGAAAGAATGGAAACTAGACTGTAAAGTATACATTGGTGATCTTGGTTATGGTGCAGCCAAACAGGAACTGGAAGACCTGTTTTCAAGATACGGCCCCATCAGGAATGTCTGGGTAGCCAGAAACCCACCAGGTTTTGCCTTTGTAGAGTTTCAGGACCCAAGAGATGCAGAGGATGCAACAAAAGCTCTTGACGGCACGTGAGTAACTTGATGTTATCATTAAGTGCAATCATTATACATCATGGAATGTATGCTATAATAGTGCTGAAGTTTTTTTAATAGAAATATACTATGGTTTAATTTATTTTGCAGGAGGATAAATGGCAGGAGAGTGAGAGTAGAAATGTCATCAGGAAAATCCCGCTGGGGCTCGAGAGGACCACCCACACGCCGTGGAGGTGGTGGTGGGAGGAGTTACAGAGACGAACGACGCAGATCAAGGTGATTGGGTTCTTTGTATTTTATTTAGATAGTTTATACATTAGCATTCAACATACAGTGGAATTAAAAATAAGACATATTCTGATCATCAAAAAGAAGAAAAAACCATTCAGTGACAATTGTATTTAAAATTTAATATTTTTGTTGGTTCTAAATTGATTTTCTAAGTCTTTTAAACACACGAAGTGCTTTTTGTCATTTAAGTTTTGTAATTTATTATATGTATTTGTTTGGAGAAAACCGATCTGTGATGAAGAAGCAAATTAAGTTCCAACACTTGCTGCAATAAAAATCTCAGGAAATGTGAAGTTCATCTTAAAGGATTACATGTCAGATCTCCTTGTCTTTGTATCAAACTTGATAATAGATTTTTTTTCTATGATATTATGCACAAGTGTGCAATGAACCACCAGCCGTTCTTTGACGCTTTATTTTCCAAAAGAAAAAAAATTAAAATACAGTGTTTTCATTCATCTGGAATTTTTCTTAGGGGGTTGTATTTATTTATTGAGTTTCAGCAAAAGGTGACATTTAAATTTTTCTTACTATCAAAGTTTTATGTGTCTTTGTTGTCCCTTCATTTTATTGTGGTAGATAAAGCCATCATTAAGATTCATTTCATCTTCATTAAAAATCAACTTGTGCATATACTACAAACATTTTATTTTTGATTTTTTGTTCCACAATTTTTTTTTTTTCAAATCAATTTAGAAATTGATATTAAAATGGTAGCAAAAAAAGTAAAAAATTTGAAAAGTTAAAAGTTAATAGGAAAATTTTGTAAAACTGCACATTAATTTCTGTCTTGCCATATTAACCTTGACTGATATGAACCCATTTACAGGCTAGCCTTTTATGCCCCCAGCCAGTCGGCGTCATCGTTTCTTTCCCCTGGTCAACGTCTGCCCTAATCAACATTGCTGATCAACTTGATCAACACCCCACTTTCTATCAGCTGATATCAACCAGCAGCTGTTTTATCAGCACTACAACACAACGCCCATCAGCGTCAACAACAGTACTTTAAACGGGGAACAATATCTTCTCACCTAGATCAGCTAAAATTAAGTCATGTTCAGACATACTCAACATTCTATGGGTTTGGATTCTAAAATTTATGAAAATGATGTTAAAATTTTATTTGAGAGAATTTTGAAATTTGGTCAAAGTCTCATGACATATAATCTAACAGATTTATAAAAAATAAATCTAGCCAAAAAAAAATTAGTTGCAAGATAAGTCTTGGATTTTTGTTTTGGAGTGCTGTTCAAGAATCAGACATAATTTTTCTATCAGATACATTAGAACTCAAAGCATTTTGAACATACAAAGAAATTTTTAAGAAGCAAACAGTGAATTTTTCAAGGAGACTTGTTGAATTGTCTGAACAGCCCAAATTTTTTCACACCTCCAATTTTCCAACGCCTTTCTTCGATACATACACATCACGTTAGTTTCCCTATTCTCCGTGGGTCAGCATCAGCATTTCAACTTTATCACCTCTTATCGTCCGGACGGCAGCTTGACAATGGTACAGGGTTGTCAGTTACAGCCAGTTTCTACTGGTTTGCTTGTATGCTTCATACTAACCATGAGTTTCACAATATTTTCATTTTTTTTTTTTTTAAAAAAGTTATCACTGAATTCGGTATTGTATTTTGATACTTGCAGTTAATTGCGAAGATTTCAAGGAAAATTTCCAAAGTGCATGGGAGCGCTAGCTTTTAACAGTTAACTACCCTTTTTGGAAAAAGGGAAATTTATATTAAAACCCATGTTTTGTTTCTAATTGTTGTTTAGTGTTTTTAGTTTTATAGTTGAAGCATTATGTTTATTATTTCTAGCTGTTTCTCGATTAAAAAAAATCAGTATAAAAGGAGCTTACTTTTTAATCAGATATACATGTAAATGTTATTTTAATCTTCTCTAGACCTTTCATCTGAATTGTTATTGTGCCATGTTGTATATTCCCATGGAATTAAAATAGTACTAAGGTAGTCATTTGACCTAACAAAAGGCTTTCTTTTGTTAGGCTTCCTTTTATCTTTTAACAGAGACTGTGAAGAAAGCAACTTACAATGTTTTAAGATTTGTTTTTTTGATTTCCAGATCTTTTTCACCCAGACGAAGAAGTCCCTCACCAAGGAGAAGAAGCAGGAGCAGAAGTCGCTCTAGGTATGGGCTGAGTTTAATGATAGTCAAATAAGATTTATAAAACATCAACCCCCTTTATGGTTCCTGATCAGTTTTGATGATCTTGACTGTTTTTGGACATATTGCATTGCCAGATCATAACCAACATTTGAGACAAGTATCAGCCAGAAGGTCGTGGCTACCTTTTGATCATGATTACTCTCTTTAAACCTTGTAATCATATTTCATTCAAACATGAGGTTTGCTAAAACATGTCCTCCTCCTTTTGATAAAGTGTTCCGTTATAAAATATTTCTAATCAAAAGTGATTCAGATGACCAGCTAGCCTTTATAAAAATATGTGCCTTTAAATAAGGGTGAGTTAATTTCTCCTTGATATGTTACAGGTCACCGTCCTACAGAAGGTCCAGATCTCCCTATGACAGACGATAGGAACAACTGCAGACAGGTAGGTCTCTTTACATGGGATGGGGTGCAGTTTTGGAGGATATAAAAACATAATTGTAGGCTCTCAACTTAGATTGAGATGCCTGTTTTATTTGGGTATATTGCAAAACAATGTATTATGTAGGCCATCTTGTATGAAATATATGTTAGATAAAAATGTTAAATATTTTTTGAAAATTAAAACTATTTTTAAGAAAGTTTCTTTGTCAAAACTTTTTTTAAATGTGTTTCTTAATTTTCAGAATACAATTTCCCAGCTGTGTGAACTGTTGAAATGAAGCAAGAAAAACACATTCAAGTTTAATGTCGATATATTTTAATTAACATCATTTCATTGGTGTAAAACACAAGATGTTTTATGTTTTTAATCATAATTTTCATCATGATTTTAAGAATTAAGATTATCGTATGAAGTGACAGAACTTGTCATTAACATGTGTCCTTGATATTCATGTGACATCTATCATTGGTTAAATCACCCCCCTTTTTATTAAGGAAAAGATTAGAATGAAATGTGTATATATATTATATAGATGTTTTATATCCCCTTATGTTGTTGAATAAAATAATTAATATATATGGATTTTACTTTTCAATATTTCTATAACCGTATGCATAGATTTTTTTAAATAACGCTATCATATCATATGGTTTTCCATTAAAGTTGAATACAATTCCTAAAAGGAATGTTTCTGCCATTTTTGTTCGGATTCTCAATACATCTGCAACCCCTGTATAAAAGCCAGGACTTAATCACTGCTCAGTGTAATCAGCTGACACTGGTGTAGAAGGACGTATGCTATACAGCATTCGGTAATGACAATAATGTCATACTTCGTCAAATGCAGGAAAGTCAGATGCCAAAGAAACTAACAATTATTGTTGTACAGGTCAGTGCAGTACACAAGTGAACACAGATACTTGTAACTGCTATAAAATGTAAAAAAAAAAGTCATGCAAGAAAACCAGCACAAACACAGGTCGCCATTTCCACGCCGATACTCGACGGATCTGAAGAGTATACCCTGGTGATGTATGGAAAATAATGATATCGAAAATGGCATATGCTATTTATGAGTCATGTTCAGCTTTAAGTATGACATATTTCATTGAAGTGGATCAAATTGCATGCTATAGATCAAATGATGGAAGAATATCTGTCAAGGTGGAACATGCCTTTACTCCTGCATATATGAAGGCTGAGGAAAACCTGAGCCATTGATTGTTCAGAATAAAGTTGTATGGCAAAAGAATTAGGGTTTCATCAATGTAGTCAAAGATAAAGTTTAATAAGTGTTCAAAAAGAGATCATTAGCCAATAAAGTCGCAACATAATGGTGTGCTCAGAACAAGTTGCAATAATTTTAGATCATGTACTTACTACTACTGAAATATGAAATACATGTAGTTCATAGCTTGTCAAGCTTATCTTATTTACAGACAGTACGATGATATTGGGCAAGCTGGAAATATGGAGCACACAGCAGGCGTGACAAGTCAGCTCTTTTCTCCATGGTAAGTAATCTCCCTGATATTAGAGAGGTCCGTATTTGCTCTGCTCCTGATTCGTGTGCTTTGAATGGACTTTTGAGTTTGGATTCTGTTTGTTATCTTTATATATTTCATTTTATAAAGGGGGAAAGTGGTAACACTGGCAAATATATTTTCTTCTAAAACTTTTCTGTGTAGTCAGAAAGCTAAAAATTTTGCATAATTGTTGGATGTAGCGATCAAAATTAAAAGATATCTCCACAAATACGACTATGTACTTTACGTTAGCCAAGTATTGCTGACTTGTCCACGTACTCCTGTAGATGACACACAAATCCTCATTTGACAAGATTTTATTAGTATCGTTTATTAGATGCTAAGAATAAATACTCAACAACGGAAACGAAAAAGTTTATCAGAATTACAGCTACATCATACTCCATCTTCCACTGCGTTGGGAAGGTTGGGTTTACTTCCACCCCAATTCTTCAGGACGTTCTCTGCTTTCTTCAGTGTCTCCTCAGTCTGCAATGGAGGTTATAGTAATGTGAAGATTTTGTTACAGAGGGATTTACATGTAAAGACCTACTCAAAAAAAGTTTTTTTCGTTCATCAGTTTTATTTCTTTCTTACCTTTGCAAAACAAATACGAACATATTTATCTCCAAGACTTTTGTGTTCCTGGCAGTAAAATATGGACAAGGGAATGACGGTGAACTTCTGCAAATAAAATTCTCCAAGGTAGAATACAACTTTTCAGAAGACAGACATATACATAATCTGTTAAAACAAGTTTACCTTTTCTTTAATGGCCCATTTGACGAATTTTATATCGAACGCCTCCTCATTTGATTCTTCACTGTCGATGTTGGTCTCTACAAAAGAAACCAGTTTAAATGACAAGAGTCAGTGAGTGTTAATTGATACAGTCTGTAATATTATTCTTTTATCATAATAGGTCGAGTGCTGTAAATTACTTATTATTCGTGATTGTTTTTGGTCTCAAGGATTGACCAAGAGATGTTGCCAATTTACCTCTCAAGAATATAAATACAAATTTTCATTTGGACTCACCGGCTTTTTTGCTTGAAAATACCAGAGTTCTATACAATTTATCTTTATATGAAATGAATTCTTCTATACAGAAGCAGATGCATATGACGCTTGCCTAGTTTGGAGATATCTGCCACTATAAAGTAGCCACCTCCTGGAATCACGGGGTTTAGCGCCGCCTGGCGGAGACTGTTAACCAACTGATCCCTCTTTCTTTCCATTTCCGCGCACAAGACTCTGAAATAGCAGTCTTTACTATCCAGTCTTTGTTCCTCTCTCTCAAAAGCTATCGCTACTGCTTCCTTTAAAGGTAAATTCAGTGCTGAATAAGTGTACCTTATACTTTATGTTGATGCTTACTTTGACCTTGGAAATGAACGTTTGAAAAGTCATTAAGTATCATTCGTCTTTCCGTCCGTCAACAAAGAAAGAATATACATATTATCGAAAATAGGAAATCCCTAAATATGTAGTACAATCGCAGAAAGTTACAGTCAAGGGTTAAAGTTTAACGGAAAAAGTTCAAACTCAAGGTCAGTGTCATGAGGTTCACTCTAAAAAAAGTTTTACTTGTTGTTTTTAAAATAAGATATTAGATTAAGAAAAACTAGTAATTATTAGTAATCCATTTAGTCAGAATAGCAAGTAAATGACTATCATGGTTAGTAATTGTAAACATAATTAGTAATAAGGATGAATTCATTTACTTATAAAATGATTTACTAAGTATCAATAGAATTACTTAAATTATAGGAATTGTATTACTTAAAGTTAGTAAATGAACTACTCATTTTTGTTCAATTATTATTACTTAATTTAGAGATAATATGCTTTCTATTTACTAAATTTTATGAATTATTACTAAGTAAATGTAATTCTGAAATTAATTAAAATCTAGAATATTATTACTCAAAAGAATACTAAGTAAATGAAATACTTATCATATTTACTAAAATCGACATTATTTACCAGAAACAATGCAAGGTACCGACCCTCTGACATGTGAGTACTACTCACAGATTTCTTTATCAGAGTTCCCTAATTGGGCCCTCTGAATAGTTTAATAGAAGAAATCTACTCATGATGGAAACAATTATACTTTCTATTTCTTTTGCCAATTTCTTTGTAATTGTTTTATTATATATAACAATAAAACATTTGATTCCAACTTCGAAAGCCTTAAAAATTGAATAAGTTGTATCTTTTTAAGGACCATTTTAAAAATGGTTAAACATTTCAAGTACTTAATACCGCATTTTTATTAGTGTGACTTTTTTTTCACATGAAGGAATATTTAGAAGAAAGATAACTCCTCCTCACAGACAATTAGTGATTAGACTACCATATTTAAGTAATTACTGATCTGAATTCTCCTAGATTTAGTAAATAAATTTTTGTTTTAAGTAAATCAATTAAATACAATTCAAACAAGATGTGTTTGTGAAACACCTATGCCCCTGTATGGCAATATTTCAAAGGTTAAACTTTTCTTATATACAAATTAAAATTATTGGGATTTCTTGATATCTCCAAGGTCAAAAGGTCAAGGTTATAGGTATCTAATGAAAGGTCTTGCCAAAAAAAAAATACATATGTGAAATATGGAAACACTTGCCTTAACCCTTCAGAAGTTATGGTCAAGGTTACCAATTTTGAAATGTAGGTCAAACGCCAAGGTCAAAGACAAAGGGACAGATTTGGTGATACCCAAAGAAAGGTCTTGTCACAAGGATGAACTATGTAAAGTATGAATGCACTAACCCTAATCCTTTTAAAGTTACAGTCAAGGTTTGCTTTTTAAAAGTGGGTCAAACTCCAAGGTCAAGGTCAAAGGGTCAAAGTTCTTGGTATCCTATGAATGGTCTTCTCAAAATGATTACATATATGTAAGTATGAAAGCACTATTCCTTACCGTTCAAACGTTATGGTCAAGGTTAAAGTTTTTTTTCACAAGGATGGACATCTCCAAGGTCAAGGTCAAAATTTCATAGTTGTTGGTATTCAATGAAAGTTCTTTCAACAAAAAATATATATGTGAAGTATACATGTCCTGGTATTTACTGTTCAAAAGATTTGGATAAAGAATAAGTTTGGATTTTTTGTGTATAAGTGAGTCAAACTTCAAGGTTAAGGTCAAATTTGGTGATACTCAAAGAAAGGTCTTGTCACAAGGAATACACGTGTGAAATATGAAAGTCATAGCTCCGCTAAATCAAAAGTTATGGACAAGGTTAAAGTTTCTGTGGATAAACAGACAAACAGAGAGACAGCTAGACAGACAGACGGACACGACAAAAACCATATACGCCCGAAACTTCGTTTACGGGGGCATTAAAATATTAATTATATAGTAAATAGTGGTAAAATGTAAGTAAAAACCAAGTAATGTTATTACTTATATACACAAATTTAAGTAAATATAAATTACTAAGTAAAACTTTTTAGTGTGTAAGTAAAACAATTCTTTAAAATACAAAAATCAAGTAAAACATTTGAATCTAGTAATTGACATATATTTCAGTAATTGATTTAAAATTTTAAGTAAATGCTTAGTAATTATCTATTACTTATCTTTGTTATTTCAAGTAAAAAATGACTACTAAGTAAAACATTTTTAAGAGTGTTTGGTTCCCAAAGAATGGTGTCGCAAGAAATGAACAGCGAACCAAAAACAATATGCCCATATTGATCTCTGATTACGATAATTAATAATGTTGAATTGTCCGAGAGTTATCTTATTAAATAAAAATCTATTATTTAACATGTTGTACTTAGATTCTCTTATTTTTTATAAGTTAACAATAATCCACAAAATTCTACCAATTCTTCTCACTCGGCTTAATTAAGTACTAAAAAAATTATTTCAAATTTAAGCACCTGCAAGACCGAGGGTCCTCCGCGAATAGACAAATGATGGAAGCATTGTAGAGCATCTATTAAATGGGCGGGTCCCACGGCCCAACCAGTTTTCCACCCCGTGGCGCTAAATGTCTTCCCAGCACTTCCTATATGTATTGTTCTATCCGCCATTCCATCCAAGGTAGCTATAAAACAAGCTAATTCAGAGAATTTGTGTCCCCCGCTCAGGGGAAAAGTAAACCATGCGCAGTTCGGGGGTCGGGGGTGGGGTGTGTGTGTTCGGCTCCCCTTGACTGAATTTGTAGAATTATTAAATGTATACTGAAGGAAATAAAATATGCCAGTATGGAAATAAAGGTTTGATTGATTATTCTTTATTATGTGTGTAGAAGATCCTTTTTATATGGAATGTTTATCACACTGTAATGATGATTTTATGAGTTTGTACAAGCCAGACCTCATAAACTGTTCATTTCACATGCTGAATACTATCATTTAGTAAAAAAAAAAGTATTTCGATAAAAAAAAAATTGGACCGTCCGGGATACGAACCCTGACCCTCTCACATGTGAAGCGAGAGACATTTTTTTTTTATCTTTACTAGACCACGGAGCCGCTGTAATATGGCGAAAATTATATACAAACATGAAGTCACATACATGCATATATTCACGTTCGATATATTGTCAAAATTTTACACAATGCATGGTGTCTAATTTAACCTTTATTAAACAGTTTTAATAGATGTAAGAAGAATATAAAGTCCGTCGAGAACCTGTTTTATACGTAATAACTCTCCTTCATGCCCCTGTGCTAAAAATAGCGACATGTATTACAATAAATACTGATACAACAAACGGGTCGGGAAACTTTGAGAGGGGTGAGAGAGGTCATAGGGACTTTTGGTATAAAATTACATTGCAAAAGCTCAAAATCCTCTTGAAATATCGCCCGAAAACGATAGTGTTACACACAAACAGAATGTATACATTTATGACCTTGAACTTTGACCTTTTGACCTCAAAATCAATAGAGGTCTTCCTTAAGCCACAGGGAGTTATGTAATACCCTGTTCACACGACGAGTCTAATTCGCTGTAAACTAATGCGAATCAAATTAATGCGAATTAAATTGCGTTCACACGACAGCTAATGCGAAGTAAACTAGTGCGAATTAAATTTTTTCATCTACAGTCAGGCGTCAGAAAGTCTATTATGACGTCATTTGTAAATCACGTCATGTATGCCGAGCCATCCTTTGATACATCATGTAGTGGCTACAGGTATTCATTGATTTTAGTGATTAACATACTTTCCCTCAATTTTTGAACCAAATATAGCACAAATACCTCTATATAACCACCATCACGTGTCCTGTGGCTTAATTATGGCCTTACGCATGCGTCAAAATTTAATTCGAATTAGCTTCGCTTAGCGTTCACACGGAGCTAATGTGAAGTAATTTAACGCGCAGTAAATTAATTCGAATTAAATTAATTCGCATTAAAGTCTCCGTATAAACGCTAAGCGAAGCTAATTCGCAGTAACTTTACGTTTAATTCGAATTAAACTCTCCGTGTGAACAGGGCATAAAATTTCATTGCAAAAGCTCAAAGGGTTCTCGAGATATCGCGCGAAAACGTATGACCTTGACCTTTGACCTTAAAATCAATAGGGTTCTTCTTTAGTCCATAGGGAGTTGCTATGCAAAAAATCATTGCAAAAGGGTTCTTGAGTTATCGTGTGGAAACTAAAGCGTTACAGACAGACAGAAAGACGGACGGACGGACGGACAAACCCAAATTAATATCCCCCACTTTTCAAGCGGGGGACAATAGGACGGACATCAAAGAGCGTTAACGTTCACATGCGCGGATCTAGAGGGGGGTCGGGGGGTCAGGATTGGAATTTCCAAGGTTATCAAATTTATATACTAAAACAAAAAAAGTTACCTTGGACCCCCCCCCCCAGGAAAACGCAGACCCCCGGTTAACGCGAATTTGTGTTAAATTGTCCACTTGTGATAGTTAACAAAAAACATTTCTCCTTTCCAAAGGGATACATTGTAGTGCTAAAGTTTGAACTACCGATTTTTAAAGTTTGAATTCCAGAATTACAATTACGTGGCTTTAATACGCTTTTGTAATGGAGCAATATTTCTACAATTACGTGAAATCATTATTATTTAAGTATGCTTAAATACCCATATAGATATGTCTTCTGTTTTCGTAGATAAGCCATTGGTACACATCGTCGGCGATACACAGAGTATCGTGCTTTATGCAGAGATTCGCAATGACTTGTAGTTCATCTTTATTAAAGACCTGATAAGATAAAAGATGCATTTTACCTATCGACAGCTTCTTAAAGAGCATTGTTGATATTAATTAGTTTCGATCTTTTTCTTACCGTGATGAACAAAAAATGTTGATTATAAACAAATTAAATTCAAAAGTAAAGTACATGTATGTGAAAACAAACTGTATTTGTGAAACACTGATGCCCAAACATGGCGGCTTAAGGCCATAGTGAAGTTTTTTTAAACGGAAGGATAAACTCTAAGGCGGATTTCAAAATTTCAAACCATATAACAGTTATGGACAAGGTTTTTTTTTATTTAGGTCCCATTCCAAGGTGATGGTCATATGTCAAAAATGCAGGTACCAAACGAAAGGTTTTGTCACAAGAGATATTAAATTTATATGTGAGATATGAAAGCTGTAGCTCTTACCGTTTAAATAGCGTGACCAAGGTTAGTTTTTTCTAATTACGAGGTCAAGGTCAAATTATCAAAAAAAGTTGAGAGCAAAGAAAAGGTCTGTTCATGTGAAATACATAAATTATATGAAATGTAAAAAGCCCTCATTTAATAGTGCAAAAGTTACGACCAAGTTTAAAGCTTTTAAAAATAGCGCAAAAGTAGGTCAAACTTTGAGGCTAAGGACAAATTGTCAAATAGATTGGAGGTCAAAGAAAGATCTCGTCACAAGAAATTCACCTTGTGAAATGAAAGCCCTAGCACCAGTCATTGAAAAATTGACAAGGTTGAAATTTTGCGGACAGACAAAGAAATGAATAAACATCCAGCTAAAGACAGACAGATGGACAGGACAAAAACTATATGTTCCCAAATCTTTGATTATGGAGACATCTAAATTAAATTTGCCATTAATTTGAATAAAACTTTTACTTTTCCCAACGGATTCATCGGCGTGTTAACAACAATAGCTTTAGTTTTTGTACTGAACGCTGTTTCCAATACTACCAAGTCAAATACCCAATCATCACTGTCTGTTGATCCAGGTTTCTACGGTGAGAAAAGTTTATATAATGCAAGACATGCTGTATTAAATGATCTTACTGAAAAATGTTACAAATTTTGAGCTTTACGTACTGGTATAAGAGGCACGTATTTAACTGACGCTCCAGCGAGTCGGACCATTTCAATGTAAGGTTCGTAACACGGTTCTATTAAAATTACCTATAAAATAATATTGTTATAAAAAGATAACGGTAGTAAATTATTCAATGAACCCACATTTATTTTCGTTAGTTTCCACAACGTTAAAATATTCTTGTATACAATACTTTATGTCATCTTTGCAAGCCACGAGTCCATGAGTCAATACGTTGCCGTTGGAATCCAGAATCAACACCTAGCCGGTAGAATCCTGAGTGAACACGTGGCCATTGGAATTCTGAGTCAACACGTTGCCGTTGGAACCCGAGTCAACACGTTGCCGTTAAAATCCTGAGACAATACGTTGCCGTTGGAATCCTGAGTCAGCATGTTGCCGTTGGAATCCTGAATCAACACGTTCACATTGGAATTCATAGTCAACACGTTGCCGTTGGAGTCCTGAGTTAAGACGTTAAGGAATCCTAAGTCAACAAGTTGCCGCTGGACTCCTGTGTCAACAGGTTGTGCCGCTGGAGTCCTGAATTAAGACGTTGCAGAATCCTGAGCCAACAGGTTGCCATTGGAGTTCTTAGTCAACACGTTACAGTTGGAATCCTAAGCAAACATGTTGCCGTTAGAGTCCTGAGTTACGATGTTGTGGAATCTTGAGTTAACACGTTGCCGTTGGAATTCTGATCCAACACATTGCCGTTGGAGTCCTGGGTTAAGACATTGCAGAATCCTGAGACAACACGTTGCCATTGGAGATCTGAGTCAACACGTTACCGTTCGAATCCTAAGCAAACACGTTGCCGTTAGAGTCCTGAGTTACGACGTTGCGGAATCTTGAGTTAACACATTGCCGTTGGAATCCCGAGTCAACGAGTTGCCTATGGAATCCTGAGCCAACACATTGCCGTTGGAGTCCTGAGTTAAGACGTTGCAGAATCCTGAGTCAACACGTTGCTCTTGGAATCCTGAGTCAACACGTTGCCGTTGGAATTCCGAATCAACACGTTGCCGTTGGAGTCCTGAGTCAACACTTTGCCGTTAGAATCCTGAGTCAACACGTTGCCGTTGGAGTCCTAAGTTAAACGTTACCGTCGGATTCCTGAGTCAACTCGTTGCCGTTGGAATCCTGAGTCAACAGGTTACCGTTGGAGTCCTGAGTTTAGACATTGCGGAATCCCGAGTCAACACTTTACCATTGGAATCCTGAGTCAACACGTTGCCGTTGGAATCCTGAGTCAACAGGTTGCCGTTGGAGTTCTGAGTCAACACGTTACCGTATGGATCCTAAGCCAACACATTGTCGTTGGAGTCATGTGTTAAGATGTTTAGGAATCTTGAGTCAATACGTCGCCGTTGGAATCCTCAGTCTACATGTTGCCGTTTGAGTTCTGAGCTAAGACGTTGCGGAGGCAACAGGATCCCGTTGGAATCCTGAGTCAACATGTTGCCGTTGTAGTCCTGAGTCAACACATTGCTGTTGGAGTCCTGAGTTTAGAGGTTGCGGAATCCTGAGTCAACACGTTGCCGTTGGAGTCCTGAGTTAAGACGTTGCAGTTGGAGTCCTGAGTTAAGACGTTGCAGAATCCTAAGTCAACACATTGCTGTTGGAATTCTAAATCAACACGTTGCCGTTGGAATCCTAAGTCAACAGGTTGCCGTTGGAGTTCTGAGTCAACACGTTACTGTTGGAATTACTAATGCCAACACATTGCCGTTGGAGTCCTGAGTTAAGACGTTAAGGAATCTTGAATCAAGTCCTGACTTAAGACGTTGACGTTGAAATCCTGCATCAACACGTTTCCGTTGGAGTCCTGCGTTTAGACATTGCGAAATCCTGAGTCAACACGTTGCCGTTGGAATTACTAAGCCAAGACATTGCCGTTGGAGTCCTGGGTTAAGACGTTAAGGAATCTTGAATCAACACGTTGCCGTTCGAGTTCTGAGTCAACACAGTGCCGTTGGAAGCCTGAGTTTAGACATTGCGAAATCCTGAGTCAACACTTTACCATTGGAATCCTGAGTCAACATGTTGCCGTTGGAATCCTGAGTCAACAGGTTGCCATTGGAGTTCTGAGTCACGTTACCGTATGGATCCTAAGCCAACACGTTGTCGTTGGAGTCCTGAGTTAAGACGTTAAGGAATCTTGAGTCAACACGTCGCCGTTAGAGTCCTGAGTTAAGACGTTTAGGAATCTTGAGTCAACACGTCGCCGTTGGAATCCTGAGTCAACACGTTGCCGTTTGAGTTCTGAGCTAAGACGTTACGGAGGCAACAGGTTCCCGTTGGAATCCTGAGTCAACATGTTGCCGTTGTAGTCCTGAGTCAACACATTGCTGTTGGAGTCCTGAGTTTAGAGGTTGCGGAATCCTGAGTCAACACGTTGCAGTTGGAGTCCTGAGTTAAGACGTTGCAGAATCCTAAGTCAACATGTTGCTGTCGGATTTCTGAGTCAACACTTTGCCGCTGGAATCCTGAGTCAACACGTTGCCGCTGGGGTCCTGACTTAAGACGCTGACGTTGAAATCCAGCGTCAAAACGTTTCCGTTGGAATCCTGACCTTAGACATTGCGGAATCCTGAGTCAACACGTTGCCGTTGGAATCTTAAGTCAACAGGTTGCCGTTGGAGTTCTGAGTCAACATGGTACCGTTGGAATTACTACGCCAACACATTGCCGTTGGAGTCCTGAGTTAAGACGTTAAGGAATCTTTAATCAACACGTTGCCGTTGGCGTTGCCGCTGGGGTCCTGACTTAAGACGTTGACGTTGAAATCCAGCGTCAAAATGTTTCCGTTGGAATCCTGAGCTTAGACATTGCGGAATCCTGAGTCAACACGTTGCCGTTGGAATCCTAAGTCAACAGGTTGCCTTTGGAGACAACACATTGCCGTTGGAGTCCTGAGTTAAGACGTTAAGGAATCTCGAGTCAACACGTTGCCGTTAGAATTTTGAGACAAAATTTTGCAGTTGGAGTCCTGAATTAAGACGTTGCAGAATCCTGAGTCAACACATTGCCGATGGAATCCTGAGTGAACACGTTGCCGTTGGAATCCCGAGTCAACACTTTGCTGTAGGAGTGCTGAGTCAACACGTTGCCGATGGAATCATGAGTGAACACGTTGCCGTTGGAATCCCGAGTCAACACTTTGCTGTTGGAGTGATGAGTCAACACGTTTCCGTTGGAGTCCTTAGTTAGGACGTTGCGGAATCCTCAGTCAACACGTTGTCGTTGGAATCCTTGGTCAAAACGTTGCCGTTGGAGTCCTGAGTAGACTTTGTAGAATCCTAAGTCAACACGTTGCTGTTGGAATCCTGAGGTAAGACGTTGGACAGCCAACGTGTTGACTCAGGACCCCTGCCATGCGAGGATGACTTTATCTACACATTCAACCAATAGGATAAATAATGACTTTGCTATTCTTTTATTTATCAAAGGACTCGAAACAAAGCAAAGCCTATATACACGACCTAATTCACAAACAACTCTGACACCAGTATATCTATTTTGTTAAAACATTCAACATATACATGTAATTATGTTTTAATTAATGCTGCAACAGATGCTTGATGTTATGTTAGATACTTATGTACATGTATACTGTAAACCAACTTTTATTGGCATGTAATTAATATTCGCGAGTTCCGCGACCGACTTTAACCCTGTCGCGAATATTAATCGCCGTGAAGCAATAATTTTGCTTAGTATTTGTAGAGAATGTTTCCTTGGTCGCGAAAATTAATCGTCGCGAATTGTTTTCAAACGAACGCATCGCGAATAAAAGATGACGCGAATAATTGTTGGTTTACAGTATCACATGAATGCCAAGATCAAAGGGCATGCCGATTTTTCCTTTCATACTCATCAGTTTATACAACTTGCCTCGTCTCCGGGACAGACCAGTGCCTGGAAGGTTGTGTACAGAGCGTCATAAGCACCTGTTGATGTCATAATGTCGGTCATTGAGTCAATATTCCTCTCTAACAGCCTGCAGTATACCTTGGACAAGACTTTCACTAGGCGTTTGTGACCCTTGATATTAGTATTCATTTGCATCATTTAGAAATTAAACCCACCTTTATTTATGGCATAGTAAAAACTTTTGTGTTAATTTCATATGCAAGTTACTGACGTTTTTTGCAAATATGCATTTTTTTAATACCATTCAGTATAAGTTTTTATCATTTTAAGACTGAAGAATTATTTTATATACATCAAGTCTCATGTAAAAATTCAGCAATGCAAAACAGATTTGTTGAACAATAAAGTAAATCTCCCTATATTATATGATATAATTCTGACTGATATCTCACCGCTGCCCTGGTATAGTGGTGGATCATATGATCAGAATAAGTAGCCACTTCCTCTAGAGCCTTAACCACGTGATCTGATGGCGCAAAGTCGGGAAAACCCTGCAAAGTCCCCCAAAGCAGATGATCAAAACGATAGGGGAACAGCAAAAGACAGTTTGCCAAAAGAGGAGAAACATAAGAGAAAATGCACAATTTATAACACCAAATCACTTCTCTGGTATTCGAGATATCAAAATTCGGGAAAGCATAGCTAAACTGTATTTTACTAATGAAATAATAATAGAATGATTTAAAACTTACCAAGGCCAGGTTAAGTGCTTCATTTTTAGCCGATAGGACGATGATATCCTCCCTTAATGAAGTATTTAAATTATTGTTTACAAAGTCAATGATGGTATCTTAAATGTAACTAATTAACAAAATTGAATTCCTTAATCATACTCACCAGATATTTCCACATTTCCTCCCTCCGTATACTCTCTCCATATTGATATGCCTGGTCGGACTCGACATTCTGTACTTTTGTTGTACCAGTATTATAATGACTCTCAGTTACTTAAAACACACAATGACTTTCCTTAAAGTTTTGGATGCAGTGTCATGTGATTTTTTTTCCCATTTACGCCTTTGAAAACACTGACATTTGATGTTTGAACCGATATCTTTTGAAGTTTCTGAAAGAGAAAAATAAGTAGTGAATTTTTTTTTCCTTTATAAAACTGGTAAAACTAAACAACTTGACTTTTTGATTTTTTTTAGTAAAAAGATCAAAATATTCCGTCTATAACTATGAAAAAAAACAACTCCGAAATTAATCAATCATTTACTAAGCATTGCTTGTAGATGCCCCTGGGTATAAAAAGGAAAAGTCACACTACAAGTTATATCATCAAGGGTCCATAGTTTTGAGAAGATTTCAATTTCAAGAACATATATTTAGGTCTTTTCAATTTTTTTTTACCCCGTAATTGAAGATTCGGGGTTTATAGTTTTTTTTACCCTGTCCGTCCGTCTATCTGTTTGTGTGCTTTCCACAAAAAACTTTAACCTTGACCATAACTTTAAATTGGTTGGAGCTACGACTTTCATATTTTACATGAGTATTTTTGAGACTATACCTTCTTTGGGTACCAACATACATGAATTTGACATTGGACTTTGACCCACTTTTGCAAAAATCAATTCAATAATTTGACCCTTTGACCTTAACCTTTGAGTTTGACCCACATTTAAAAAATGATCTTAGCTACATGTATAACTTTTGAACTTTTGAATGTTTTGTGGTTGGGCTTTTATAATTTCACATGTATAATTATTGATACAGGTCCTTTTTTTGGGATGGAAACTTTTGTGATTAATGATCTTGACCTGTATGTAAAAAAAACTTGAACCTTTGCCACAAGCTGCCATACTGGGGCATAAGTGTTTCACAAGGACATCTTATTTTCGAAGCTAAATTGGTTTTGAGAGAATACTATAACATTTTAAAACACCTAAAACGCCACACAAATATTTGCAACGCAATTTACATTGTTAGGATCACCATTGAACACTTTAAATACACTGTATAATATTATATCATTTTTTCATGCATATAAGTTGAATCTGATGCGTCGAGAAACATTTGTTAAAAAACACTATTACCCGCTGAATAATGAAGCAGCACCTTCCAACGTAGCAACAGTCAACATTGCTTGACGAAGGGGTTATTCCAAAAAATAGTGACCGCGCAGAATTTCTGCGCGCACGTTTCACTGTTAAAACATTGCATGTAGTTGAGAAATTTCCCCCTAAGAAAACTATTGTTGGCTGTGCCTCGGTTGAAAATGGTTTTCTCGGCTGCGCATCGGTTGATAATGGTTTTCTTAGGGTGAAATTTTTCAATGTTACACTCAACTTCATGCAATATTTATATAATATTTACCCTAAGTCTTGTTTGCTTCATTTAACATACTAGTATATTTTCTTTTGCTATGAGAAGAAATTTCTTAAGGCTTCTTAGGATATATCATTCATCAGCTTTTGAGAAGATTGTGGTCAGATCCCCGTATATCAAAATTATCAATTGGAATTTCACTTTTATTACAAATAAAAATAAACAATACAAATTTTTAAGAAGTCAGCTAAAAAAAACACTCAGCCAAAATACTATCCATGGCTAGGTTATAAATAACAAGGTCCTTATAACAACTACAACATTTACAAAATGCAAACTTCAAAGAAAATGCTGTATACCCTGTAACATCAACTTATCAGTCAGTAGCTTGCCTCCGTTTGAAAATTGTTTGTACTGGGAGTGTGCTGTTGAGTATCGAATAAGTTGTCTTGCCCAGAAATATACACTTGAACACATTATATGTTAATATCCTTTTTTAATTCATTAGAGAAGCACGAAAAAACATAAGACGTGCCTTATCTTATTTATATCTCAGTTATATGTAATCATGTAACAATTATATACAGTGTAAATCTGTTTAATCACATCAAACAATAAATAAATCAACAATGGTGTATATGAAAAAGAAAAACATTAGTAACATCTATCTACATATTAAATCATATGAAAACCATTAATAAGAAATCCAATGTTTATGAACAATGTGATTCTATAGAGATTCTTGTTATTTCACGCCATGGCCATTAAGTACTCCGATATGTCCATTAGTCAGGCCGTTTTCTTGATGACCACTCCAGGCTTTCAGCATCCCTCTGGCCTGCTGTAGAGTATCTTCAGTCTGAAAATAAGTTTATATCTGTACAAGAAGTCTACACTTTAAAACAACTCAGCCATTATATGCACGGAAATGTATTGATAAGCTGATAAAGCTACCTTTATAAAACAACAAAATTAACACAGACTCATTGATGGGAGTAATAAGCAGTCAAGCCTTGTTATCTTAAACTTGATGAATTTGATTTAAAATAACCTAAAAAAAAATTAATATCAAACCTTTGCAAAGCAAATTCGGACAAATTTATCTCCAAAGTGCCTATGTTCTTCACTGTAGAATATAGATAATGGAATGAAGGTGAGTTTCTGGAGAAAAAGAGAAGACAAAATCGTTAGAATAAATCAGATCACAGAACCGCTTTAAAGAATTAATGTGCTCAAATTCATTTTTTTTTCTGGCGAAATAATGTCTATTTCAAAGCTTTCTAATTTCGCTTGCTTATTGATTTACTTTGAATTTTCAGTTTGTAATTTTACATGAACAGTGAAATATATTCTAAAGATAAAATTAATTTTTATGTACGCTGTTAGCATTCTAATTTCCCGCTCACTATAATTCTAACACACCTTTTCCTTGATGGCCCATTTGACAAACTGAGAATCGTAAGCCTCCTGGCTGCTGAGATCGATTCCATCTTCTGTGTCTGAAGGAAATAAAGATATAAACTAGAATCTTCAATTTTAAAAACGAAACATTATTATGAATTTACATTTACAAGAATGTATCGTTTTTAGTGTATAATAACAAACTTAATTTTTGGAAAATAAAGAGTGAAAAAACTCTTGTTTTTGTAATTTAAAATAAATATACACTACTCTTCTTACAAGAGGTTATCAAAGAAACTCTATAATCCTTTCTTTTCTTTCAGTTTTTTTCCACTGGTTATTTCAACCAATATACATATTTCATACGGAAATGAAGACAAATGTAAGCCCTTTCTGAACTTCAATAGAGAACTATATTTTCTGATGTGGTAATTTGTGATATCTACCTATGGAGGAGATGTTGGCCACGATGAAGTAGCCTCCCCCGGGGGTGATGGGCTGTAGGCCCGCGTCTTTAAGGTACGTGGACATCTCGTTACGTTTTTGTTCCATTTGTTTGGACAGCAGTGTAAAGTAGCAATCAGGGTTTCCGAGGCGACTCTCCTCTGTCTCAAATGCTATTGCCAAGGCTTCCTACAGTATAAAGATTTCACAAATAATGTTTTGATAAGTCTAGACTACACCAATACCTGTATTCTGTAATCAATAAACCGTTTCACATATTCAAATTGAGCATTTCTTGATTTTGTTATCGCAATATTGAAAAACTGGCCAAGATTTGGAATTACTCCATGTTAAGTATGTATGAGTTGAATATTGAACGGCAAATCGTTATCTGAAAGTGAGAAATCGAACCTGTAGAACTGAGGGCGTTCCCCTGACGGCAAGATGGTGGAATAAATGCATGGCGGAGATGAGATGGGCGGGGCCGACTGCCCACCCGATCTTCCACCCTGTGACGCTGAAGGTTTTACCCGCACTCCCCATTGTTATCGTTCTGTCAGCCATTCCATTTAGGGTTGCTAAAATAGAGAGGACATGTGTGTAATATGGAAACAGATACATGGGAGTTTACCGCCAAAAATTATGAGAACTGCATTCTGCACATGCTTTGTGCCCCGATACGGGGCTTCTTATATGGTTTCAACCAAAAGATCGGTCTCCATGTCCCACAATGGGATCGAACCTTCAGCGTACAGAACTACCGGGTATTCCTTACCCCGAGGCTCTAGAGCAAATGCTGGAACTACTGCACCACATGGGCGATTGAACATTTTATGCGTAACTGACTGAAATAAGACAAGAGGCTTACCCATTCGAACAAGCTGTCTTTTCCCGTATATCAACCATTCGTAGACTTCGTCAGAGAAACAAAGCACGTCATATTGTACACACAAGTCTGCAATCTCCTGTAGTTCTTCTCTTGTAAACACCTGAACACAATATAAAATACACGATAATTATTTAAGATCCGCCACTCCTCAGGTTCTGAAAATCAACCGGTAAGTCATTGAAAAACGTATCTGAATTCACAAAGTACTTTGGGTATAATTTAATGTACATGTTTATTCATCAACGCAATGGTGTCATTATGAAAATAATCAAATCTAAAACTTTCAAGAAACGCAGATGAAAGCACTTAATAATATTTTAGTGCTATTTACTTGTTTAAATTGTATAATAATCGGTGTCAAAAGTGTGTTTTACCATTGCAAGACAACCTTAAGTGAGTAATAACAAATCTAGATTTAGCAATTTAATATAAAATGCAATCAACAATTGAACTAATAAGCGTAGTAAATGGAGCAAACTGAAATTAGTTTTATTATCCGCTGGAAACGGATTTGGAAGGGATAAAGTGTGTGGGGTGTGTGTGTATTAGTTTGTCCCTGTGCGAAACCGAAGTGACGTCGGGACCGATATCGAGTACGGCCTTAATTTATGTATGCTCTTTGCGAGGAGATGCTCTACCTTGTTTGATTTTGTATGTAACAAATGAATTGACGACATCTTTATATAATGGAAATTTTCAATTATTTTATATGTGTTAAGTTGGTGCACCATGCTCCCTTTAGAATTTAATTGTCCATACCTGGACGAAGATTTGATGTACTCACCTTTCCCAGAGGGTTCATGGGGTTGTTAACAACAATGGCTTTGGTTTTGTCGTTAAATGCCCTCTTCAAGGTTTCTAGGTCGTATGTCCAGTCATCACTTTCATTAGAGCCTTCTTTCTGTTTTTAAGAAATTGATTTTGTTGATTCAAAAATACAAGAATTATTTATTTTTTTATGCCTATAGAAATGGGTTCATGCATATTTCGTTACTATAAAAACTTATCTTAATTGCATTTCTTGATGTTCCACAAGTAATACATATACATGTAAATAGTTAAAGTGTGTTCAACTAATTTTTCTTTTCTCGTGATTAATGGAAAACACACACTTGTAGGTAGATATATAATATCGAAGGCAGAGTAAAATGTATAATAACAAATAAATCAGTGTCTGTGGTCTCAGATTTTTTAGAAACCAAAATCCAAACTTGAAGCAACAAAAAATGTGACTAAAGAACATACCGGAATTAGTGGAACATAGCGCACTGTTGCCCCCGCCAACCCGGCCACAACTTTATATGGTTCGTAGCAAGGCTCCAAGAGGATAACCTATAGAATAAAAGGTACGTTTACAAGTATCAAGGCTACACAAATTCTCAGCAAATTTTGAAGATACATCAAAAGGTCGGTATTGTTTTATCATGCGCCTAAATCTGCAGTATGATATAAGCACCGACCTCGTCTCCGGGATTGACCAAGGCCTGGAAAGCTGCATACATCGCCTCGTAGGCCCCGATGGTGGTCACCACATTCTTCATAGGGTCCAAGGTCTGCTGAAGTTCTCGGCTGTAGAGTTTGGCCAGAATTTTTACCAGTCGGGGATGACCCTAATAATATCATAAATTGATATAGCAATTAAACTTTTGTTGAACAGGACCCGTTGAACATGTAAAAATAAACGTTAAATTTCTAGCGAATTTTGCGTTCTTGTAGTTATGTCTGTTTACTTTTATAAAACCTATAGGCTTAATCGAGAGTATAATTTTTTTTAAATAAAAAATAAAGTAACTCACCAGCGTCCTTGTGTAATGATGTATCATGTGATTTGATTGATTGGTCACGTGTTCAAGTGCGTTACGTATATGCTTTGGTGGAGCAAAGTCTGGAAAACCCTAAAAAGAAACAAATCCTTTGGTATTTATGTATAACTAGTTGAACAATATAAGGATCATGAAGTATCTCAAATTAAACAAAAATCTTAATGTTGTATTTAAGTGTTGTTAAAGTCAGGCAAACGTATTCCATAAAACCACGTGCACTTTAAGAAGGTATTAGTTCTACTCACCAGTGCTAAATTTAGAGCTCCACATTTGGCCGATAATTGTAAAATTTCTTCCCTGTAAACGAAAAAAACTGAATTTAAAGAAAATTTACAAAGCTTCCCAGCAATGTGACATGTTCATATTAACATGCTTTTTATTTATGTCAAAATGTGAGATAATTAGAACCATTTCCAGGTAAGTTTGGACTTTCAGTAAGGCGTGGCATTCTCGGTGCTACTTCAAATGGCGAACAGATTCTCATTGGTTAAGAAATTTTATCCCATGTATAATTTCAACAGTGAAGGAAAGCTGCGTTAATTTCAGAAGCTAATTATGTAACGTCGAAAATGCCACGCCTTACTGAAAGTCCCAGCTAAAGTGGAAATTGTCCCTAAGTTGACATGCGACTTAATTACGTCAACTTGCGAGATATAAAATAATGTCGACATGCAACTTACAATCATGCATATTGACATAAATATTTTGCATGTTAATATAAATAACTGGCATATTGACAAAAATAAGTCGCATGTCGACATAGTATTTTTCTCGCATGTTGACTATGATTTATTTTGCATTTAAAGTGGTAGATATTTACCACTATATTAGCACTATGATAATTTTTGCTTGTTTGACTAGCTAGTACAAGATACAATGGTAAATTAGTTTGTTGATTCAATCGAAACGAATTCTTAAATTGACTCGCCTTAGAATTCTCATGCCAAGCATGTTAATGGTATATTTATAGGCACTTCTTAAGTACAAGCGCAACCTCCAGAAAACGAGAGCTATATCAACCATACCCTGATGACATAATTTTTTTTATGAATTAATACCGACTTCTGAATTCACAATCTGATTGTCATGCACATTTTCAGGGATGAGGATCTAAACATTTATGAAGTTCCCAAATCCGAGAGAGCTATGTCAAGTCAGTATAAAGAAATATAAACATGTCAGGGATGGATGCTTTCTTTTCAAAAAACAAACCACTGAGACATGTTAAAGAAGAGCAAACTGATTTTTTTTTTCAATTTCGGAATCCGTCAGTGAAACACTTTTCAATGTATTTTATCTTTACCAAAACTTAACAATGTGTCAGTAAATATTAAACATCATAATGTTCAAACGCGACAAAAATAAAATCACTACAGAAATGACAGACTTGAAAGAACGTAGATTTAAGTTCCAATTTTGATTACTTTGTAGAAAAAAATATATTAAAAGTTCACTTATAAATTTTCTGATATGTTGCACTTGCACCGTAAACCGAAAATTGTTCTACTTAATGCTTGATTACTGATTCGGGTTTCACTGTTTCAACTCCTCGAGAAATGGGTGGTGGTAGTGGTTGTGGTGGGGCGTGCACATGATTTGATTTGAACATATTTTATTGCACTAAATATATACAATGGGATTGGGCACAAGTTCTAGATATTCATTTTCAGCAATACTGAGTGATGTATCCCCCAGAGTAAAGTCTGAATGTCAACAATATGGACTTTATTAAATCTCAAGAACTTATCGAAAAACTCTTTCCTGGCCTCGTTGTAGTTAGGGCATGAGAAAAAATAATGATGTGTATCTTGAACTATCTTCTACCACAGGAGCATAGTGGACTTTAAATATTATATTACATCTATAAAGATCAGCGTTTAGCACGCAGTTGTGCCGAAGCCGTGTATGCAGTATATTGTTGAGTGCACATTTTAATGCACTTTTCAAACGAATGCTTGTTTCATATTTATGGTTTCTTCGCGCGAATGCTCAAATGAGGTAATCAGAGCGAAGTAAAGTAATGCGAGCTAAATTTCGTGAACATGAAGTCAATGCAATTTGTAAACTGGCCTAACTGTCTTATCTGAATACATGTACTAGTAATTAAGAACAAATGCAACGAACGTACTGTTATATGGTTGCCGCGGGCTCAAAAAGTATGCCCACATCAAACAGCTGAACAACCGTTATATATATATTTGTCATTTACGATGGCAATTTCATGAATTTCCATACATTAATCAGACGCAGATCTAGGAATTCTTTTTTTTCGGGAGGGAGAGGAGAATCCCAATAAATTCAACCAAGAATTTTTATGAGCAATATTTAAACAAATGTTTAATCATAATAATTAGAGCCGCTTTTCTAAAGCTTCAAACACCATATGTACGGTTGATATGGTCCAAGTTTCCTAATAAGGTGGGGGTTCAGGGTCATTTTTAGTTACTGTGTTATGTACATTTAGTACTTCAGATGGATCCAGACCCCCTCCCCTTTTAGATCCGCTCTTCTCAGTCTCCAGATCAGTGAATTTTTATGGATGTAAATTTTGAAACATTATATTTCCATAAAATCTGGTTAAAAAGAAAACGATAACATTTATGCGATGTTTTTATATTGCGGCTCACAAACCATCGATACTTTTAAATAGCCTTAAATTAAAGGCAGTTAATTTCAACATGCTTATGATTCCAAAAACCTTATAATTTGTCAAAACATTGTGCAAAAAAAAAAAAAAGAAAGAATAATAATTTTGTTCAGGTAGTTAACCCAATATTATTCTTATAAAAAAAGATCTACTATTTTATTACAAACGCATTAGAAACTTACAGATTCAGGGGTTTAAAAAAATCAATGAAAATGTTTACATGCATATATATCCATATGATTATAGTATGAAAAAAAAGGAGAGAGAGAGAGAGAGAAAATACCTACCATATATTACTCTTCTGTTCATTTCTTATCCTGTTGGAAAATTTATGTTTCGTGGAATTCATTTTCCCCTAAAAAAAAAAATAAAAGCCATGTAGTCAAATACTCAGATCATTGCAAGAAACCTACCATATGAATATAGATTTAAAAAAAACATAAATATAAACATATTTATTGCAAAGTACTTTTTATTATTAAAAGAAGCTGTACTTACGATTTTAAGCTTCCTTCCTTCTGAAAGTACTAGCACAATATGATGCATCCAAGGCTATCCCGGAATAAAAATATCGCTCGACCTTGTTTTAAATACTACGATCATGTGACCAACCAGCTATCTCACGCTTTTTACTTAAGAAAAACATATGAAATTTTATCTATATAATTATATAAGGTAGAAAAAACAGAACATGTGTTTGATAACTTCCTATTGATTTTTTTTTCACTAAAAAGAAAAAGAGGGGGGGGGGGTAATATAGACACACCTTGTATGCGTATACATTTACATGATGTAGTACATCAACAAAATTATAGCAATGGCGTGCCCTTTGAACAGTTGGTCTTTTTTTCTATTTTATTTCTTTTTGTGTTATATATGTGGAATTTCCGATTTAAAATACAAAACTACAAGGTGAGGTTATATATTCTTCCACAAAGTATACTTTACAGGAAAACCGCATACTCAAGCACAGTTGCTGTATTATGTTCGTTCGATTTAATACAGATGTAGAATAATTCAAATGACTTGTTAAAAACTGATGAAATACACATAAATTTTAATTACATTGCCTGATATTTTATTTTATTCAATGTATTGACAGGTTTACCATTTAAAGTTGACTGAATTACATGTATTCTAAAGTTTGTTGGTTTAATGCACACCCCAGCACTAAATAAGTGCCCCCCCCCCCTTCTTACCAATCCCCTGCTGGTCAATGGGAGCTGGGCTGTGCATGTACATATATAAAATGTATGCTAATAATGGCCGTTAAAGGTGAATAATATAATTCGATTTCTCTCTCGAAGATGTATAAGAAATAGGTTCAACACAAACAAGTAATGCTTATTTATTATGCTAAATTATATTTTTATATAGATGTGTTTTAAGCTATGTTTCTCGTCATCTTTTAAGAAAAACTTGCATGGCCAGAGCTTACAATATCAAAATAATTTAAATATTTTTATTCAAATCAAACAACATTCAACTTTAAAAACCGCCCACAAAATCAGCTGAAATTTACCTGCGACAGAAGAACATTTAAAATCTAAGTAATAAATTTTATTCAGTGTATTGGAACCTCAGTCCTACATATTTTTACACACGGAAATTTTCAAGTTATAAATAGGAATATTTAATCAAGGTATCATATGCTATTTTTAGAAATAATTTTACACCTTTTTTCTCTGACATATTTTGTCAAAAATTACAGCTTAATCGGTAAAGTCGAGATGAAATTAAACTTATTTGTCGTTTGAAACTGAAAAATTTGACCCACACCTCTGAATCAACATATCTAGCTATAACTTTGTTTATAATTTTATTTATTTATTTATTTGTTTATTTATTTATTTATCCTTACCGATTAGCTCTAGGCCCTATACGTTGTAAAAAGCTTGACAAGAGACATTTTAACCGCATTTTCCGAAAAGATCAAGATACAAGAAATATTTTAAACTGGGTGTTTAGATTTTAAAATTCCCAAATAAGGATTCAATGATAGACTTTCTAAAATTATTTTTACTTCAAATAAGACCTTACTTATTGCCAATTGCCAAGACCCCTTCTGATAGAAAAAATATTTTGTTAAAAGTAATTAATGTAAATGTGACAATATAAGTGAAAGACCTTTTATTGTATGGAAGCTTCGTAATTTGCACAAAGACCCCCGATTTTCTTACCCATTTTGAGCTCTTTTCCCCCCATTTTGAGTTTTCTTTCCCATTTCAAGTTATACTTCTAAAATCCTTGATATCAGCATGTTGGATTGATAAGTGGGTCTAAATTTAGGTGAGTTGTCACGTGCCGGAATATATTTCGATCCTCATTTAAACGTAATAGATTCTCACCCCTGTAGGTTCACGGCCGGTCAGCTGTTTAAACAAAACTATATGTTTGGCTATATTTTCTTTGCTATTTGAAGCATTCTATAGGTATTAATTAATTTTCTCATTGAGTTATGGATATAAGATTTCAACAAGGCTCGGGAAGGCCAGTAACATACTTCGCTTGATTAATATGTTTTATGTACAAATACAAATTTTTGCATGTATAAATCAAGCAGATGAGATTATGTCACTGACCCTTGTGACCACACCAAAGATGATATACAAGTGTCATGAAATGTTTATGCTCCGCCATGAATACTAGTTATAGTGTTTTTCATGTCCGTCCCCCGACCTTTCAAAGAAATTTTATCAAATCATTTACTGAAACATATTGATGAGAACTAATCAACTGAATATACATGTACCTTCTTTTTTTAAACCCTGACCCTCCTTTTTAAATGGCCTCACTTTTTCTTAAATACGTGATCATATCAATTTAAAAGAAACCTAAATATGAACATGTACTGAAGAGAGCTGTTCAACTACATCACCATTTTCAGCTTGATTTACTTTACCTTTTTACCATGATCTTTTCTTTCTATTTAATCAAACCTAATATGCTGATATATCTTGGTGAAAGCTTACAACTGCATAAAAAATGACCTGACTTTTCCTTTGATCTTTTCTTCTTTGCATTTATCTTTTAATTAATTAAAGAAAAATTATCCAAGTTATTTTAAATTATTATATACTATAAAAATTTAAGCATATTGATGAGTGCTTTTCATATTTTTTTTTTTCATAAATATTTTTAACCTTGACTTTTCCCTTGACATTGACCTCAGATGTGTTTAGCTTAATTAAAAGAGACAAATCAAGATATTTTACATCAAAAGAAATATGGAGATAACGAACAGCGATCAAGCTCAAAAGTCCATCCAGACAATACAAATCGGAAGAAACCATTTAAAGACTTAATGTTCTTCAAGTTTTATGCACTAATTACAAATGTTCGTGTTTCATTACAAATTAATCCCAGAACGAGCATATATGTCCTATGAACCAATGAACATATTTTTGTTTGAATTAAATTTTAAGAGTTGTTTATTCCTTGAGATAATCGAAACCTTTTCGCTGGCCCGATAAGAAAGGTCATTCGAAAATTTTGGGTAAGAATTAAAACTTTTGAGAGAAGGGGAAAATGAAATGATCTAACACAAATGTAAATCCCTTTTCCATACTAAAGTGGGGAAATTATATACTTACTTTAGTCTTATGTTTCTCCACCGACGTCAAGGCTAAAATACACAGTCTGTGTATTATGTTCACTTATCGATACAAAGCAGGGTAGGTCTCTACTCCGACATCAGAGGAAGCATTGTTTTCACCAGTTTTTATTGTGTCTTTATATAAATACCCTTCTGTTTTATTTATGAAATAATAATTTTCAAAACGTAGGAAAGGAGGAAGCGTGAATAAGCCGTTCCTTTACACGCCGTAGTAAAACGGCTCTTGTATTCATTGTAAGGGGGAGGGGTGGGGGGCTTTTTTGTCAACCACCGTTTGTACAAGTAACTCACAATATTTATTTAAAAAGATGTGCATAATTTTTCTTCAGTGTAAAAATACCTTTAAATTACCCCCCACTATCTCAGCTTTTGGTTTTTTTTTTCAGAAATTTATTGTGCAATTATTTACATAAAAATATCTTGACGTTTTTTATTCCAAATCAAAAATGGATTCAATAATTATCATGCTAAAGATCGTATGTTTTATGTTCAATTGCAGTTCTCTCTCTCTCTTTCTCTCTCTCTCTCTCAACAACCAGCATGGGAAGTTTCGTCTTTTTCGTCGAATTAATTTTTTTTTCGCGTATGTTCGACAGATATAGAGAAAAAGATGGGAGGCCAGAGGGTTCAATCTTATGAAAAAGAAAAAGAAAAAAGACTTAGTTAAATGACGCTGGATTGTGAATAATATGTCTTCATATAGTGTCGTAAACTTTTCTATGATCGATATATATGATTTATAAAGTTACAAAATATATTACATGTATTCCCATTAAAAATTAACAAGTAAGATTTTTCCTAAAATCATTGAAGCAGAATGAAATTCAAACCTGCAGGCATGTTTACGAAGCTATCACATACCAAACATAAGCTCAATATATCTCACGGCCAGGAACAATTATTAATTTTCAGAAACATTTAAAGTTAAGCACTAAAAATGCCTCGTTGTCATGAAAATACAGGTAAAGTTACGACAGCTTCACTACTTTAGAAGACATATCGTGAGCAGTTTTTCATTTTTTAAGTAGAAATAATTTCAACCAATGTTGAAATTGCTGGCTCGACGAAATTGTCGTATCAGACGTGATGAAGTAATAAAAGATATAGGAATAATTGAAATCAGACGTGGATTTCATACATTTTCCTTCTAAGATGTTATATTTTTTGTAAAAATATATATACATGTACCACTATCAAATATATAGCATTTACGGGAACAAAATGAAACAAATTAAAACTGAAATAATTTTTAATTTATGTGTTGTCATGATCAAAACAAATGTAATACAGTTTGACTGATTAATGATATTACGCACGTATTTCAGTATGAAAGGAGATTTTATTTTTTTTTTTAATGCTTTGATATATTTCAAACACCTTTAAAGCCTCAAACTAATTAGTCATAAAAATTCACGGATTTTTTTTATATTTGTATATATCAGCTTTTGTTTGTCATACATATGGGCTTCAGCCTTTTACACAGTTATAGAAAACTAATTTCAAAGTACATATGACACGGACACAGCATCGATTTTGAACTTATTTTGTTTAATATTAATGGCAATTTAGCATAAAAAAGTTCTTACATTAAAAAGAAAAACTTGGTAATTGATGAAATGTTTTGATACCAGAAAAATATATAGTGAATTATCCACAAGCACTTACGTTACTTTGTTTTACATTGAAAGATCACCATATTTTGAAATACCTAATAATAATTAAATTTTTAGTATAGGGGTATTTTTCGACAAAGAAATTATAAGAATAAATGTAAATAAAATGTAATGTTTCAGTTGTAAATGCCGAAATTGGTGAAAAAAATAAGCATTTAAATATCAGCCTGACAGTACAGTAAAAAATAACCAAACACAGATATGCAGTTTTGTCGATTATTTCATTCATTTTGAATGGCATCAAGTAAAATTATAACAAACTGATATTAAACAAAACAAGATAAAACATGGGGGAGGTGATGAAATCTTTCAATAAACATTTTGAATGGTATAATGTAAATAGTATGTCTGGACCCCCTTCCCCAACATGTTAAATTACGTGCCTGTATATCTACTT